ACTACACCACTGGTTGCAAGCGCGGAAAGGCCTACGCTGTCATCGTCACCTCTGCCAAGCACTCTTTCGTCGGTCGCACTGCTACTCTCGTCGCTGGCGCCAAGGACCAAGGTCACTTCAAGGCCATCATGGACTCTATCGGTACGGCTCTTCTCGTCCTCGTCATGTTCTTCATTCTCATGGCCTGGATCGGTGGTTTCTTCCGCAACCTCAACATCGCTACCCCCGAATGGACTGAGAACTCTCTCCTCAAGTACGCTCTTATTCTCCTGATTGTTGGTGTCCCCGTCGGTCTTCCCGTCGTTACCACCACCACTCTCGCCGTCGGTGCTGCCTACCTCGCTGAGCAGCAGGCTATCGTCCAGAAGCTTACTGCCATTGAGTCGCTCGCTGGTGTTGACATTCTCTGCTCTGACAAGACCGGTACTCTCACTGCCAACCAGCTTTCTATCCGCGAGCCTTTCGTCGCCGAGGGTCAGGACGTCAACTGGATGATGGCCGTCGCCGCTCTCGCCTCTTCCCACAACATCAAGTCTCTCGACCCCATCGACAAGGTTACCATCCTTACCCTCAAGCGTTACCCCAAGGCTCGTGAGATCCTCAAGGATGAGTGGAAGACCGAGAAATTCACCCCCTTCGACCCCGTCTCCAAGCGTATTACCGCCATCTGCACTCTCCGTGGTGACACCTACACTTGCGCCAAGGGTGCCCCCAAGGCTGTCCTCAACCTGACCGACTGCGACAAGGAGACCGCCGACCTCTTCAGAGACAAGGCCACCGAGTTCGCTCGCCGTGGTTTCCGCTCTCTCGGTGTTGCCTACAAGAAGAACGACGAGCCCTGGATCCTCCTCGGTATGCTTTCCATGTTCGACCCTCCCCGTGAGGACACTGCCCAGACCATCATCGAGGCCCAGCAGCTTGGTGTTCCCGTCAAGATGCTTACTGGTGACGCCATCGCTATTGCCAAGGAGACTTGCAAGATGCTTGCTCTCGGTACCAAGGTTTACAACTCTACTAAGCTCATCCACGGTGGTCTCTCCGGTGCTGCCCAGCACGATCTCGTCGAGAAGGCTGATGGTTTCGCTGAGGTCTTCCCCGAGCACAAGTACCAGGTCGTCGAAATGCTCCAACAGCGTGGTCACTTGACTGCCATGACTGGTGACGGTGTCAACGACGCTCCCTCGCTCAAGAAGTCTGACTGTGGTATCGCTGTCGAGGGTTCCACTGAGGCTGCTCAGGCTGCCGCCGATATTGTCTTCCTTGCTCCCGGTCTTTCCACCATCGTCTACGCCATCAAGACTGCCCGCCAGATCTTCCAGCGCATGAAGGCTTACATCCAGTACCGTATCGCTCTGTGTTTGCACTTGGAACTCTACCTTACTCTCTCCATGATCATCATCAACGAGACCATCCGCACTGACCTCATCGTCTTCATCGCTCTCTTCGCCGATTTGGCCACCGTCGCCATTGCCTACGATAACGCTCACTCTGAGCAGCGTCCCGTTGAGTGGCAGCTTCCCAAGATTTGGATCATCTCCGTCGTCCTCGGTGTTCTTCTCGCTACCGGTACCTGGATCATCCGTGGTACTCTCTTCCTCGAGCGCGGTGGTATCGTCCAGAACTTCGGTTCCGTCCAGGAGATCCTCTTCCTTGAGGTTGCTCTTACTGAGAACTGGCTTATCTTCGTTACCCGTGGTGGCAAGACATTCCCCAACTGGCAGCTCATCCTCGCCATTCTCGGTGTCGACGCCCTCGCCACTATCTTCTGTCTCTTCGGTTGGTTGTCCGGTGACCCTCACAACACCTCCCCTCCTTCCGCCTTCTTCAAGAACGAGCGTCTCGATGGCTGGACCGACATTGTCACTGTCGTTGTCGTCTGGGCTTACTCCATCGGTGTCACCATCATCATCGCCATTGTTTACTTCCTCCTTAACCAGATCACTTGGCTTAACAACCTTGGTCGCAAGGACCGTAACATGCACGACACCAAGATGGAGAACATCATCGCCGCTCTCTCCAAGATCGCCCTTGTCCACGAGAAGGATGATGCCACCGGTGGTGACCGCTGGCTCCTTGCCGCCAAGGCCGAGGACGAGGAAGAGGATTAGATCATGCCTTGATGCTCTTTCCATGCGCTGGAGTTCTTATTAATTTTTATTTCCTTTCTCTTCTAAATACAATGTGTCTATAACACGCCCTCTGCTTGTAGAATAACGCGGAGTAATACACCAAACAAAAATATTCCAAAAAAAAATCCCTCAATCTCTCTTTCCCATTGTGCTTCTGATTGTTTTGACAGTTTTGCTGCTAATTTCACATCAACAACAAACGTCTTTGACCGAATTAAACAAAGTCATGGTCAGCAACGTTTCCAGTGCCCACTTCGGAGCGATTGCGATCAGCAAANNGATGCGACGAGTGACCTTCCATCTTCTGCCGATGGGGCACATCGTATCGACCATCATCGACAAGNNAAGCAAAATGAAACACGGCTACGAAAATTTTTCGCGTCCCTTTATCGGCGACGGCGAGTCGGCGTTTCGCNNAGTTGTGCTTGGGCTTGGCTGGCTTCAGAAGCTCGACGAGCCGATCGGTTCAAGGCGAATTTTGTCTCTCCGCCAAAGGCCTTTGTGTTACGAAACGAGAATTGAAGGGTGTCCCGCACCAAGAATTGATAAAAGGGTGTGTGTGGATAGGGCCCCGTGGAGAGCGGCTAGCTAGAACGACATGNNGGCCCCGTGGAGTAACTATTTGCGGGCTGCTCGCGGCCTTACTTCGTTCTTTCTGAAGATCATGTCGACCACCAAGCACAAAGAGGCCCGTCCGAAACATGACACGATGATGGAGCCCTCTCTTCCAGACGGAGAAAGCGTTTGAATAGCAACCAAGGGCTTCGTGCTAGAGATCGGCCAGACTAGACGTTCGCGATGCACACGAACTGTACTTTTCATATGTTCCAGATATCTTCAATCAAAACCGCTCTTCTCGACAAGTTTCAGTGCCAATGGTGGAACTCTAAGTTGTTTAACCAGATTAAGCAGCACCAAAAGTTTAATGGTCAATCGAAGTTTTAACCAGCCAGCACCTGCAAAACTATGCAGACATGAGATGCAGTAGCAGATAACCCCCGGACCGGTCTTTTCTCGTTCCAAGCCATAAAACAGATTACTCTTGGTTGCTTGTCAGTCTTGTTCATCGGTATCGCCTTGTCATACAGGCTTGGCCCCTGCTGGTTTGAGACGAGGTATTTTCTGACAAGTCTTGGTTTTTGGCTTGACTGTTCGATGCCGAGACCTCTTTTACGGACGCTGAGGCGCTTCGGCAGACTACTGCAAAGAATGGTCATACCAGACCACGGGCCGACGCCCACGAAAAAAAGCCACGAGAGCCCCAACCACCCACAAAAGACGTCCAGCTTGGCTTGAGGTTTGACTTGTCTTCCCGGGCATAACATTATGCTTTTCTGTCACACCTCGGAAATGTCTTGGCTGGGCGTCGCTGTTTGTTCCCGTATGCAAGCCAGATGCCAATGGTATCGCCTAGACACTTGAAACCCGCATCCCCAACCTCTTCTCTCCGCAAATGCCCGTGAGCACACTTTCTCTTCGTGCATTGGTATGAGGAACGTGCGACGAGACATGCATCATCTCCAACCTCGCCCTCCACGTTTGTGTGATCTTCCGGACACTGTTGGGGATGCGGAGCGGTTGGTATGGCCGCCAAAGGGAAATATTCTTGGCTGTCGCTGACAAGACTCTTGGAAGTGTCGCTCCCAACCTCACTTCGTCGTTAGTATGCAGAGGTTTGATCGTCTTGACTAGAAGTCCTTGCTTGACTTCCTTGTCGCAATGACAATGACAATCATTGCTCATTCCTGTGTCGTGTTTCGAGAGTTTATCACAATGCAGACGATTGACTTGGCAGATGGCTGTATCCTTGGGGGATATCTGCCAAACAGGAGTAGAGATGAAGGCCCACACCGAAGACCGGTTTGAGAGACATCACTCCTTGTCTTGTGACCATACGCTCCCACCTTTGCTTTGAGAATGATCAACAATGCACTAAGAAGCTGATATCACGCGTCTCACCATACAATATCCTGATATACTGTCGACACTTCCAAGGGCATATACAAGATCATCAACACGAGTCCACGTCTCAGCAGTCAATAACAACAACAAGATCGCTGATCTTAGAGGCCGCTTCGTGTGTTTGTACATGTGTAACAACTGCTCAGTTCTGGAAAGAACGCAGCTACTTGTGACTTTCTCATACCCACCTCTCGACCACTCGGAACACGCAGCCGGCGCTGCATCAGGAAACAACTCCTCTCAATTGATCGCACACACTCGATCCATTGCAGATGAGATCTGAATGCGCGAGCTGAGCCTCACCATATATCTACAAGAGAGCACAAGCTTCTTGCAGCATGCTGAGTCGTCCGCTGATGAACCTACGCCAATCCAATCAGCGCAAGAAAGAAGCCTGCAACAGTTCCCTCCACAACAGCTGCGCATGCTTCCATCAACACATACGATTGGTTATCAGAACCGTGGAATGGCCATCGAGTTCCAATTGCAACAAATTCTCATTCTGTTGAGTTGGCGATTGCACCACTTCCATCAGCACGTAAGTTGCCAGAAGACGGCGACTTGAACCACAGTTTCAATAGCATCGACCTTTCAGAATGCGATCGAGAGACATGTATGGACATGAAACTGCGGAGATGCTTGATTGAGTGTGATGGTCTTGAAGTGGTAGGTCCACCTGCGATTGCTGTGATTGGCCAACGACCACATACTCCACAAGTCCCCCACGATGTTGACTTTAACACCAATGGTCATGCCATGTATATCAACACTCCTCTCTTGTAAAGTTAACCATGTAAGCTGTGTTGGGATTCCAAGTCGTTCGCTGTTCTCGATGTGAAAAAGCCAGGGAATCGCACCTTCCTTTCTCACCTCTTTCCATTCTCATTCTTGCACGAGGAAAGCACAATCATGGCCAACAATTTTATGATGAAGCTTCTTTTGCTTTTCTTTGGGTACTTGAACTTTTATGGTGCCGTCGCACAAATCTCCAAGAAGTCTGATGTTGCTTCTTCAGCTGTTCAGCCTGGCAGATATCAGGCTAGCACTCTTCTTACCTCCATCATCAACAAAGCCGACATAAATCTACACGAGGTCGACACTCCTAACGCTCAGACCGAATTTGATGCCAATTACAATGACCTTGCCGACATGAACGATAACGAAGTCCTGACCGACACTGAAGATAACGACGACGACGACGACGACGACGACGACGACGACGAACAACATCCTAGTGTCCTCGCCGATGTCAACAACCCCAACTCTGCCAACTTCGCCATGAGCAGCGCCGATAATCAGTTCAAGGGGGGCAAGGGAGTCCGTGCCAGGCTGGTCCGCTACAAAAAGGCCGACTGCGAGAAGAAGAGGACAGGAAAAGGCAAAAGAATGAGAGAGAGCAAATGCCACACCTTGCACAGAAAACACTTCAACTCCTACGAGTTCATCCTGCGCGAATCGAAAAAAGGCAAGAAGGACAAGGATGATGATGAATCTGAAGACGACTCATCCAAGGGATGCAGAGTGGTCATCTATCACGACGGCAAGTGTACGGACGAAGCTTCCAGCGCCAATGAGGAATCATGTACAGACATCGGCGATGAAGATGGTGACGACAAGGAGGACAAGGATGACAAGGACGACAAAAAATTGCACGCCAGGGACTTGATGAGCGAGAGGCCAAAGTACAAGAGTGCAAAGTTCCTCTGCGATGGAGTCAACGCTGGGGATCCCACATCGACCGAGTCCGAAAGCGATTACTATTCTACTACCTCGCTCTACTCAGACCGATATGCCGACCCTACTGGTTCGTCGTCAAAGGCCTTCACCCTACCATCCAAGACTGCCACTCCTCTGTCGTCAAAGTCTGAATCCGGAGAGCCGACTACCACCGATGCACCAGACCCGGATGATGACGAACAAGACCCTGACGACGATGACGATGAAGAAGACGACGACGATGTCGATGATGATGATGATGGCAAGGAAGACAGTCCCAAGCCAAAGACTACCAAGACCATTAAGACAAAGAAGCACAAGACCAAGTCCCACAAGTCCAAGAAGACCAAGTCAAAGAAGCATCACTCAAAGACACAGAGCATCGTTACCACCACCGAGGCAGTACCGACCACAAGCGATGGTCCGGACACAGAGTGGTCTTGAGCATCTGTTCTCGCCACCACAGCTTCATACAGGATACCCTCACAGGCATTCTCTCCTTGATCTTTTCCTCGCATATATACACCGATCCTTTCACCCATCTTCGAGACTTTCACCACTCATTTTGAATTAACATCATAATATCTGTTTCCAACACACAGGACGAAAAGCACATTCATTGGCATCATCTATACAAGCAGTACTACACATAATCATCGCAAGCAAATACAATCTTACAATCACAACCCATCTCTCTGTGTCACATCTCATTACAAGCAGTGATCCCAACCGGTTCGTTGTTGTTCTAGATAACGTCTACTATGGAAACTCATCTTTTCATCTCTTGAGGTTGGATTTGATCTCTTGGAAACAAATTGCACTTTTCGACGGAAAGAATACTCAGGACACTGAAACCAGGCCGCGATATCCTGAAGTTGTTTGCTCGAAGAATCCCTGGTCGAACACTCCAGTAGACTGCGAATTAGGTCTATAGCTAAAAACGTCATTCATTCATGCCTCTCATCAACTGCATCATCTAAATTCTCTCTTGCTCTAATCAGATAAACCTCACGCTACTAGCATTAGACGTCGAAGCCGCCAACACACCTTTACGAGCACTACGCGCCGGCGTGGCATCCTCCATAACCACATCTTCCCAATCGTCGTTCTCTGTCACTTTATCCCTAGCCACAGCATCAGGTTCTTCAACCTTTGCCATAAAACTGCTGATTCTATTCCCTGTTTCTACTTGCACCAAACTCTTTCTTCCACGCATGTGTCTGGTGGCACCGCTGAAACTGTCATTACTGACGAGTTTGCTCAAGCGGTCTTCGGTCTTGTTTTCTTTGTCGTCGTCGGAAGAGGAGGCAGAGGTTTTTAGTCTCTGTTTGCGGCCTCTGATGCCTGATGCGCTGACACCTGTGAGTGTAACTCTCAGCGGTGACGAAGATCGCGAAGTCAAGTTGCCTGAACTATTGCGATTGAGTCTTTCTGCCCATTTGCGGCGTGCGGCTTCACGGCTGTTGCTGGGAATGCGAAGAATACTGGTGGGTGGAGGTGTGGGAGACGCTTCTCCTGGGCGTACCCAAGTGCGTTGGTGTCGTGGTAGTTCCATTTCGATGGCGTATTCGGCGTATTGGGCTGCTGCTCTTGCGTCCGAGTTGTCGCGGGAGAGTGAGCTGCTGGTGTCTGTGGTTGTCCAATTGTCTGCTGTGTTTGCGGGAGGTAGGGTTGGACTGTTGTTGTTGGTGCCGCGGACTGGTGATGGTGTGATGGCTCGTGGAAGACCGGGTGGGAAAACGTGTGGGCCTGAGACTAAGCGGCGAGGGTTGCGGGCTGGTGGTTCGAGGAGAGATGAGGAAGTGGTTTGTCGGCGTACGCTGGGGCTGCCTTTGATGGAACCGAGATTGCTGTAGAGTCCCATGTTCGAGGAGCGCCGTGAAGATGCGAACAGCACTGGACTTATAACGCCGCTACTCGCTCGATTGCGGATGAAAGATTGACGTTTCTCAGCAAGAGGTCTGCGGTCTATGACGCTTTCAGTCTGGCTGACTATGCGTATACTACGACGCTTCTCTGCTTCTGTCAGAGAACGTCGCTTGTCTGTGTCTGTGTATGGTACTGAAGTCATCAACGTCGAGTTTCCGTTTGAGGTAGATTCAGGATAGTCTGATGGCTTGGTTGAGAGTATGCTGGTGCCGTGTGTGTTGAAGGAACCTCGGCTGCTTCGGTCTTTTGTGATAGAGAAGGTGCTACTGAGCCGGCTCTTTCTGTTTGGTCTGTGTATTACTGTGCCCCTTGTAGTGATGCCCAGACCCGGGTGCCAGCTTTTGATCAATCTCGAAGCACGTTTGCTAGGAGACAATCTTGCAAACTCTGACAACCTTTGACGAGAGTCTCGACTGTTTTGCCTAGCCAATTCTGTGGCTGCAGAATAGCTATGGTGTGGTGTATGTGTTGCACCTGATTCTCGACCCCATACTGGGATGTTCGAATCTGCTTGTATCGCTGCTTCGCCGTCTCCAAGCGAGCTGACTACAGACAACTTGCTTTGACGAGCATCTCTTCCTCCTAAGAAATACCGTGGCTTCATAGGCGGTTGCATTGCCGTTGATAGATCGATATCCAATTGAGGAGGTTCATCAGGTGAATGCTTGACAGGCGATCCAATATGCTTTTCTTCGTCCTGATCGCCTTCTACCACCATAGGCTCTTGGTCGCCAAATGGTAACACCGGCCTGATGTCACTCTTTTCTATCTTCTTGCGAGGCTGTTTCCTCCTGTGGCGGCAACATAACATTGCGATGGCGAAGAATAGGGCTAGAATTGCTAAACAGCCAATCACAATTCCTACTATGATGCCTGCTGTCATGTTCTTGTCCTTTGATTTCGCAGGGGACGTCGTGGCAGAGGCAGAAGAAGTCGAAGTCGGACTTGCTGTAGTGCTCGAAGTCGTATGAGAGGTTGCTACTCCTGCCGCTGCCTTCAAGTTGATGTAGAAGGTCTGAGTATCTGAATCCGAAGCTGAAGAAGCAGTCACTGTGATTACGTTTGCTGAAGCCTTGGCTGTGGTGGGTGCAGTGCCACGAAGCTGGCGTTTGCTTGCATCGTATTGCAACCATGAAGCGGAACCGACATCTACGCCAAGATTCATGTCGTTCTGGCTCAACAAAGACGGACTGAACGTGTAGCTAAATTGTTCCCCAGCTGTTGCAGTCATGTTTCCAATCTCGCCGCTGAACAGTGATGCGTTCGCTGTATGGAGGAAAACGTTCTTGACTGCTGTATCCCCGTATGTGTCTGTCACTGTTATTGATAGGCTTTGCGACTCGAAATCTTGCGGAGGTATTCCTGTCCACTCCATGGAGCTGTTTTGAAAAATCAACCACTCTGGCGCCTTTGCAACAACTTTCTGCAGTTGACTGCTTGTAGCATGTGCGCCATTGATACGTAGCTGGTCTGCAAAAGGTCCCACAGTGATTGTTGTTCCTGGTGTGACTGTGATGTTCTCTGCCTGAGGGTTGAAGGCCAGCTGATAACTGCTGATGAGCAAGCTGAAGGTTGTTGTCGCTCCTGCAAAACCGGCCACATCCGATGCAATAAAATCAACACCATAAGTCTGCGAGCCCGTCACCAACACGGGTGCCATACCCCAGAATGTCAGAGAGCTGCTGTCGAACTTGAGCCAGGATGGGAGTGGTATTCGGTCAGCCATTGTCGCGTAATATGACTTGATGGTGCCCGGGTCGCCAAACAGGTTGTTTGAGAACGTGATCGCGAACGCGGTGGATGGTTGCAGTATCAAGGTTGTCAGTCCTGACAAAGGCCCTGATCTCGCAAGGTCTGCTGAGATGTTGCCCATCAGAGCTGGCGCACTGTTGCTTGCCACCACTAGAGTACAATCCATGTCGACCGAGCCATCGTTGCCTGTTGCCACAATCTTGAAGACGTTCGGACCGGTGTTCCCTTGACCAGGAGTGCCATATAATGTCCGTGTAGTGTCCTCCAGATTCAACCAAGCAGGCGCACCCGACAAGGTGTAGACTAGTGTACTGCCATCGCTGGAGACAAAAGTCGTAGAGGCCAGTTGAAATGCGTAGGCTTCGTTTGCTCGTGCGAGGGCCGGTACCTGAGAGTTGAATGGAAATGCGACTTGTGGCAACGCCGACACCAGCGTGTTGAGGAGTACCGAGAAGAGTAAGCCACGCATCGTCCTACGAGATTCTGCGTTTCGCTCGAGGCGGAACAGTGCTGCACGTAGTCGTGGACAGCGTTTGGACTTGGTTGTAGGTCGGAACCTGTTGCTCAGAAAAAACGATATTGTGATCGCACGAGCGAGGGACAACATGCACCCCTTCATCGACGGCCCGTACAGCCACCATACACGCTTCTGACGCGAGAAGACGTGTATAGCGATTTCATCTTGACGTGGCCTTGCCTACTGGCTGGAGGAATGACTTTTCGAAAAATGAACGGGGGTGGGCTGGAATCCGGGTGGTGAGAAGCAAGGGAACGATAAGTGACACCACACCTACAAACCTTCATGTTACCTATAGGCCCTACTCACTCGCGTTAGTTCTCTGATTGAGCTCAAAGACCAAAGCCAGTCCGTCGTTTTCAGTATCTTATGTTGACTTGTGTACTCGTGTCTTGTTTGGCTGAAACATCGAAGTCAATAAGAGTTGACATATGAAATGCGGCTGATCCCAAGGCCATTGTTCTCGTATCGATACCGCGAGACACATGCCTACCGGATTGAGGAATGCTCTTCATGTGTATACCAAGAGTCAAGAATACAGGCCGAGTAGCACAAAATCATTTATGTCAGCCATCCACTCCTTCGAAATCCCGTCGCGAACGAAGCGCATGTAGACATGACGTTTGCAAACCATAGGTACTCGGAATTGGTGATAAAGCATCGACCAACATCGCATCTGAAATGCGTGAGGTGAGGATGGAGATGAACAGAAGACGAAAGAGCTCTTCTTCGGCAGTCGCGCACAAGCTCTCGCATACAAAAAGTCTAGAAGCCTACAGCCAAAGCAACCCTAGCCTAAACCTTCCACCTGCCACCTCTCCCATCCCAAAAACTCACCGACGGCAAACGTATCTCTTCTTCATTTGCAACAAATACACAAAACATCAATCATGTCATTATCAGACGACGAAAGAAATGGTGTCTTTGACATTGACGAAGAACTCGTGCCGGTGCGGGAACTCAAGCAAGCTGGCGTCATGGAAGTGGACTTTGATGGCTTGCTAAAGACACCCCTGAGGTTGGAAGAAGATCTCAAGAAGGGATGTGGTGGTATGCTGTGGCCTGCTGGGATGGTCATGGCAAAGTATCTGATGAGGCAGGAGAAGGATGTGTTCAAGAACAAGACAATGTTGGTGTTTGATGCCAAGACACGTTAGTGGATGGTTATGCTGATTGAATACAGAGTTGAACTGGGTGCTGGAGGCGGCTTGGTCGGGTAAGACGTATCAATTACAGGCGTTGTGATGATTTGACTAACAGGAAAAAGTCTTGCTGCTGCTCTGGGTTTCCAACTCGACCACCCGCTACACCTCACTGACCAAATACCCATGCTCGCCTTGATGCAACGCAACATTGCACTCAACAACCTCCAAGATCAAGTCAAAGCATCAATATACGACTGGGGTGAGCCCGCACCAGAAGGTATACCCCAACATCCAGACATCATTCTAGCTGCCGAGTGTGTCTACTTTGAACCCGCGTTTCCTCTCTTGCAACAGACCATGAAGGATCTCATCGGACCGAACACGATCTGCTATTTCTGCTTCAAGAAGCGCAGACGAGCAGATATGAACTTTGTCAAGGTCATGAAGAAGATGTTTTCGGTCGAGCCTGTCGAAGACGATCCTGACAAACCGACGTGGTCGAGAGAGAATCTACATTTGTAAGCCCTATTCCTTGCACAATGCTGAGACATTGCTAACAACTGAAAAGCTTCAAGGTCACTCTGAAGCAGAAGAAGGTGTGAACATTGAAATGTCCGAAGGACTACAATAAAGCAGGCCTGCCTACACTCACTCGCACCAAGACCACTCCTGGAGCATACATGTCAGCACACTTAACGGTTGCTGGTGCGTAGGACAACCAGGAAGCAGACGTCGATTTTGGTGATCCGAAGAGGATCACTCAATCCAATCACGACGAAAGACGAGAGGCAACAATACCATTGGCTATAGCATACATGGGAAAGTACAAAGCAGAAACCAAAACAGAGTACAGTATTCATATCCAACATACATCTTCCATCGACATCATAAACATCATAAAACACATGATTCCAAAACACATCAACCATCATCTCGAACACCCTCAACTCTCACAGCTCCATCCTACAACCTGCATCATCATCCCTCAATCTCACTCCTCTCCCCCTGATCCTCCTCTTGCCTCGCAACCCTCCTCTCCCTCCTCCTCTTGATAGCCGCAATTCTACCCCCCTCCTCTTCCCACACCTCAAACATCTACACCTCAAACTCCTCTCACAAACCCCTTCTCCACCCTCGCCCTCCTCCCCAGAACCTCCTGCGATGGCGCTCTCAGAAACCTTTTATCCTGTTTATTTTCCTCCCTCACTATTGATCCCGCAGCACAAGGCGTAAGAACAATATCCGGCGCCAGTGACCCAGTAGTAACTAGCACGATATCTGTAGACGAGCGCGCGAGGCTCTTCAATGGCAGCGCTGGTTGAGGTGGACAAAACGCTGGCTTGCTACTGCCGCTACTCAAACAAGATTGTAAGAAGCCAAGTAGATTGGCGCGGTAGATGGCCGGGTTGACGATAAAGTAATTGTCGTGGTGCGAGATGTGTGGGTGTATGATATCGATTGGCATAATTTGTATTGGGTCTTGGTATGTATGGTTTGGATCCTGAGATAGGTGGGGTGCGAAAAAAATGAAGGGAGTTTCCGCGTAAAGTGTTTTCTTTCGCAGAGGTGTGGAAGGCCTTATGTGGTCCTTGAGGAATGCAAGCGGTGCGTAGTATGGAGCAACCGAAGCTTGACTGAACAATGTGTTATACTTCCGGGAAGCCGTTTTGTGTGTGGGATCTGGAACTGGAAAAGAGATACAAGGTCGAATCGACATACAAGAATATATCAATTGCAAGACTTGAGAAGGTGAAGAGACGAAAACACTGGTAGCGCATAGAGCGGTGAGCCCCAAAATTTTTGACAGGCACCAAAACAACACGTCGATTACCAAGATTTCGTCATCACCGCTCCTGCGCAAACAACAGTCTGTGTTTGTGACTTGATACTAAGAAATAGGGTATAGAGTGAACATGAATGAAGAGAACAAAAGAGGAAACACCACGTTTCGGATGTCAAGAGGTCATGAATGCTCCAACCGAAGAATATCAAACTCCCAACGCCATCGCTCGATAAAAACCCAATCATTATTCTCGGAAGGCGGTCTCATACCCACCATCATCGAGTTTCAAAAGAATAGAACGCAAAGGTAGTATCATAACAGACCTCCCAGAACCAGTCGACTAAGGCCACCAATCTCGGAGCGGACTTCGCGGCGAGTCGTGTCACCGAGTTCCTGAGTAGCGTTTTGCACAAGCACTTTGCGCAGAATCTTGTCTGCTTTTCCAAAGGCTTCACCGACACCGGGTCCTATCGACTCTGTATTTGGTAGGAGTTGAACGACTCCAGAATACGTGTCGATGAGAATGTCGGCCAAGGTTGCAAAAGCGGTGTGGAAATCGGGATCAAAGGGTAGAGAAGGAGTCTGTAGGTATGTGAACTCTGGGAGATTCCCCGAGGAGATGGGAGGCATGGGTAAAGAATCGAGTTGAGCACTCTCGACCGACTCGGACAAGCTTTCGATGGCGACACTGCTAGATCTGCGCCCCTTGACTCCACGCATGCCACTTTTGAACATGGCGCCCATACGACCACGAGCACCGACCGAAGCGTCAGGGTTGTTGAGTTGTTGGTAGGTGTCGTATTCTGAGAGCAGAGCGGCAAGGGAGCGTAGATAGTCCAGGGGATTGTCCGAGTTCATATCGAGGAGTGGAGGTATAGAGGTGCCCAGAAGGAGGTAGTTGGAAGCACGGCGCCCAAGCTTGGAGTATTGCATGGATGGTAGTTGGTTTAGGTTGGTGGGGGTGTAGAGAAGAGTGTTGAAGTAGTAGATGTGGCCCTCGTGNNTCTGCCATGTGTCAGTATTGGATGTCTGAGGAGTTGAGTGACCATGGACGTACACTTTGCGGAGATACTCGAGAGTGGCTATGCGCTTGCGACAGGTAGCGTGAATGTGATTCAGAAGGGCGGCAGGTACGGGGATGACGTTGGTTTGGGGAATCTGTGGGGTGTTGGATGGAATCAAGTTCAAGGAACTGCCATTGGTGGCATATGAAACTAGAGAGGGACGGTCTGTCTCTGAGCGTTTGAGACCATGGCTGAAAGGAGTGGCGAGCATGGAGAAGGGAGTCTTGGGGATGGGATCAGCAAGGCTGGGAGCAAGGCTGGGTCGGCGGTCGCGTGAGAAGCTATCAGACGACTTTTGCGGGCTCAAGGTGGTGTTGAAAGGCGGCTTGACCGTGTGAGTGGCATTGGCACTAATAGAGCGGCTCTGACGGTGGAGGCGGATGGGAGAGCGAGACGGGACTGCTATCGACGAGCCTCGGGCCTTGTGGTGGTATAGCGACGACAGCGACTCGTGGGAGCGGAGGGATGCGCTGCGTCGAATGTCGCCTTCAGAGGGTAGCGAGATGACCGACGAGTCTCTGCGGGCTGTGGGCGACAGGTCTTCGTTGGCTAGCGGCGAGATGGGCGTTATGGATGTGGGTTCCTTGCGAGACGACTTCTTGGTGGAGAAGATGGACGGCTTCCTGCCGAAGATGAAGGCGCTGGGCGCTGGCGACGGGTCGGGCGCCATCTTGGTCTCTGTTCCTCGTCCGCTTATACTTTTGGACTTCTAGCCACTCCTGGCCCTGCTGACGTCTGACGCAGCGGCGCAATTACTCAGGGGTAGACCCTGTATGCAGCTTTGCAACAAGCAGATCGAGATTCGAAGAGGCCTCCTTTGGTGGTCGGCCAGCCGTGCTGCGCTGCAACTACGTTTGCCTTGGTAGAGGCAGCCTTCTACGACATACAACCAGACTACAACGGCTTCTTGGCGTGTCAAATCTCCCACGCGAGCAAGAAAGGTAAAAAGATGCAGAAGAGCGTGGTCGAAGGTGCTTGTTTTGGTGAAACGAGATGCCCCTGGATCGTGAACGGAACTCAAGCCGTCGTCCAAGCGCCAGCATCTCCCCACCGCCAATCTGCACATGCCCCACCACGACTCGATACTCACCTCTCCTCTCTTGTGCAACACGACTCTTTTGTCCGACACAAGATTGTGATACCGTAGCCATGTCTTCCACAGAGGTACTCCTCTACCGCATCACTGTAGGCCTAAGAGACGCTGACCGTCTCGCAGAGCATTCCAGCTCCTGGTAAGTGGCCTGTCGACCCCCAACAAGACGTCCCAATCAGCGACGACCGCGTTTGGGTCGACGGATGCTTTGATTTTGCCCACCACGGCCATGCCGGTGCCATGCTCCAGGCTCGTCGTCTGGGAACTGAGCTTCTTGTTGGTGTACACTCTGACGAGGCCATCCTCGAGAACAAGGGGCCTACCGTCATGACTCTGGACGAACGGTATTCTAATCACAATGCCCTCGGCCTGTCCAAGTGAAGCTGAATCATCCCACCTAGCTGTGCTGCTGTTGACGCCTGTCGCTGGGCCACCAAGTCCATCCCTCACGCCCCTTATGTAACATCACTACCCTGGATCTCTCATTACGGCGCCAAATACGTCGTTCACGGAGACGACATCACTTCAGACGCCAATGGCTACGACTGCTACAGATTCGTCAAGGAGGCTGGCCGTTTCAAGGTTGTCAAGCGCACTCCTGGTATAAGCACAACCGACCTCGTTGGACGCATGTTGCTATGCACAAAATCACACTTCATCAAGGATCTCGATGCCCTGCTCGAAGGCCAGGAAGGTCCAGGCGGTGAAGAGGAGAGAAAGAGCACAGGAAACGACATGAAGGAGAGAATCAGAGAGTACGCGACAGACGAGTCTGGAAACAAGCCACTCGTCGAGGTCTGGAGTTGGCGTTCTGCCCACTCGAACCAGCAACACTTCCACCAGAATGGCTCTTTCCTCAAGAAGGTCAATGGAACGTCGCCACAGCCTGACCAAAAGATCGTCTATGTTGACGGTGGCTTCGACCTCTTTTCCACTGGTCACATCGAATTCCTCAAGCAAGTTGTCGAGACTGAAGAAAAGGAGGCCAAGCAGAATGGTTGGAACAAGCACTACAGTCCTGTCTATGTTGTTGCAGGTGTTCACAGCGATGAAGCCATCAACGACTACAAGGGCATCAACTACCCCATCATGAACATCTTTGAGCGCGGTCTCTGCGTCCTGCAATGCNNAAAGTAAGCTTAGAACCATTAACACCATCAAAATCCTCCAGCTGACAAGAATCAACAGTACATCTCCTCCCTCGTCTTCATGGCGCCCACCGTCCCCAGCAAAGCCTTCCTCGACTCACTACCCTACTCCGTCCAAGCAGTCTACCACGGCCCCACCATCTCAGCACCTCCCGGTCAAGACTTTTACACCGACGCAAAAGAAATGGGCATTTTCAAGGACATCTCCTCACACCCATACTCGCAAGTCAATGCAGACTCGATCGTCGCCCGCATCCTAAAGAGCAGAGAGTTGTACGAGGAACGCCAGCGCGTCAAGGGAGTCAAAGGCATTGGCGAAGAAGCCGTACGCAGAAGAGAAGAAATGGAAAGGGAAAAGGCGGAAAAGGATAAAGCTGCACGTGCATAGATTTTGCTACGGAGAAACGTTAGCAATAATGAAGACTAGAACGTCTCCCTCTTGTACTTTGACCCCCCCGAAGTGTATCAAGCCTATCATCTCTTCTGTGTGGAAATCCACTCGGTCTCGGAAAAAGTATCATGCAATTTTATAGTTTACGATACACACAGTCTAGCACACGGAAAGTAGCACACCAAACGTACCACAGGACACCCCAAAACAAGCAAATCTTCTTCCATCACTCAGTATCGACTTTGTCCTCTTAAAACACATTTACGCAACCATCTCAAATCCAAAAAGCACGTCCTGTTGGTTGAGTGTCTGGAGAACGCAATGGCTGGTGGGTCGAGTGGCTGTGAGTGAAAAGAAAGAAAGAGGAGGGAAGGCTGGAAGTGTCTTTCTATTGTGTGAGTAAAGATGGTTTGACGACTTGTTCTTGGAGGTGTTTGGGATTGTGGGATGATGTGGTAGAAGCTGTACTCCAGGTCTGCATCTCCAGCTTGCCGTCATGACATTTTGCAGTTATCAAGATGCACAGAGATATTACTGAACATGACAGTGTCCATTGAATGGTTTGCACAATGAAGAAGAAGAAGATTTAGCATTTTTGGAGGTCGAAAGATGAACCATCTAAGTAAGCTTCTGCTTGATGAAGAAGTTTCTCAAGTGCGAGAGCTGCCAGGCGCAAGTGACACCCAAAATGGCAAGTTGAACAAGAGTCCAGCGCACAACACGAGCATTGGTGTGCTCAGACATGTTTCTGAACTCGGCCTCACGCTCTCTCTGGAAAACCTGCTCCTTTCTGATATCGCTGAGTCTAGCATTCAAGTCCTTGACTTTTGCGACAATGTCGGTGATCTTGTGCTTGTCGTCGCTCTCGATGCGCGAGGTCTCGCCAATGGCCATGTCGACTTCGAGCTTGATGTTTCCAGCCGAGGAGCCGCCTGCGAGCCAGCCTTGAGCAGAGGGGACGTTGGTGGGGGTGAAGCAGATGCGGTGGTCGCCAGAGTCGGCGGCGGAGAAGGTGAAGCGGCCCTGGGAGTTGCCGCGCTGGGAGACGATGCGGTGGTCGTTGTCGAAGATTTCGTCGACGCTGATGTAGAGGCCCATGTCAGGGTTGGCTTCGTATCTGCGGGAGGCTTCGTTCCATTGGGTAGCGGTGTAATGGCCTGTGATCTGTTAGATTCTTGGACAAGACAAGAGAAGAAGTGGTAGGATTAGAGACAGGGGTTGAAGATACTCACCAACTACCAGGGTGTCCTTGGGGAGCTCCTCGAAGAAGCACTTTTGGGAGGGGCCGTCAATGTAAAAGTAGAGGGCGTGGGTCGGCAGCAGCAGGGCCGCGAATGCAAGCACCGAGAACAGCATCGAGTGCATCGTGAAGGTCGTTATTCGTGAAGAGATGGGCGAGAGGGAGATGCCCCTAAACACTTGAACAGCTGTTGCACCTTCCACCGCTGAAATGCCAAGAAGTGTGGAGGCTCGCCGCAACTGCCCTCCAAACAGCAGCAGCAGCAGCAGCAGCATCTTCACGCGACGACTTTCCTCTTCCAATCGCGACTTCTCATACGCGAAACAATTCACCATGTCGGCACAAGATATGCGCGACATGCTCGGCCTGACGGGCGATGTTGCCCGTCCGCCGCCCTTGAAGAAGCAAAAGACGGTCGAGAAGCGTGCACGTATGTCGCATCTTTCAATCACTGGATGCGCCGCCTGCTAACCAGATGCAGTCGAGAAGGGAATTGCTCGTGAGGTTTCGGCTCTGATGGGTGAACGCGCTCCGCCAATTGCTATGATCCAGGTCCAACCAAAGTACAAACAACGGCCCAGACGATCACATCGAGTTGCGCCATGGGAGTGGGCCTCTTTCAACAACCAAGCAAGAGAGGACCGTCTCACTCTACATCACTGGCAGCGCAAACACACTCCCAAACCTCGTCCTCAAGCAGAACAACAGCCGCAGACCGAGTCGGAAGCCGATGTCGAGAAACAACCAGAGCCCGAACAGCAGCAAAAAGACTATCAATACGCCAAGTACAACGTCCAGGTCGAGACTCCTACCTACGACCAGCATCTATACGACGCTCAACTACAGGATCCAGACTGGACAAAGGAAGAGACAGATTACTTGGTAGAAGCCGTAAAAGACTATGGTCAAAAGTGGCCAGTCGTCATTGATCGCTATGAGTACCAGCCAGAGCCTGCTGAAGAGGGTGCAGAAGCGCCGCAACCAAAATCTCGTTCTATGGAAGATCTCAAGGCACGCTATTACACTGTCAGCGCAAAAGTCCTGGCCAATCACACTCCTATTTCATCAATGACTGGCCCGCAATACAACCTATACTCGACCCTGACGTCCTTCAACCCCGTCCAGGAGACATCACGGAAGAAGCTCGCCGAAGGTCACCTCTACCGTACTCAACTCGAGGTTGACGAGGAAAATGTCCTGCTCGCCGAACTGCAACGCATCATGATCAATCAGCAACAACTTGAGAATGAACGCAAGGAGATCCGTGACAGACTTGAATACCCATCAGCAAGCAACACGGCAGCCGCCCAATACAGCACGTCCCAACAACTCGGCCAGCTCTTCCAACAACTGTTACAAGCCGATCGCATGAAGAAGGATCGCCGACTAAAAGCTTTGGGCGATACTCCTGGTGGCGGTCCTCCCACGTCCGCACAGCTCCAGTCCGCTGCAGGCGCATCCTCTGCCCATCGCGATAGTATCAGCAGTGCTACGGGTGTCCGCAAGGCTGGAGGTCGCGACTCTATAGCCGGAGGGTCCAGTGCGGGAATGGATCCCACAGCACGCGCCCTGACTCCTCACGCCGCCCATCGTTACTTCGTCACCCAACACGACCGTCTCAACAGCGGTGTCTCGTTTGCTTCTGACCGTCTTCACCGCGCCCGTTCCGCCAAATCCATGATCCAGACTGAGAAAATCTCTGCTATCCTCAATCATTTGCGCATTCCCGACATCATTCCTCTGCCTACTCAACGCGTCATCGAAGACTTTGAGAAACTGATGCAGAAGGTGCACGTCTTGTTGGATATGCGCAAGGTAGCGGATAAAGAGGAGCAAGAGATTAAAGTCAAGGAGGCCGAAAAGAGGATCAAGGAGGGCAAAGAAGCTGTCAAGGAAGAGGGCGAAGATGTCAAGGTTGGACAGAAAAGAAGCGCATCTGTGTTGAGTAATGATGCCCAGGGTGCTACGAAGAGGCCCAAGAACTGAACTTAGAACCGTAGCCTCATGAAGTCGTTTGGCAGAAAACAATGACGAATTTGGATCAATCTCAAATGTTCAACTCTTGCCAGACAGACGTCTTTGTTTCTATGGACAGCATCACTCATCTCAAAGAACATTGTGAATTTTTTACAAGCGCTCCCATGACAAGTCTATCACAAGGGAGATACATACCTTTGAACAACACACCACAAATTTGTTCAGCAAACGTATACTCCCATGGTACATGCTTTTGATCAGGAACTTCAACCTACCTTTCAACAGCCTGTTCTTTTCCACACACAAGACTGTAGAAAAGTCAGGTATCATCGAACACGAAAAACATCGGCACCTTATACCAAAACTCTCGCTTCTTCTTCTTGTCGTACTGCGGATTCTTGGAAGATGCCGTGCATACCGTCCGTACTTTTTGAGAAGAATTCAATCGCCAATGATAATCTCATGTCAAATCTTGGTTCCCCCGTCTCGACAAGGAGCCCGGCTTGTCAGATAAAGGGTAATTTGACCTGAGGGTTTCGTCCTCGCTGTACTTTGTGCAGTTGGAGGCTTTCTTATGCAGATGCCTTCCCGTATCTCTACCTTCTAGTCGACTACAGGCAGAACCAGCTAGTCTTATCATGAACTCGGTTGTCGAGATGCAGGTGCTCGACTCTAACTCATGTTTTTCCTTTTATTGTAGGTATAATCAAGGATATCGTGCAATCCTTCCCTACCTCCAAACTAGGTGAAACTATAGTAGAGCGAGTTGATTCTTACTATAACCCCAGTATCTGAGATGCAGGTTTCTCGACCACCTCTCGCGTTTTCACTCTTGTCGTCAGTGTAGTCAAAGATATCATGCGTATGCTCATCAACCTCGCCGACACGATAAGTGTATGGAGAAGACCTTGTCGACATTGACCCCGGCCACCGAAGGCGCATCACATACTCGAATCATCAGATCTAGCATTCGGACCAAAAGCCTGAGCAATATTGGTAGTATTAGCTGCCATGTTGACCCAGAGTAGATATTTCGAGCTGTATGCAAAGTGCAATATGATCAAGTCATGTCTGAAATGATGAGTAAACTAAGCGTTCAAAAATGACGAGACATGTCCAGGAACTTTTTGGGAAGCCTCTCCTAGAGCCAAGGTATCTCCTACACGTAACCATGAAAATACACAACACTATCCAAGAACTCAGGTAAAGTCCATAGAATTGCAACATCTCATAGGCTTTCTCTGGTGACCCTTTCAAACTCGAAAAAACATTCGTGCATTTCGATGGTGAACAAACTTTTGTGTCGCTGTGTGAAGTCGGCAGGAGGCCTTTGCACACAGGAAGGAAGGAAGTGTGGTTTTAAAGCAAGATCTGCATATCTGATCAACACAAAGCAGACCCACAAGCATGGTGTTCTTTTTATATCCGCTCTTCTGTTTCCCGGGGCTTGCTCGATAAATCGCATACCGATCATGAATCGATGAATCGAACGATGAGGAATAGTTTTTGTCAAGGTGGACATATGGAATCGTGTAAGAGAAGATTGAAAAGATACATCGTTATTGGAATGAGTATTAAAGTATGATAGGAAGTTCGTTATATAATGCATGCAGTATGCGAAGGACTTTGTATCGCTTCGATGGGGGTATATGTGATGAAGTGTTGAACGTGACTTATCCGAAAGGTCGGATTGACTCTGGTCGGCGACGACGACAGGAGGTCTGTTGGTCACAGGCACTTGAAAGGTGTTGTCGTGGTGGTATGGACAGCAAAGACTCAAGTAGGCCTTCGTATCCGGCGTGTGCTTCTTGTCACACGTCATCCAATCCGGACCCTGATCATCGTGTGGAAGCAGTTCCGTTCCGTCTCGTCAAGAGACTCTGCGAATCAGGTTTTGGCTCTGTTCCCGATCAACGGGGTTGGAAGAGGCTGGGACTACGCAAGCCAGCGTCGTTGCTTGTCCTTGCATCTTGGTTGATGGTTGTACTGGGCGGCGTCTCTACAACATCGGTATAGATGGATGATGTTGAGCTCATAGCTTATGCTCGAGGATTTACAGCTCGAAGGAAGCAATCCTCGAGCTGCTCGAGCCGTGGACCCCATGGCTGCTTAGGGTCGTGTTTCGTAAGAGAGTTGCAGAGGTGCCTTCAGGGAGCAGCGTCCGTCTCCGAGACCCAAGCGTTTATGCGTGCCCTGTCGACCTTTGAACTGGCCACGCTCCCGTTGTCCTGAATCTCCTTGATACGGGAGTGTCTGCCGTGCTTGTCGAGTTTTCGTACAGCATCTTCGGTCAAAGGAGACACGCGGGTAGATTGTCTGGTTGAAGTAGGAGCCCCTCTTTCTGCTTCAGTGGCTGTGTCGAGGAGCCATTGCAGTCCGTTGGCAAAGAGATGAGTGCGTTCGTCTTGCATGGCGGAAATCATCGAATTGTTTTGAAGTAATTGTCTGGCGAGGGCTTTTGTGTCTTTTGAGAGACCTCGTGTGGTGGGGCTTGGAACGGGATTTTGGGCGTTGATCAGGTTCTGGTGAGAGGGAAAGACATGGCTGTAGCTGCCTGTTCTTGCAAGACTTGGATGTGCTGAAGCTGTCGAGGAGGTGATGCGAGAAGTTGTGGATTGAGTTGACGATGAAGTGACAGACTCCATTGGTGAGATGCTCGGTGAGGGCATGTTGACGATAGCTTCTTGAATACTCGATGAATGTATTGTGATAGAGCGAACGGGAAGAGACAAGAGGATATGATGACAGAGAAACAGCCGGAGCCTCAGCTCATACAGTACCTACTCAACAGCATGCCTGGTGGCTTGGACATAGGCCACACGCAAGCGCAAGCATCTCAAAACATCGGCGATGATGTACCTTTCGTCACAGCTCCTTCCCTGTCGTTCTCTGTCCGTCCAAGGTTTCGCATGGTTACCGAAAAGTCGCAGCGCTCCATGACAGGACCTGAAGCTAGGCGGAGAAGAGCTGTGACTAGGCAGGAAGTGGTTTGATCCCCGATTGGCAAATGCTCGCATCGATGATCTCACGCTACGATGGGACAAGATCGTCAATGTCAGAGATTCACACGCGAGCCTCAATTCGTCTACACCTGCCCGAGGCCTCCCTTACCGCCAACGACTTCCCTCTGGCAACGCGATACCTGCAATTTCTGCATCAAGGAATGCCATTCTCAGCTCATGTCAACAACACAATACAATCTCCGCTTTGTATAAAGACCAATAGCGATCCACCACGACACAACTTCCAAGATATCCGGGAAACGTTTGTCTTCGCGGACAGCCGAAAAGCGCATCTCCATCACCGATGCCCACTCCCGAAGCTCTGTTTTATCTCGCCTACGTCCGCACTACCCAATAGCTCGTTATAGATGACGTTGGAGAAAAGATGGCTTTTTCTGTTTCCTTTTTCGGTCCCCTTGTAGGGAAAGGGTTGCAGAGGCTTGAACGACTTTTTGCGCGACGCGCTCAATCGTGTGGGCCTTCTTCCGCAGCGATGTCTGGTGGTATCCTGGCGGCATTGAACGCGAGGAGGCCATGAGACGAGCATTCAATGCTCAAGATGTACATCACAATCGCACAGGATCCGTTAGGTGTCAGCACAGAAAGACAGCCCGAAAGCATCGATTCAGAACATTTACTCATGTCATCACCAAAAAGGCTTAAACAGCACAAGAGCCTCTCTCACACAAAAGCCACATTTTTGCTTTTGAGAGGTAGACTTCATCAACTCGTCTTCGTGAAACGTTGGGAGGCATAGTCTGTCGCATTTGTCTCTAGCTCATGTCATCTTTGCTCTACGAAACCTCTGCATCGAGTGAACAGCATATCACATCCCTGACACCAAACAGCAGAGTAGAGAACACATCACCAGATCAAAACCAAGTATACAAATTGCAAAAGAGAAGTTTGACAGAAAGACCAGCTTTTCCATTTGTTTCGTTATCATCATTCGTTCCCTCATCAATCTCATCAGAAAAGGATATCATCTATGCTTTTGTTGCTTCCCAAAATTCCACCAAAACTCCGTCCCGAAAACAAAAGAGAGATTGTAAAAGAGAAAACTGAAACACCCAAACTCCTTTGCTTCCCCATAAAAAGATTCCTTCTATCCCGTGTAAAACTCCATGAAAGATGCGATGTTGTGTTGCAGATGTAGAACCTCCTCTTCGTATCCACCTTTCCTCCGCATGTGAAACGCCAAAAGCAGTGTCAAAAGAAGACCAGATCAATTAAACCCGCGACCACGACGCGCGCGAGGAGCAGGTTCTTCATTCCACTCTTCCTCCATTTGTCTTGCCATCTCCTCGTCGGCAGCAATTTGAGCAGCAGCGTCGCTGGTAACAATGAGGTCGCTCTCAAAATCTATACCAGCAGTGTTGTTGTTGTTGTTGTTGTTGTTGTTGTTGTTTCTGTTCGAGTCCAAGGGACTTTCGGTTTGTTCGGGGATGGGAGAGAGGTCTGACAAAACCAGACAATTGTCTGCGAAGTTCGCGGTTCTTTCTGGTTCTGTCGGCAGGGTTGACAATGGGGTCTTCATCTTCCTCGTCGTCTTCGTCGTCTTGCGCTTCTTGCTCTTGGGCTTGACGTTGGCGTTCGCGTTCCTCACGTTCAATGGCAGCTCTGGCTTGACGATCGGCGAGAATCTTCAACCAATATGCCTTTTTGGTGGGTCCTGGGTCGGGTGACTTGGTTGGTGCAGGTTCAGGCGAAGCCTTGCGTGTGTAGTGCTGTCTGGGATCATACCATTCGCCTAAGTCGCTGGTCTTGGACTTGTCGAGAAGGCGGTCGTCCTTTTGCTGAATCTGTTGAGAGGAGTGAAGTCGGACATGCGCTTTTCCTTTTTGGACTGAGGCTCTGAGGTGGGTTGTTTGTCGTCATTGGAGAAACGCTTGCGCTTGGGTGAAGGTGCTGCAGTGGATTGTTCGTCGTCTTCATCGTTGTTGATGGATCGAGCACGCTTCTGCTGACTTGGTCTGGCTGGTTGCTTGGGAGGTTGGATGACTTCTTCCTCATCATCGTCGTCGCTGGTGGTGGTGATGGGCTTCTGGCGAGATGATCTGGCAGATGGTGGTGGTGCAGTGATGGTTGGAGCGGGATCACGTCTGTGACGAGATGATCTGGGACCAGAAAGGATGTTCTCGGTCGAGAGGGCGTAGTAGGCATGATCTTGAGTCGAAGGCACAGCCGACGAAGACACAACCGAGGTGCTACGAACACGTTTGGCAGGCTTCGAAGGAAGAGGTGCAGAGATGAAGTCGTCGTCGTCTTCGTCGTCGGAGTTGGCCTTGCGCTTGTTGTTCTGACGGCGACCGAAGCTTGTCTCGATGGAAGAAGCAGGAGTTGCCGAAGACTCCTTGCCGTTCGATGGAGTGCTGGCAACCAAAGAGGTGACAGCAGAGGTGCCACGTTTGGTGCTCTGACCAGGAAGAGCAGAGGTGGTGAGCCCAGAAGCCCGCTTCTTCTCACCGCGATCCTCGAACCCCGAGGCAGCCCGCAATCTGCGGTTCCACTGGAGCTTCACACCAGAAGCGGTGCGGTTGAAGCCAGCTTCACGCTTCATGCGATCGGCGACCACCTCGAAGCGCTTCTCTGTGGCAGCAATGGCGGCGTACCCAGCCAGAGTGCACACCTCCTTCATGAACTTGATGCAGGCAGCATCCTCGGCCAGAGACCAAGTGCTTGCCTTGCGAGAGGAGATGATGGGAGCGGGCGCGGCCGAGACCCTTGAGGGTTGCTTGCCTCCTGCTGCGCGACGAACAGGGCGAGCAGGGGCGTACTCGTCGTCGTCGTCCTCGAACTCCTCGTTCTCGTCCTCCTCAAGTTCCTGCTGCCCTTCAGGAGCTTCCGCGATGGGGTCGCCACCTGAAGCGGGCCTCTCCTCTTCGTCGTCACCAGAACCTGCAGGGCCAAAGGCACCCACAGGTCTCTTCGCCGCCATTTGCATGGGACGAAGTTCATCTTCAGAGTCGGTCTCGTCCAGCAAGACCTCGTCCTCCGAATCACTGGCTTCGACCTCGCAGTCGCAACCCAACGGTCTCAATCTCACTGGCTCTGCCGAAGCAGGAGACATTGCCCTTCCCCACCAGTGGGAAGGGCAGAGGTCGTCAAAGCCAGGGAGGTTGCCGGGCTAGACCACACGGGACTGGCTCTCCACACCGGCCAGCAAGCTGTGAATATCAAGACCGTTGTCGGTCTCGACAGCCGCATAGTCAATGGGGGCAGGGGAAGGAAGTGCCTCCAGGGGTTGTCGAAATCGAAGCCTTCTCCAAGGCCGGTGTCGAGGTCGTCGTAGTGGCGGACTTCGTGCCAGCTGGCAGGGAGAGGACTGTCGAAATCGGCAAAGGAGAGGAGGGGTGAGTCCATTGTTGTTGGTGTGGTGGGCGGTAAGTGGTGAGAAGGGGTACGATGAGACCGGCTCAAGGTACGATGAAGAGATGCAGAGAGAAGAACAACAACTAATAGACACAACAGAGAAGAGGAGAGGAAAGGAAAGGAAAGAGAAACTCAGGAAGGGTATAAGACCTACCCTGACAATAGCTATACAGGTCTATAGGGTTATAGACCACACAATAGGGTAGGACATGGCATTGTCAAATACCATTGTGCACAATGACACTGAGATATGCCTCAATGGAGGAAAAGCTGCAGTGGAAGAAGGAGACAATAACCTTATGAGTGAGAACAGAAAGAGGGGCATTGTTAGTATAGAATGGACAACAAGCGCGCGAATAGAGACGCAATAGATGTGTGGTGAACGTGTGGTTGAAAGTGAGAGTGAGGGAAAAGCGGACTCGGAAGGAGAAATAATGGGCTATTGTGCAGGGTAATGACAGGCACATGGGCACAGTACAGGGGGCTGAAGTGCAAGAACCTCAGCAAATGAGTAGGAAAGATGCTGAGTGGTGACAAAATGGATGTTGGATGGTGGTATATGGGAGACGAACAGCAGGTGATGAAGATGGGAGCGTGAGATGCATTGGGAGCAGGCTCGGCGTGAGACCACACCTCTCCATGCGCAAAGTGTACAGCGTGTGTGGCTATAAAAATGCACAGCAATGACGAGAAACAAGACTACGTCCACTGAGAGCTATTGTCTTGAAGGACCCTCTCTGGAGTCATCTCGAAGCTGGAAACATTTGTGCATTTTCATAGCACGAGTATTGCATCTGCTTGGCGCGTGAGACGAGCTGAGATGGAATTGGTATGTATATGATTCACAAGGTAGACATGATAGTGCAAGGTTGTAACCTCTACTGATTCCCAACATTTCTAGAGAATCGGAACGATCCTTCCATGCGGGCGCCCAGCAACGGGTAAAGTCCATCTGCGCACAGCGCGAAAACGACCTTGCCAATGAAAGGCAAAGGACGTCGATAAGTAATGTTGTAAGCTGGCGGTGTTTGTAGAAAACAGAAGGAGAGGGCTGCGCGGAAACAGTTTTGTGGTGAGTGAAGCTGGAGGTCTGTGCAGCATGACGGAAGGAGCCGACGATCTGGATGTCGAGCCGGGGGGTCAGTTGGCAACTTGGAGGCAGCCGGCGACGTCTCCAGTTGTTGACATACAGCTATACCGTCAAAGGGAAGCTGCGCACCTTTTCCCCTTCGAATCACTGCAATACACGGCATTGTAGTCTCACCCCGACCGCCCTCCCTCCGACTTTCCTCGAAGCAGCATCTCTACAGCCCAGGGGTAGCTTTATCCACACAACATGGCCGCATTCGCGCCCCACGGAGCACCAGCCATGGACTACGAAGCCCTGAAAGAGCAATGGAGCGACATCGAGGACAAGGACGGCATCAGATTGAGTTGGAATACCTTCCCCTCGTCGCGCATGGTACTTCCTCTCCATCAGTCCTGACACGAAGCTCTCTCTAACAGCTTCACTACACAGGAAGCCTCGAGACTGGTTGTCCCCATCGGAGCCCTCTACACACCACTCAAGGAGAAGACCGACACACCGCTGCTTCAGTATGAGCCCGTTTCTTGCAAGCAGCCTTGCCGTGCCGTCTTGAACCCCTTCTGGTAGGTCACGCTCCTTCCTGAAGCGTCTAAGACGCCATGCTCACCACACGACAGCCAAGTCGACATGCGCGCCAGGATATGGATCTGCCCCTTCTGTCTGCAACGCAACGGCCTGCCACCTCACTACAAGGACATTTCCGAGAATGCCATCCCTCCCGAGCTCCACCCCTCTAGCACCACCATCGAGTACAGACTGGCTAGACCCGCCCCCGTCCCTCCAATTTTCGTCTTCGTTGTCGACACTTGTCAAGAGGAGGATAGTTTGAAGGCTCTCAAGGATTCTATCATCATGTCGCTCAGCCTGCTGCCTCCCAACGCCCTGGTCGGTCTGATCACCTACGGGACCATGGCCCAGGTCCACGAGCTCGGATACACCGAGTGCGCAAAGTCCTACGTCTTCCGCGGTTCCAAGGACTACACTGGCAAGCAGGTTCAGGAGATGCTTGGTCTGATGACTGGTGGCGGCGCAAGACCTGGCATGCCTGCCATGCAGCCCCAGCCCGGCCGCCCCGCTCCCACTGCTCCCATGGGCGCCGCCGCCAGATTCCTGTTGCCCGTTCAGCAATGCGAGTTCCAGCTCACAAACGCTCTCGAATCTCTGCAGAAGGATCCCTGGCCCGTCGCAAACGATAAGCGTCCTCTGAGATGTACCGGTGTTGCTCTGAGCGTCGCAACTGGTCTTCTCGAGACCTCCTTCCAGAACGCCGGCGGTCGCATCATGCTCTTCACTGGAGGTGCTGCTACCGAAGGCCCTGGTATGGTTGTTGGTCCCGAACTCAAGGAGCCCATCCGTTCCCACCACGACATTGACAAGGACAACATCAAGTACTATAAGAAGGCCCTCAAGTTCTACGAAACTCTGGCCAAGAGAACTGCTCACAACGGCCACATTATCGACATCTTCGCTGGATGTCTGGATCAGGTCGGTCTCCTGGAAATGAGAAGTCTGGCGAACTCGACTGGTGGCCACATGATCTTGACCGACAGCTTCACTTCGTCAATGTACAAGCAGTCATTCGCCCGCATCTTCGACAAGGACGCCAACGACAACCTTCTGATGGGCTTCAATGCTTCGCTCGAGGTCTTGACCACAAAGGAACTCAAGGTCACTGGTTTGATAGGTCATGCCGTGTCCATGAACAAGAAGTCGGCCAACGTTGGTGAGACCGAGTGTGGTATCGGTAACACTTGCTCGTGGAAGATGTGTGGCATCAACCCCAGCTCGAGTTATGGCATCTACTTTGAGATTGCTGGTCAAGGTGGTCCCTCAAACGTGCAGCAAGGCCCTCAAAAGGGTCTCATGCAATTCCTCACATACTACCAGCACTCCTCTGGCCAGTTCCATCTTCGTGTTACCACTGTTGGTCGCAATATGAGCGGTCCTTCAGGTGACCCAGCCATTGCCCAATCGTTCGATCAAGAAGCCGCAGCAGTCCTCATGTCTCGTATCGCAGTCTTCAAGGCTGAGGTCGATGATGGTCCGGATGTGCTCCGCTGGGTTGATCGCATGCTTATCAGGTTGTGCTCTCGCTTCGCCGAGTACCGCAAGGACGACCCTTCATCTTTCCGCCTAGAGAAGAACTTCACGCTTTACCCGCAATTTATGTTCCACTTGCGTCGTTCGCAGTTCTTGCAGGTCTTCAACAACTCGCCCGATGAGACTGCATTCTACAGACACGTGCTCAACCACGAGGACGTGTCAAACAGTTTGGTCATGATTCAGCCTACTCTCGACAGCTATAGTTTCGATCACGAGGGCAGTCAACCCGTCTTGCTTGACTCTACCAGCATCCAGGACCAGACTATCCTTCTGCTCGACACATTCTTCCACATTCTTATCTTCCACGGCGAGACCATGGCACAATGGCGCAAAGCCGGTTACCAGGATCAAGAAGGATACGAGAACTTCCGAGAGATGCTCGAGGCACCCAAGGAGGACGCCAAGGTGAGTTTCATCGAATATTTCAATTCGAAGAGTGCACCACATACTGACAACCATTCTAGNGAACTTATTCAAGACCGCTTCCCTCTGCCCCGCTTCATTGTCTGTGACGCCGGCGGTTCTCAAGCACGTTTCCTTCTTTCCAAGCTCAACCCCTCAACAACACATACAACTGGCGCATACGGCGGTGTCAGCCAAACTGCCCAGACCATCTTCACTGATGATGTGTCGCTACAGACCTTCATGGATCACTTGATGAAGTTGGCTGTCAGCGGTAACAGCTAAACGTAGTGGTCAAGCGGCATGATGTGATGAGAAGAAGTGTGCGATAAGTAGTGTAGAGAGAGAAAGAGGAAGACCAGCAAGACTATTCTCACCAGTGTTTTCAAAAAAAAAGACAAATTCTTTACCATTCAGACTCTTCAGCTAGACATCTGCGCTCCAGTCAACACCCTTTAGTTACCAATGCTAACAGCTCAACGAAGCAGGGACGTAGTAAAAATATCACTCTAGCCGTGCAGTGCATCTCATGTAAGGGCGTGCAAATTATGACGGTTGTCTTCAAGCAGCAACTTTTTAACATACAACTGCCTTGCTCGAGGTATAGGCGAACATTTCCTCTCTCTTATCATTTTCTTGTGTTAGCACTATCAATTCTGATCCGATACGCCCCTTCTGTCCCAGGCTTGCGTGGCGTCGTTTCGTTCTCGAGTCGTTGGAACTGCATGGTTGCCAATCCGAATAAGAAGGAGCGAACAACTACCTCCTTCCTTCATATCCCATAGCAACACAACAGATGGCTACTTCCTCGAGGCAGCATCAGGAACACATAAAGTTTTACCAAACATCAACCTCGATGCTTTTCTTGTTTACAGCCATCGACGTCCTCGTCCACCATCGTCTGCATCCACCATCGTCTGCATCCACCATTATCTTCCTCCATCGTCTTCGTTGTCGTCGTCACCACCACCATTTTCATCAAAACATCCACCATCATCAAATTAGCGAAGCTTCAGCGGCGGTGCAACCACGCGACGCAACGCTTTACTCTGCCTTTCCCTACGGGGTTTGGGGGACCCAAAAGACCTTCGCATCAGCATCCCTCTGTTTTCATGTATGAATCCAAGTCTGCTTTTACGTCGTGAGTCATTGGGGTGCAACGTGAAGAAGCGGGTTGGCCGATCCTGCATGACGGACAAACGTTTGAGGTGGTGGGTGTTTTGGTGATAAGAGCTGGCAAGGAAGATGGTGGAGATGAGGCAATAGAGACATTGTTGTCGCTTACCGTGGCCGATACGGATGGCACGCGTTTGCGATGGTGTCTCTCGCTAAGATGGCCGATGTAATGTCGCAAGTTCTAGTGAATAAAGCAAGTTGTGGTGTTGATGTTTTTCTTACTTCTTGCAGGCTTAGATCAAGAAGCACTTGTCCACTAGTCTGCCTCAACGCATGTAGAGACATGCTAATACACGGCCGATAAGTTGAGTTCATGCAACGAGTCGAGGCAGACCTTACAGCTGGTCTGGTTCTACGTACAGCAACCATCGAGCAACACCAGACCTATAGTAGCGGCACCATAGTACTACTCTTCTGGACACGACCATGTTCATGTTGAAGCCCTGCTTGTTGCATAGTATCTATACATTGCTAGGTTTCATCAGCATAGACTTGTCTCTCACACTGGAATGGCTGTTTAAGGAGTGCATTATGTGCACACATTCTTGCCGATCTAACTGATCCAGCTGATGGACCATCTCTCACTAACGCAGATACTGCTACTTACTAGCTTGGCTTATCATTCGTGTCTGTCGTACTGCAGATTCGCATGGACATCATTTTCTTCCTTGTCCCACACTGGCTATGCGGTCAGGGTGCTACTCCCAGCAAGCCATTTCTAGCAACAATCACGAATTGTAGCATCAACATGCAGAAGATAACTCTTCCATACAGCTTAAAGGGTACTCTGGTACCTCCTTCATGGGGTACGCTTGAGGTTTGTATGACTTCCTTCGGCTTTGATGCTCTATTGAACAAATTCGATTCTGTATGTTGCAGATCCAAAAAGCTCTGGCAAGACGGTGACATTCACGAGTCTCATCGCGGCACATTCTCACCATGGAGTAAGTGTAATATGTAGCAACCTATACGCTCAATGTATATGAGGAAACTCATGACTATAAGCACTCTTCCTTCTGGGTATTGGTCCTAGTCCGATGCATGGTCTCATTCTGGCGTGCTGTCCTGTAAATGATGTGCAACATATACAGACATAGCTCAAACCAAGCATATTAAGCCGCTTTAGCTCATCTGGGAGAGCGCCAGACTGAAGTCAACTTCTGTCCTCATCACTCCTCGTGATGGTATTCTGGAGGCACTGTGTTCGATCCACAGAAGCGGCATTCTTCTTTTGCCTGACAACTGCATGTTCTTAGCCCATCTTATTTTCTTTTTGTCTTCCTCGATCGATGGCCGAAGCAAAGCGCTGCCAAAAACGGTCCATCCGAGGCAAAAGAAGTGCAATCTAAAATTCCTTGAAGCCCGTGGATGAAGAAAAGGCTTGGCCATGTGGATTTTTTTTTCTTGTTTCGTATCTCGCTGCGGCTGGTGCAAAGGTACGAACTGCGCCTACGAGTAAACAGTACGCGTATCAAAAAGCGTAACTTTTCGAATCCCATAAAACTTGTTCGTCTTTTTGCGTTGGATGGACAAAAGTATCACAAGTTTGCACACGAGGAGTGGGGTTGCACAGCCACAAGGAGTTACAGAGAAACAAAAAAGAAGGCCAAAAAAGACTCTACTCACGAAAAAAGCATGCATCAAGGTCAAGGGTTGACGATATGACTTTGCCTCTTCGCTTGTTTTTAAGTCTTTTAGTCGTGCATGTTATCGTTTCCCATAACCACCCTTCTGGAGTCTTTCAATAGTGAGGGCCAGAAAGCATCTAAGCAAAGAAAAGCTGCCACCACGAAGTTTCATAGCCCCATGTCTTCTTGCATTGAATTTCCATGTAAACAAAAACAAAAGCGATGATTAGTCCAAGTATATCGGCTGCGAAGAAACACAATGAAGGAGCAAAAGATGGAGTAGCTGGGAATCGAACCCAGAACCTTCTCCACTCAGTAGTGCTCGAAGAAGAGCAATGCTAAGAAGATGTCATACCACTAGACCACAACCCCAATTGTTGAAGGTTTCTCGAGCATGTTGAAACAAGTCCAGGTTGCCCAAGGCGCTCATGCTGGCACCAACTAGAGAACATCCGTACCATTGCTCATGGTCATTGTCGCGGATGACATGATCTTGTTGCTACACGGTACAAGTCATTGACGCTATAGGTAGCGACTGAGGATGAGTTCAATGGAGCCAGACGAGCTTGATAGACTGATGTGGATCAAGGCATGGTTGGTGCTAAAACTCGTCGCTAATTGCTGTAATTGATTGTGTGCTTGAAAGACCAGACTCCTCAAAAAGACTCAGGCTTAGAATGAATTCAGACTTCATCATTCATGATCGCCAACCAGCAAATCAGATGAGGCCAGGAATGACAGCCTTGCGATTGCCAACTCTGTCCTTGCCAAACTTCTGAATGTACCAACGTCTTCCCTGCAGCGCACGAGGCAACATGGTGCTAATCTCATTAAAGAGAAACGCTCTGGCAGGAGTACAAGCCAAGCCTCCAATCATCCAGAAGCCCGTCCACTCAATCCATTCACAAAGATAGTGCGGGAACAAGACATAGTGGAAGAGACCGTTCTTGGGCATCATGTACAGTTTCTGGACGCCTTCGATGGGCTTGTTGTCTTTCTTGGCTTGCTCTCTCTGGCGGCGCAGAGCGGAACGGCGGATCTCGCGGAGGTCGTCGTCGTGGAAGATGTTGCCGAGGAGAGCCCAGCCCCAAACGACGAGGCCGGCTTGGATCCAGTAGAGGCGGCCGGCCCAGTCGTAGGCGGTGGTGGGGCCGTAGCCGGCGAGCCAGCCAGAGAGACAGAGCGAGTTGGTCAGGTTGAAGGCTAGAGCCGAGACGAAGACCAGAGGGTGGATGGGCGACATGCTTGGGTTGAGGAAGAGTGGAGAGAGGATGGCGCGGTAGAAGTAGTGGATAGNACTGGAGAGTTCATGTCAGCTGAGGGTATGGGATTGGGAGATGGGGCGGAGTCGCACGTAGAGGCCAGCCATGGTCCAGTTGACCCAGGGCAAGGGACCCAGACCGAGCTCAGTAGGCAGCGCGCGCATGTTGTAGAGCAGGGTGATGAAGCCTGGGGCCTCCATGATAGCCCAGGCCCATTTTCCAGGCAGATTGAAGCGCGACTCGACCGACGTCTTGCCTTGGGGGTAGTAGTCGATGAGCCATTGGATGCCAGTCACGACGGGGAAGAACTGCCAGAGGTTGTTGATGATGACCCAATTCTCGCGCGAAGGCGGAAGCAATCCTGGAACGAGCACCATTGTTGATGGCCTTTTGTTTGTATGCTGAATGAAGACTACGATCTTGTCGCGTCAGAGTCTCGGCAGAAGCTCACGAGCGATCTCGAAAACAGTGTCGTCATCATTCGTGCTCCGAGGCAACCGTTGCAACACATATGCCTCCAAGGCAGTACCATTGCCAGCACTTCTGTCAAGCTGTCAAGACACAACTCGTTGAGTCTTTGAGGAATAAACAAAACCACAGCAGTCCAATGACACTTCCATCGCCAATTCTTGCTCTTGGCTGAAACACTTGCATCTCTGTATCAGACAATGCCCAGTCTTTGGCACTCGGCATTCGCTCCCGAACTCCTTCGCTGATCAGCCTTGGCTCGGCCGGACTTATGCAGAACACCGAGCCCTGCCTGTCAGCCCTTTGCCACGGCCTTGCCGAAAGCGAGTCAAGAACCCACATCTCTTTCTTGGCAGGGCCTGCTCCTTCTCGGGTTCGCCTTACCCGAATGGCTCGCCTTCCGAATTTCATTTGTCTCATGTCGATCTTTGCTTATATCTCAAAACTTTGTTCGAACGGCCAAGGTGCGCGCTCACACTCCGTACGCCATACGATGGCTGGAACGGCATTGCGGTGTAGATCCAGAGAAATCTCGTGCCACAGCAGTGACAAAAACGAATCTCAAGGTGGCGATGCTAGAGTCTAAGCGATGTAGTATCTGTTGCTTGATCAATAATCAGTTCCAAAGTACAAGCGGTCTGGAAGCTGCTCCAAGCGAGGGTACCTTGCAGTCTTGTGACGGAAACAGAGCATCAGAAACAGATCATATTATCGAAGGATGATGAGATGGGTGTCTAGATGCTTGGAACGCTTTTCGGTTTTCGTGACGGGTCGTCGTCTATGTAACTAAGAAGTTGTGTGTATGTACAAGAAATGTGTATGGCATGGATCACGTCTTATCGTTTCCTTAGCCATTGCAATGAGTCTCAAAAGACGCTCTGCCTCACTCATTCCGCAACAGCCTGCGTTATACATTACTAGCCATCCTGAAAGATGAGCTACACCTGAAAGTTCCTCGTTCTGTTGTCTTGTTCCTCGTTCTGTTGGTTTGGGATGCTACTGGCTGGTCCCTAGCCCTTAGAAAGCATGTATTCCATGTAGTCACTGGTTTTGCTGATATGGGTTCTGGTAGCCGAAAGAAGTCGAAGGGTCAACGTTCATCATCTGAAAGTCTGCCGTCGGAAGTTGTAGTTGCATCGGTGCAGACATCTGTTGGGAGGGGAATGATGACCACATGTTTGTTTGAGCCTGGACCGGGGTCGTGTTCATAGGAGTAGAGTGCATGCTGTGTTGTGAACCTGCACCCAAAGATGTCTGACTGGTTGTCGGCAGGATGGGCATGTTGTGCGGAGCAAAGGATGGCTCGAAGATGCCACCCGAATCATGTCTGAGGCTGTGGCCATGAGCGGGAGGGGCGACGAGCGATTCCATAGACTCGTTGCTGAGTGTAGCTTGTGTGAAGAACAGTGACATATTCGGCATAGCTTGATCAAGTTCCGGGGATCGGAAGGGTGCTAGGTTAGCAGTGGCCTCAGGCAATCTGATACCCCACTGGTTCGCAAGTCGGTTGATCACTTCCAGGCAGCACGAGGCATAACGGTGGTTCAAGGACATCGTATCCAAGTCCTCNNTAGTGTGGGGTCAGTATTTTGTCAAGTCAAAGTCAGGGACAAACTTACGCATCGCTTGGGTGAGCTGTACTGCTGCACCTTGGGAGGGAAGATTCATGAGATGAACTGTACTAGCCGACAGAAGGATGGGGCTAACGGCTAAAGATGTTCGCCTGAGTCCATACATTCCGCGGAGCGCGTTCATAAGTTTTGAGATCTCTGTAGCGCAATGAGTCGCTAGCTCCCGCGGATAGAGTCCAATATCTGAGAGGTCGAGCTTCATGAATGGCCGGAAAANGACTATGACACGGTCAGCAGAGCCCAACATGCGTTCGCTCAAAAATACTCACTGTAACACGCTTTGATGGTAATACATGTGAAGCACAATGACATGGGGCATTGCTGTGTTTTGAAGCTGGAACATCTCGGGCAGCTCGCTGTACCACATCTGGTACTGATGGTATGCTGACGCCAGCCGGCGTGGTGTGAATCTTTCTCTAGGTGCGTAAAGGTTAAGGTTGATGTCGTTGATCATCTCAGAGAGCTTGCTCTGGACGCTGTGGAAGAGCAGGCATTTCATGGGCTGAACAGCACTGGGGCTGACTGGCAAATTGGCGTCCTCGTACGGCTGCCAGAACAGTGCATCCAGCTTCTCTGAATTCATAGCNNTGGGAATGTCTTAGTACTCGTAGATATGCCCGCGTGCTCAGAACCTACGTTTATCAATCTCAATAGCGTTCTTCGGGATCGAGGACACTCTGCCCAATGCCAGACAGCAGATCATCTCGCAATTGAAGACGCCCCAGAAAGTCAGCTTTCGAATGTCCATCTCGCTAGAACGCAAGTTGGGCTCTCCTGCAGTGGTGTCTGCTAGATGGAGACCCATCTCCATGGCTAGACGCACAGCTCTTCCGATCAAACGATAGCTGATATGGTCACGGCCTGCAGAACCCTCTCTTACAGCCATCACTGCAACGGCTTGTACGGATGTCAATTCTGCCGCACCGATGTTCTCGGCAAGTCTTTGTGCCTCGCCAAAGAAGTAGTCTCCTGCTCGCTCGCGTGCCGCAGGTCGATCGGAGTATTGACAGGCGACTGAAAGCACTGCGTTGACCAGCATAGCGCTGCAGTACTTGTTTGAACCTCGTGCCATATCCCGCAAAAAGTGGTCCTTGGAGAAGAAGCAGAAGAACGGATGGCTCCAAGAGAAATAGAGATTGAGCAGATGGTCCACGAATTCGGCGTCTTGAGGTATGCGGAACCAAGAGGATGCCGACTCTGCTGCTGCGCTCTGGCTTCCTGCATCATTCCATTTACCGTCAACAGGACTGCGTGACGATTCATTCCGTGTTGAAGGAGCTTGCGTATGGAAGGTGGAACCTGGAGTTCCAGAAGGTCCATTGAGTTCGGTGTCTAGTGTTCGTAGTTTCTCGGTGTCCCCAGCATTGATAGCTTCAGCCAGGCTGTCGAGTCGTTCGCCCCGGCGAAGGCTGTGAAATAGTGCAGTAGCCTCATGCTCTGGAAGAGCACACAGAGAGTTGATGACGACGTCGAGCGCTGTGTTTTTGTTCTGTAGTGATGCTATGTCTTTTCGGAGTGCGCCTTTGCGGCGGTGGTCTGTGTCTTGGTCGTAGCTGCAGTCTGTGCGGTAGACCGCCATACAGGTAGAACAGGAAGGAAGGCCTCCATCACANNCTACAGGACATTTCAATCAGCGAGAGCTCCAATTGTTGCAATACGATGCAATGCGACTGACCTTGCTCTTGCGTTTGCGACATGGAATACAAGCAGAGGAAACGGCTTTTCGCTTTGCCGATTTTGGAGGCGCCATGTTCGCTAATCCGTCGCTTGAACCTTGTTCATCTTTTGGGAGGATTGTTCTCGGGGGCATAACAGGTCAACGATGGAAGATGGAATAAGAGAGTAACAGGCTTGAAGTGCAGGATTACAGAAGGAAGAGCAATTGAACTGTAGGGGAGGAAGATGGACAAGCTTGGAAGGAAAAAGTTACGAGGATAGAGGCAAGTAATCAGGAAAGGTAAATTGACAGAAGGAAGGACGCGACGGTGAGTTTATGGAGACACGATTGACTCTCGGACAGCCTCCAACGACGCTGATGAATAAGAACAGACGGATGCTAAGACCAGGGAATAAGGGCAGGTCGACCTCGAGGCTTGGCTACGAGTTAGTCCATGGCATACGGATAACCAGAGTGGGTAGCCTCGACCGTGTGAGAAATGCACATCACGCACGAGATGCTACCCAAACGCACGATCGTCGGTGACAAATATGGACAGAAAAGATGGGACAGTCTCGAAGGGCACCCAACGCTCCCTTGGCAGGCAGTTTTTACCCAGAGTCCGGGCGCAAACACTGTCGTTGCACGCATCTTGGCATAATCCGCGAACACTGCGAACTCAGAAACCAAAGATTGTCCCCTTGGCGTGCTGCTGATCCGCCGACTCTTCCAGCTTAAGTCCGCTCTCTCGCAACCTCCGTACGATATGAGAAGGTTGTTCCAAATGTCTAGGCATCGGCCGGAGAAGCAACAGCGAAAACTACGGTACTGGGTCCAGTGACGCAAGATTTGACTGGATCTGCGCTCGGGTGTCGGCGCGCCGCCGCTGTTCAGCCACTGGTCCATGCATCCAAGGCTTGTTTGAGTTCAGGCGTGCAAGTGAGCCTGGGGGAGACAGGGCCTCGGTCTGGCTATTCTTGTCTGGTGCTGTCTCTGCTGCGACATGTTGTCCTGACACTGCCATCGGTATTCTTTCCCTCCTCGTACAGAAGCTGCGCCAGGCTGGACTTCTCCTCAGGTTCGTCGTGGCTCTGATTAGTAACCACGTACTTCGTTCAGTTCATGTTAATGAGGGGCTAATGGATACTAGACTTCTGTGGGCCGTTGTCCGGCAGAGAAGCCTAGTTTCGGCAGGCGAAAATGCTTCGATAGAGTCTGGTGATTCAACTGGACCAAACAGTCACGATACCCACGAGTCGGGGACCTTCTATCCTCCACTGTGGCTTAAGCCTTGGCCCCTTCGACGGACATGGCTGTCAGTACATTACTCTAGTATGGATCTGACCATCCAGAAGAGGGGTTACCTTATTGTGAAGTGCATTATCTATGTCTCACACGGAACTGCGGAGAAAGATCTAGGAACGTACGGAGATGGTGAGTCTGATATACAAGCCGCCCAGCCTTCATGTCTAGGAGCCTCTGGACCACATGGACTGTTCGGGTATAGGATCTGCCCATGGCACATGTACCGCATGCCCTGCGTGCGTACATTGTACTTGCGTTCATCATGACTCGGTTTTGGAGTACTTCCACTCCTGGTCTTGGCACCATCTCTCAAAGCTTTACGCCGCGCAGAGTGAAAACCTCATTTTAGCGTGAGATGTACCTGCCTTTCTCGTGGGAAAGCTGAAGCGCAACCGTAGCCGAATCCCTGGACTAGAGTCATCATGCACGCGAACATGGGTCTTGATATCAACCGCAGATGATGAGAAGATATTCAAAGATACAAATTTCGAAGGAATTGGTTGAATATGATGGTAGTACTGGGATGTGGAACGGCCTTTGTTATAGAATTCGGAGTACGCGCCGTTTACTAAGGTAGGATTTGACGACGCCCTGAGCCAGGACCTCGGTAAACGTCACTTCGAATTTCTGGTAACTGGTAACTAGCCCAGCGCCCGGAGATAATGCGCTGAGACGGTATACGGTGTACCGTCAATGTCTCTCCTCAATGTCGCAACTAACACCACAAACGACGGCTTCTCAGATCCTAGTTAGCAGCGGTGCGTACCAAGACGTCAAGGAAATTCAATTTGGCAGGAACGTCTTGGTTGTTCTGCGAACAGAGTGTTTCCGGACGCTTGTGAGTGACGTGCAAGAATGGCTCGTTTGGTAGAAGGGCTTGATGAGCCTCAAGCCCTTGTCTCAACACATCAGGGCCCACCGGATGTCTCCGCATGCACAGCATACATACAGTATCCACCCCTCCTAGGAATGGTATGTACTAGCCGATGCCGGAAGCTTCGCACAAGATGTATTCCGACGACATCCTAACAAAACATGCGCCTACCTGAACTGGATGTTCTGCGTGCTTGGGTCCCACCTGTTGTCGCGCGCGTTCGGCTTAGGAGGCGCACCAACATTGTTGATTGCGGGCGATGCCGCAGTGCTGGATCCCCCAAAGCGTATACCCATTTCCGGTGTCCACATACCTGGCGTGGGAGAGGCGGTCGCTGTTACTGGGGGAGGAGCAATATTGGCTCTGGTAGGCAAGGGCGCTGCCAGTGGTGGCCCCGCCCGTGGCGTTGCACGGGGTTGTTGTTGATTCATCAATGTCTCCTGTTGTTTTTGTTGTCGCAGGTTCGTTTGGTTGGCGTTCTGCAAACTCATCTGAGCCATGGAAGTGCTCACGTCGTTCTCGAGGGCCGAAGCTTCGGCGCGTCGTTGGTAGACGAAGTTGCGGCAGTCATCGCGGAAGCGCGTAACTATACTGGCCAGGTCGTTGTAGAATTTGCGGCCAGTCTCAAGGTTTGAGATAATCTCTTTGTAAGCCAAATATGCATTTTCCAGATTTTGCAAAGCCTGTTCACGGTCCTTTGTGGAGGTGTCTCCTTTTCTCGCAACGGTAAAAGAGCTGTTGGCTTGCTGGACACGCTCGAGTAGATCGTCTTGTTCGGTTCTCTCCGCATTAATGTCATTACGGTCGGCGGTATACATCTCAAGTCTTCGATCAAAGAAGCTTTCGAATTGGATCGCTTCAAGTGTTTGCATGGGATATTCCCTTTCGAGACGTGCGGCTTCGCGCAGCAAGTCGGCATTAACATCATCAGCCTTTGCCTTTGCTCGAATATTCTCAATCCTACGCTTGCGACGGTTCTCGAAACGGGCAATATCATTGAGCACAGCGCGAAGGTTGTTTGCCTCTCTCTCAACTTTGGTGGTCATGGTTGCACGCCGGCTGCTCGGAACATAGTCCTCGAGATCACGATCTGTACCGGCGAGTAGACGAATGAGAGTTTCGTTGTCCTTCAACTTTTTTTGCACGAGCTTGTCGCTATTGGCGGCTTGTTTGAGGTATCCGTCAATCTCGGTGACCTGAGAGTAAAGCTTACGGGAAGCTTCGTTCGATGGTGGTCTTGCCCACCTGTCAGTTCCGTACTTGCGTCGCGCGGCATCGTCCTCTGCTGATTCTGAGCGAAGCATCTCTACACCTTCCTGGTATGTTGCGCGATCGCTGTTCTTCAGCTTCTCCGTATCGGCCATGGCGCTGTGGAGTCTGTAGATGCCGTTCATCTGCCGGACCTCTTCAGCATGACTGGCAACACTCGGAGGAAGACCGAGAGGCTTCTCAAGAGCCTGCAAAGATCCGGGGAGGCCAATCGACTTCAAGAGTTCGTGTATGCTGAGAGTGAGGTCCTCGAGTTCTTGAACAATGGTGTTGTTCACCAAACGATCTCTGCGGTCGACGTAGATGCTAGCTGCGACATGGACCGAGTATGGGACGAGTTTGGAGAAAAGTGGCTTGCCCAACTCTCCATGATCTCCGAGCATAGTCAAGGGTTCCGAAACCTCTTTGGGCACTCTTGCGGTAACCATGCTCGCTCTATCAAGCACTTTCAGCTCAGACTTGGGCGGCACCGGCAGGAGATAGATCATGTCATTGTCCTTCTCGGCTCTTTTGAGGTCTTCGGAGACTCTTGCTTTCAAGCCATTCAGGTCGTCCTGCACAGCCTTGTTGACGTATTTGGCCTCGCGCAAAGCTTCGTCGGCACACTTTAGACTATCGCGCAAGCGGGCAACCTCTTCGCCATATTTCCTCTTCTCGAGACAGTCGCAAGCAGCACGGTATTGAGCAGCAGCGGCGAAGTGGTGGTGCTTGGCGTTCATGTGGTGGATCCATTCACTGCTAACAGAATCACTCTTGATGCCCCAGTCGCCAGCTTCGTTGTAGAAGTCGCTGACCTTAGCAGCGAGCTTTGCGATGCTGGCATCTTTGAGACCGTCTTTTACCGCCTTTTGCCAGAAACACTCTTGAGCCTGAGCCAGCATGAGATATTCCAAGCTTTCCAGTGTAGAAGTGTCCATGTCCTCGGGCGGAGAGGTCCTCATGTCCGGGACGATGGTCGTCTTTAGATGGGAAATGACACCGGCAGAGAGACAGAAGTAGTTGCATGCAGCTTTCAAGCCGTCGCTAGTGCTTCTGTTGGAGGACATGGCCAGTTGGGAGTACATGGCAGCCAGGTTGAAGAGAATGTTGGCAAGCTCAAATCGGATGTTGTCCTGAGATATGGGTCGTTGAGTGTTGTAGCCTAGAGCAGGGTACCAGATGAAGTCCAAGCCGATGTCGACGGGAAATTTGGCACCCATCCAGACGAGCTGTGCAGCATATTGCTGAAGCTTGCGAACACGGCTGGTGTGAGGGTCTAGGGCGTGGACGGCGGCATGTCTGAGGTGGTCTATCTGTTCGAGATCTGTGGTGAACATGTCCGGGTGCTGGTCATATTTGGTCGAGATGTAGCGCTTGATTGCTTCGGCGATGGAGACATTGTGGGTACGGCGAAAGGGTAGGTGTAGCATGTTGCTCCTGGTTGTGTCAGCAAGATGAGCGGCAAGAAGCAACCGAAAGGCAGAACGCACGAAGCCATGGCGGAAGAGTCGGCCTGCGACGTCGTAGGTAGTCGATGCGCAAAAGATCAAAACTGTCTTTAGTTGTTGATGCTGTTCACGTCATGCGGGAAACTTGTGGCTCAGCTCGACATGTGGCGCTCCTGCCTCTCTTGCCCGCGGGGTTTACCAATCTACCTTGCAGCTCTTGGGCATCACAGTGTCAATAGTGGCCATCAAGGTGAGAACACGATTGTTCAATTCGTCGGTCTGCACCACCAGATGACAGCTGTTGTACATTACAGATGCAATAAAGGCAAGTGCAGGACGTTGTTGCCGCCGCTGCTGCTGACTGAGACGAGTCCGGACCGCGTCCTGTAATCAAGCTCTTGGCGCCTTCCTATGCTCCAACTCACCGCATAGCACGCCATCCCTCCTTCCTCACAATCTCACTTCTTGCTGACCTTCCTCTTATCTGGACTCGCTCCTCTTCTGCTCTATCTTCTACATTTCCCACAAGTCTTTCAACCACAAAGCACCATGTCCGACCACACATACAACTTCAACATCACCATGACTTGCGGCGGCTGCTCCGGCGCAGTCGAGCGTGTCCTCAAGAAGCTCGACGGTTTGCGACTACTCTCTCTCTCTCTCTTACGCCCGCCACCATACTGATCTCTGTCTTANGGCGTCAAGTCGTTCGATGTCTCCCTCGACAGCCAAACCGCAAAAGTCATCACCGAACCCACCCTCGACTACACCACTGTGCTAGAGAAGATCAAGAAGACTGGCAAGAAGGTCAACTCAGCCGAGGCCGACGGTCAACCTCAGGCTGTCTAGGCAACACGATGCATCATAAATCATTAATTCCGATACCTTCTGCTTGAGTTACAAATAACGAGTCAAATCCGTGGGCAGGTCCCACCTTTCCTCAGAATCTCGCCTCCACCTTTCGCTCAGTGTCTGCCAATGCCCAGTCGCTCCTGTGCTGCTTGCTACGCACTCGGTTCACCTGATCCTTGCTGAAGCCCTTGGCCTCGACTGCCGGGTTGTATCCAAGTCCGTTCTTCTGTCCCACTGTCTGCGAGTCCATAGACTCACTCGTCTTACCGTCCGCTCTCTTGTACACCGTAACCACAACAGCTCCGCCTAGACCAAGGTTGTGCTGTAGCGCCGCTGTCGTACCCTTGACCAGTCGGTTGTTGGCCCAGCCACGCAGGTGCCACACCAGCTCGGCACACTGTGCAATGCCTGTTGCTCCGAGCGGATGTCCCTTGGAGATGAGTCCGCCCGAAGGGTTGATAACCATCTTTCCGCCGTAAGTAATATCTCCATTGCGCACCATTTCATGTGCCTTGCCGTGCTCGCTCAACCCGAGTGCATCGATGACGATCATCTCGTTGGCTGAGAAGCAGTCATGAAGTTCACAGACCTTGACATCTGAGATCGACACACCTGCTTCGGCCAGAGCAACCTTGGCGGCATTCTTTGTCATCTCATAACCCATCAAGTCGATGCTGCTGCGCGAGAACAAGGAGGTCGCATCAGTGGCAAGACATTGGCCAGCGATGAGGACTGCCTGCTCCCTGAGGTGTGGTCGAGCATTCAAGAAATCCTCAGACACCAAAACTGCAGCTGCACCTCCATCCGACGTAGGACAGCATTGCAGTTTAGTCAGAGGCTCGTGAATTGATGTCGAGTCCATGATTTGCTGCAGAGTGTATTCGTCCTGGAATTGCGAGTAGGGGTTACGCTTCGAGTGCTCGTGGTTGACTCGGGCGATCTCAGCAAAGTCGCTCTTCTTTGCGCCGTACTTTTCCATGTACTCTCTTCCAGCGTTGCCAAACATCTGAGCAGCACCAGGAGCGTTGGTGATGCCTCTGGTTGCCTTCATCATATCCACAGTTGTGCCAGTCGGATTAGTACGGTCCTGGAAGAAACTCTGCAGAGATCCTGGGAACATTTTCTCGAACCCGACTACCAGAACACAGTCGGCAGCTCCATTGGCAACCATAGTGCGCCCAAGGTTGAGACCTGTCGACCCAGTGCTGCAGTTGTTGTTGACGTTGTAGATGGGAATCTGGGTCATGCCGAATTGATAGAAAACGCGCTGGCCGCAGGTGCTGTCGCCGTAGCAGTAACAGGCGATACCTTGCTCGACGTCATCATAGTTAATTTGAGCATCTAGCATGGCCTTGACACCGGCTTCAAAGCCCAATTCTGTATAGTCGACCTTGCCCCTGGGCTTGATGAACTTTGTCATGCCGACGCCGAGGACGTAGCATGGTGCTCTTGTTTTCTTGCCCATGATTGTGTTGGTTGCTTGGATAGTTGGATATAGGGTTGTGTGTATTCTGTATCTATCTCGAGTGATTTTGTTTGATGGTAACAGCGGACTTGACCTTTGACCATCTAGGTAGCGGTTACACGGCGGGAGTCAATAGTGCGGAGAGTGCGGAGAGAGCTCTCACATGCCGAGGTTCCTTCCATCCACCAAAGTACATCCGCGGCATTTCTGCCTGGTGAGACGATCAGTCTATACTGATGAGTGTCGTATGTAGAGTAGATCTGACCACCTAGTAGACGTATGCTTCAAACCATCCGAAGATATCTGTATACCAATGTAGAAAGCCGGTACGGGAAGAAGTGCGTTCAATGGCTGCACATGGACTGCTTCGCAAACGCCGACAGATGCCGACGTTATCTGAGCATCGTAGGAAAGGAGCTTCAAAACTCGACTTGTTTCCCATAGACCATGCTTCTGTATCAATCTTGTAGGCCATCTAGAGCGTCAATTCTGTGCGTGATAGCAGTGCGAAAACCAAAAGCAGAACACCAGCTGAGTGTGACAACTCAGACACCATTTCCATACCTCGACCTCAACCCGACTCACAGTCCATCATGTCAGGCCAACTTCCGACCGACCACCACAAACCAGAAAAGCCATCAATGACTCCTCAGGAACTCCAGACTGAGACCATCCGTGTGGACCTCAAACGCATGGCTACAGATCTCACCTATGGAAAACAGCTGTCCCAAGAAAAAGGCTTCCGCATCTACAACGAGTCCTTTTCCAAGCTTCTCGGTTCCAATCCTAGCATCACTCAAGTCCAGAGCCGAGACTATCAGTTCGCACATGAAGCGGGCGTGTACGTCAAGTCCACCAACCGTGTCTACTTTACCGCCAATTTCCAGACTTGCGACCCTATCGCGTTATACTCTGTAGACGCCTCTACTCTTAAAGTCGCAGAGGACGACTTTAAGGGCGTGGTACAAGCAAACGGAGCTTGCAACTACAAAGACAAAATCCTCTACTGCTGTCAAGGCGACATGACAAACCCCTCCGCCCTCGTCCTCGTAGACCCTACCTCAGGAACTTCAGAACCCCTGATCAACAACTTCCAAGGCCGCCCCTTCAACAGCGTCAACGACGTAGTAATCCACCACGCCAACGACGAAATCTGGTTCACCGACCCTACCTACGGCTACGAACAAGCCTTCCGACCTTCCCCCGATCTCCCATCCCAAATCTATCGCTATAAACCCTCTACAGGTCAGATTTGGTGTGTGGCAGATGGATTCGTGCAATGCAATGGCCTCTGCTTTTCTCCTGACTACAGGAAACTGTACGTCACAGACACTGGCGCCTGTCAAGCCCACACGGGCCCCAAGGACGGCCACAATTTTTCCATGAACCCGCGTCTGCCGGCCACAATCTACGTCTACGATGTCATTGCCAATGGAACCCAACTCGCCAATCGCCAAACTTTTGCTTACTGTGATAATGGTGTTCCTGATGGGATCAAGTGTGATGAGGATGGTAATGTGTATTCTGGATGTGGGGATGGTGTGCATGTGTGGGATGCCCAAGGCACATTGATTGGTAAAATTGTTACCGGGGGTTGTGTGGCTAATTTCTGTTTTTCAAAGGAGGGCATGTGGATGTTTGGGGAGGAGGAGTTGTATCTTTGTAAATTGGGTGCCAGAGGTGCTCTTGTTGGTGTCGAGTGTGAATAGAGGATGGAAGGTTGAAAAGGAAAGTTAGATTTGAGGTGTTGATGTGGATGAAGTTGTGTTTGTCCTATAGCCGTCCGTACATTGAGACTTTGGTGTGAGAGTCGTTACATGATTGTCTTTCCAGTTCTAACTTACCTGACCTCCAAGTGTTGATTGCACGTCATGTCCACAGCAATACCTAACTATCCAACTCCATGGTCGAAAGAGATACAACCAGGGGAGTCACGACGAAGATTCCATCGCTCCATCCATGTATCATCTAAATCGTGCTCCTTCCTTGGGTCAGGCGCACCCCTGTCATGTTGGAAGGCACGATCAGTCGGTCCTTCTCATCTGAATGCAGCGCAACCTTTCCTGGTTATCAACCGTGTCATGTTTCATGGATGAAACCCCAACACAGTTCGGAAGCACGGCCACTATATCAGTAGGCAGCTCATTGAAAAACAGATCGAAAGCGTGAAAGGAGTAGATCCATTTGTATTCTGGTATACAACATTAAGATCCTCGTCTATAATCTGGGATGGAGTATAGTCAATCGCTAGAAATGTACAATAGAGCGGAATGAGTGCAGCCACCCAAAAAGGGCCCAAACCATCTAAATGGAAAACGTCTAGAAGAAAACAACAAAACAAACTTTTTTAAGCATCGGAGACCTCGTATCGTTGGTATATTGGAAAGTAGAAGAATGAAGAGAGAAATCAGCCCAAGCGCCCCGTTTTTGAGTGGAAGGAAGCAAAATACGCCATGTAACACCAATCGCTGGAACGCTGGACGGGATATAAGGCCGTCGAAGAATAACGGCAGAGCAGTAGAGGAAGATGAAAGGCAGAGAGTCGAGAGGATGGAGAAGAGGCGCTTATGCAACAGCAAGAGCAAGGCGCTGGCGTTCTCTCTCCATAGCAAACACCTTTCTGCTCATCTCAAGCACAGCCTCAAAGCCCTCACGGCCCTTGATGGCATTCTGCTTGAAGCGCTCGACGGTAAAGTCCTCAATGCTGTTCTTGATCTTTTGCCAGCCGCCACAGAAGGCGGTGATTTGAGCGGACTGCTGGAAGATTGTGCGGGAGGTAGGACCGGCGGGCGAGGGACGGTAGACGACGGTTTCGCGGACGGAGAGGAGATCGTTGAAAGTCATGTTGATGCTGCACATGGTGACCTTCTTGGCGGCAGGGTCGACGTACGAGGTCTCGTAGACTTGCGAGACCTCCTGGCCACCGAAGAAGGAGCTGAGCCACTTGGGTGCGGATTGCTTGCAGGTGATGAGACGTTCGGTGCGGAGCTGTGAGACGAAAGTCAGCGACTGGTCGTGCAAGCAAGGCATTGCAGCAAAAAGACTTACAATACCAGTGGCCGGGTCGACGTGACGCGAAATGGTGTCGACGGCGATAACGTGGGTGCTCTTGTCGTTCCACGGGCAGTATTTACGCCAGTTTGCAGTCGACACCTCCTCCCACGAGTAGTCGAACTCATGCTGTGACTCGAAAAACTTCATTGCTGCAAAAAATGGACTGGACGAGCGAGGAACCGGAGTCGAGTGTCGAGAGTGCTAGATATACGGAACGCGGACTGTTCGCCGGCGGACGGGAGGGAACGTTGGGGCCTTTTGTTGGTCCTTGGTTTTTGCGTTTTCTGGTTGCGGTGCTGAAGAGCCGGAGAGCGTCGACGGAGAAATGGCAGATTTGAGATGTCGCGTGAGCAGAAAAGAGAGTCGTTCACTGGTGTCGTGTGCTTCGTTACTGAAGATATGGGAAAAGGGAAAAACAGCGTTCACGTTGCGAGTTTCGGTCTTTGTTGGCGCGGCATGCGTTCTGTGGCCAAAAATCTTCTTGAATCGCGCCCGCGCCTTGTCGTCCGCCGATCTCGACAAGCCTAGACACGCCCATTGGCTCTTGTTTCCGTCCTCTCACCTGTGCAACTCGCTGTTTTTGCTGATATAAATTCATATTCGTGCAACTCGCATGCAGCACATTCAGACGATATCAGACACGATCTTGTTTCGGGTCAGACAAAGACAATTCTCATCTTCGACAGCCAGCTCCGTTGTTGCGGCCGCTGACTCGCTTTTGCATGTGAAAGTCTCCTCGCCAAGGTTCCGGTTCTTCCTCGTCCATCTCAAACTCTAATCTTCACCCGCAGAGATCTGAAACTCTGCTTGATCTGCTTGCTGACCATGCAGAGGACGAGTGGATCTATACCACAGTCCATCAAGGTGTTGGAGTAGAGGACTGGGCATGACGTTTCATTGTTCGCCTTAGGCCCCCTGTGTACCCCAGGACTTGTGCTACTTCTCAGTCTGACCTTCGTAAGCTTGTAGTTCGTCAGCCTTCTCTTGTTCAGCTTGCTTCTTCTTCTCTGCCACTTCCTCCATTCGTTGCGTTCTTGCATTCCTCCATCCTTGTCCGTACTTCTCGAGCACCCAGAGGATAGGTGAAAACAGTATCACCACACCCGCTATAAAGGTAAAACACCATCCTCTACCCATATGCTCTATCATGATGATTATGATGGCGGTACCACCAGCTCCCATGAAGCAGCGCACGAGATTGTTCGCTGCTGTCGCCGTCGAGGGACTGAGCGGATACAGGTCTACCAGCATAACACTGTTGCAGTTGAAAGCCCCTGTCAAGCAGAGTCCAATGAAGAACAGCAAAACCAGAGGTGCTGCTAGACTGGCCTCCACGTGCATGACCCAACCGTAGCACAGCAAAGCTGCGTCACCAACTAGAACCAGCGGCCACGTCACTTGGATGCGGGCCTTCTCGAGTGGAAAATCTTTGAGATCGGTGGCTCGCTTCTTGTCGACCGGAAATCCATGCTTGCCAGCCAAACGGCGAAAGTTCCAATCGAGAAGCTTCCCGCCTAGGATTGGTGCAATCAAACAGCCGACTCCGAATGGAATAAAGCAGAGGCCTATCTGAAGGTCGTTGAAGTTGTAGATCAAGCCAAACAGATATGGCATGCTGGCCGTTACATCGTAGAATGCCGTATACACCAAGGAGTTGTAGAGCAACAGGAGTCCAGTGTCTTTCTCAAAGACTATCTTAAGTGTCTTTAAAGGATTAGGAAACCGCAGTTTTCGAGCCTTGATCAGGCGGGCCTCTTCTAGACGGATGCTCTCCCGGGTTACTGTGCGAGTGAAGGCAGGTGCCTTGGCGGCCTTTCGCTCATGGAGATAATTTATCAGTGATCTGTTCCAGCTTTGAGGTTTGATGGCTCCATTGCCGACAACGTTACGACCAGTCTCCGGGAATGCGATGAGAAATGGCACCAGGTAGCAGGCACTGAGAATGACCAGGAACCAGAAGATGGATCGCCAGCCCAAAAACTGTGCAAGGATACCTCCGAGCACTGGCCCAAGCGCAGGAGCGACCATTGGACCAGATGTGACATAACCCATAAACGTGCCTCTTTCCGCACTCGTCGCTATATCAGCAACGACACCACTTCCAAGCGCGATTGTTGCACCGCACCCGGCACTCTGCAGACATCTCAAGATGAGCAGAGAGACGTAGTCCTGACATAGCGCAATGCCTATGCAAGCACCAATGTAGATGACAAAGCATAAAAAGTATGCTGGCCGCCTACCAGCCATGTCAGCCAGGTCGCCGATGATAGCTGGTGCTATTCCTTGGGCGATCATATATGTAGTCAATGTCAGGTTGATCAGTGTTGCAGAGACATGGAATTCCTCGGTCAACGAATTGAGAGCCGGGAAATAAATATTTGCCGACACCGCTGAGAAGAACCCTGCGCATGCTGCTAGGAGGACGATAAACCTCTTCTGACTGGCGGTGAAAACGGTATATGGTGGTTCAGAAATACTAGATTCGACATCTCGCACATCGTTGTCCTCCATAGATGAAGCAGCCCCGTCCTCATCACGGGAAGTTGACGTCGAGACATTGTGAATAGATTCAACTGCTTCCTCGGAATGGGTTTGTTTCTGGTTTCGATCTTGTCCGTGGAACATATGTCGGTCGGCTCCAGAACCAGTAGCGCTCATAGTTTCGCCTTCGCAGGCTTGTTCATTGTGTAGGCTTTCTCGAGATGACGGCGGACGAGACATGCAGAAATTGATGTTGATGTCAGAAAAGAAGGTAGGTAGGTAGTAAAGAAAAGCGATCACCCAAATCAACCTACTAATTGCGTGCCTACAGTGCCTATCAACGCTTCTAGGGCAATGCCTCGATGCCGGTTTCCGTGCAGGTCCTGTATGGATAGAGGCGACTTGCGATAGGGCGGTGAGGGTCATCGGTGAACTTGCCGGTCTCCGACATCGCTTGCCGGGATCGTCAGGATGTCGCCGATGGAGGGCGCAGGACAGAAGAAGCAAGTCGAGATGATTGTGATGTTGAAGCTGACGCGATGGCTACGAGGGTCAGCGAAGGCTTCCGACGCTGAAGCCAAGACAAACGTCAGTCTGGGAAAGAGCTACGTTGGCGAGAGTTCACATGCAACATGATGCTTTAGCCTCCGTGGTCAACAAGCGCGTCAACAAGATATAGGACACCATGGCCGATATCACGGCAGCGTTCAATACGGCACTGAAAGCCCGTAATGCGCCACCAGTCACATCACATCGTTACTCGATCGACCGACTGGACGAGTTTCTAAAGGAAGCATACAGCATTGTACGTTTAGAAGCTTCAAGGGAGACATTCGCAGAGTCTGACTCAGATACANNGAATGCCCGTATAGCAGACCTCACTGCATATCTTCGCGCCATCAGACCATCCTACCTGTCCACTGCCCCAGCACCTCGACGACCGCAACGACAGAACTCTACCGACCACAAACCCGCTCAGGATGCAACGCAAAGAAACTTGTCTGACACCGAAAGAGCCTCGATCGATGCCGAGGCAAAGACAGTGTTGCGACAGTTGCATGCCGCTGTCGAACGTATAAGCCAAACCGAGCAGATCAGACAGGACACGGCCTCTCACATTGCGCTGCGCAAACGTAACCAAGGCGGACTAGGTGCCATTGGAAGATGGGCAGCTGGCGGAGCTGTTACTGCGAAGAGTGCAGAAGAAGAGGTGGAAGAAGCCAGGCAAAAGATGCTCAATGCACACCGAGAGAGTATCGTGTGGTTCCTGCAAGCCAAGCTCAGGGAGGCTGGTACTCTTCAGAGCACCATGATGGAGATCAGGATACAGCGCGAGGTCGAAAAGAGCAAGAGCGTGCTATACAAGGCGAAGAGCAGTGCCGTCTCTCACCAAGGCTTCGATGCTGCTTTGGAATCCGAGAAACCAGCAACACAAGGACAGGAGAGGACAGGACCTCAATTGAGTGAAGAACAGATGCAACTGTTTGCACAAGAGAACCAAGACATGATGAAACATTACCAGGACACATTAGATCAAGTCCGGTGAGTAGATCGCGCATGTCGTTTCTTTAACCATTACGCTAATCTGAAAAACAGCACGGCTGAGCGGTCTCTTATCGAGATTTCAGAATTGCAGTCAACTCTGGTCACCAACCTGACTGAACAAAACGAGCATATCGAGCAGCTAGTGCAGGATTCCTTCTTCACGACAGAAAATGTTGGAAGGGGAAATAAGGAGCTCAAGCGGGCAAGCGAACGTCCCAGCGGTGCAAGGATTCTATTCCACAGCACATGCGCATTCTGTGCCTTCCTCGTCGTGTGGGACTTGATATTCTAGGACCCAACGCATATTCACATGCAGTCGCTTTACTTGAGGACAATCGGCGTTTGGTCAGAAAGCGGGTTAAAACCGAGCGGCATGATCAAGCGAAGCGCTCAAGCCTCGGAACGTCGTGGTGAGCACGAGGACGTGGGGATCCCGAGGTAGTCGATAGAGTACAAGCACATATTGGCGTGATGTAGACAATACAGACAGCTCGTCTTCTACCATGTCCTTCATCTCTCATTTTGTTGTGTCAATATCCAACAATCAGTCCACCTTGCACTCAGCCGATTTCTGCACTCTATCTTCAGGCTGAGTTCGTGTAGCCCGCCAAGACTCGGATCCTGCCCGCCTTTCCCTCCGCATTACTTGATTGAAACCCCGCCGGTGGTGTGCTCCAGGAGACAAAAATGGTTTCGTCTTCGACCTCTTCAGACCCTCAATCTCGCCTCCAACAAATCACATCTCACATGTCTACCACAAACACCATGAAGGCCTCATCTTTCGGAGCAGACATTGTGCCTCAGGCACCTGAAGATCCCCTGTTTGGATTGATGGCCGCCTTCCGCCGCGACACTGATTCAAGCAAGGTCGATCTTGGTATTGGCGCCTACAGAGACAACAACGCAAAGCCCTGGGTGCTACCCGTTGTCAAGAAGGTGCGCATACATTTCTCCAACCTGTTTCCTCTTTGGGTGTATCCAGATATCCATGGGAAACATGTACTTGTGATTACGGCGAACTAATCAAGTTGTTATCTANNGGCCGATGACCTCCTTCGTCAAGACCCCAACCTCAACCACGAATACTTACCCATCGCTGGTCTCGCCGACTTCACCACCGCCTCGCAGAAGCTGATCTTCGGCGCCGATTCGCCCGCCCTCAAGGAGAAGCGCGCTGTCGCCCTTCAGACCATTTCAGGAACCGGAGCTGTACACTTGGGCGCCGCTTTCCTGGCCAAGTTCTACAACCCTTCCAACTCCGAGGCCAAGACCATCTACGTTTCCAACCCTACATGGGCCAACCACAACCAGATCTTCTCCAATGTCAAGCTTCCCATCAAGAACTACCCATACTTCTCGGCCGAGACCAAGGGTCTTGACTTCAAGGGTATGGTTCAGACGATAGAGAACGCTCCAGAGGGCAGTGTTATCCTGCTGCATGCTTGTGCGCACAACCCCACAGGTGTCGACCCTACTCAAGATCAGTGGAAGGAGATTGCCTCGCTCATGAAGAGCAAGTCCCAGTTCCCCTTCTTCGACTGCGCATATCAAGGCTTCGCATCTGGCGACCTGAACAAGGATGCCTGGGCCATCCGTTACTTCGTCGAGCAAGGCTTCGAGATGTTCGTCGCTCAGAGTTACGCCAAGAATTTTGGTCTATATGGCGAGCGCGCTGGCTGCTTCCACTTTGTCACTGGCCCTTCTTCTGATGCTGCTGATACCGCAGTTCGTGTCGGTAGCCAGTTGGCCATTCTCCAGCGTTCCGAGATCAGCAACCCTCCCGCATACGGTGCCCGCATCGCATCAGTCATTCTTAACGACGAGAAGCTGTTCGCCGAGTGGGAGGAGAACCTTCGTGAGATGAGTGGTCGTATCATCTCGATGCGCAAGGCTCTCAAGGGCAAGCTTGATGAGCTGCAAACGCCTGGCAACTGGGACCACATCATCAACCAGATTGGCATGTTCAGTTTCACCGGCTTGACTGAGAAGCAGGTCTTGAAGATCAGATCCGATGCTCACGTCTACATGACCAAGAATGGCAGAATCAGTAAGTGCTATCACGGTATTGCTCACAAACGATGTACTAATCGTTCGTAGGCNATGGCTGGTCTCAACACCAACAACGTCGAGTATTTTGCCAAGGCTGTCGACAAGATCGTCCGCGAGACGTCGTAAATTCGTGTCACTAAACAACGACAGGAACAGAGGGTTGTCTATGTCATGTAATCATGAACGAAAATAGCATTGGTGGAGTAAGTGCATTAATTGGGTATTCGGTGGGATATCACTCTGCAGGACGATTCCTTCGGGAAAGGAATCAAAACATCGTTTAGTGGGTCGAGTTTCTCATCCATTGATTTTCTGCCTGTCAGTGTTCATCATGAGTGTCTCCGCTTGTGGTTTCTTGATCGAAGAGTAGAATGCACGGCTGGGGCCCCCTTGAGTCGGCAGTTGATTTGAAAGGACCGGGCCGAGTGCAGCCCGCCGATGTCGACTCTCTCCATGTCCGATTTGCCGCCCATTGGAGTTCAGGCATTTTCTCTTCTCCATTGACGACGCGTCCAGTCTCACGGCAGGCCAGGATATTTGAACAAAGGCGGTCCAACGGATCATATCACGCTCATTCCCAAGCGCCAATCACGATCGGGAGCTCCGAAATCGTCCACATCATCCCCGCATTAAAGTCACCCGGTGGACCCCGCCATGGCTCCTCAATCCCGCCTCAGTCTCATCTCTAGACACCTTGACCAGAGACCTCAAGTCGAATTGAACACACCATACGCACACGAGCGCCAGTCTAGTCCCCCAGACGACATTCCATACAACCCTCTACCCGCTGTTCGAGAAGAGAAGAAGACCAACATGTCGAGCCAACCGCCCCACCCGGCCCTGCTCATCCCAGGCCCCATCGAGTTCGATGACCAGGTTCTGCAGTCCATGAGCCACTTCAGGTACACCAGGCGCATTCTTCTCATGTCAAACATCGACTGACACTCGNNCAGCGAGTCCCACGTCGGCGCACCCTTTGTCAAGACATTCGGCGAGACCTTGACCATGCTCCGCAAGCTGTTCCAGACCGAGGATCCCGCCTCTCAGCCCTTCGTCATCTCCGGTTCTGGTACTCTTGGTTGGGATCAGGTCGCTGCCAACCTTGCTGAGCCCGGTGATGATGTCCTGATCCTGCACACTGGTTACTTTGCCGACAGCTTTGCCGATTGTTTCGAGACATACGGCGTCAAGGCTACCCAGCTCAAGGCTCCCATTGGCGATCGTCCTCAGCTCGGCGAGGTCGAGAAGGCCCTCAAGGAAAAGAACTACAAGCTCATCACTGTCACCCACGTCGACACGTCGACCGGTGTTCTCAGCGAGATTGAAGCCCTTAGCAAGCTCGTCCACAAGGTCAGCCCCGAAACGCTGGTCGTTGTCGATGGTGTCTGCAGTGTCGGCTGTGAGGAGATTCAGTTCGACAACTGGGGAATCGACTGTGTTATCACCGCCTCTCAGAAGGCCATCGGATGTCCAGCAGGTCTGAGCATCGTTATGGCTTCTGGCCGTGCCATCAAGTCTTTCCAGAGCCGCAAGGTCCCTCCTACCTCATACTTTGGCTCGTGGAAGAACTGGATGCCCAGTACGTATCATCTCTCGATTATCCTTGGAGCTAATGCTAATTTGGCGCANGTCATGCAAAACTACGAAGCCGGCAAGCCCTCATACTTTGCTACTCCCTCGCCCCAGCTCGTTCACGCTCTTCACACCACACTTAGTCAGATCACCTCAGTACCTTTGGCTGACCGCTTCGCTGCTCACCGCAAGGCGTCGCAAAAGGTCAAGCAAGCTGTCGCCGACCTCGGTCTCAAGCAGCTGGCCGAGAAGCCCGAGAACCAAGCCAACGGAATGACCGCCATCTACCTCCCCAAGGGTATGACTCCTCCGGATGTTTTGCCCAAGCTTATGCAGCGCGGTGTGGTCTTTGCTGGCGGTCTGCACAAGCAGATTGCTACCCAGTACATTCGCTTTGGCCACATGGGTGTAAGCATCACTGACCCCAACCGTGACGACATTGACCGTGCTATCAATGCGCTGAAGGAGGGCATCACAGAGGCACAGCAAGCCATGGATATGTCCGCTAGATAGACAGAAGCATAATGATTGCATTTTGTGTATACTAGAAAACTGGCGTGCCCATCGTCAAGGAGAAATCATGAACAGTGATGGCAATATTGGAAACGATTTGTTCTCGAGGTCGTGAGCCCACCGTGTTGTCAACGCACAACTCATTCTCAACTCCAAGAACAATGTCAACATACCCAACACCTTCTATTACATGGTCCGGACTTGAGGATCTAAGCATTTGATGGACACATGATCTACACAACGTATGATACTTGGGCACACCTTGGCGCCAAGTCGAGAAGCAAACTCTTGAGCCTCAACCCGCGGAGCGCCGTCCTTGTTATTCCCGGATTCGACATCCAGCTAGCAACGTTCATTGCTCGACACTCCACATGCGGAGAGCTTACTCCTGGTGCCTGGCCATTCTCCGCATTCGCTCTCGAAGTAACTTCTCGCGATGGCCGGATCAGCATCCATGCCCTATGGGTCTCGTCATCGGGGAGATGATTCCAATTGATTGTGTGTCTAGGTTCGCCTTATCTCAGGCTCAGGCCTGCAGATGTCACTAGGCCCGTACGATATGTAGATGTATGCACAGACGTCCTTCTCTCCACATGTGTCACATTTGTCCAGAGCACAGTGTAGCTGGCTTGGCTCCCCTCATTGGATCAAATGCTGACGGCGAGCGGTTGTAGGGTTTGTCTCGTATGACGCCACACGAATTGACACCAGTATATGGTCACTGGCGTTCGAATATGATTGCCTCATCTTTTCATCAGACATGTCTTTTAAACTTTGCCAATATTGTCGGCGCTCTGGCCCTCATCGGAAAGACAAACTGCATGTGGAGCTTGATCATGCTCGCCACAGTCTCATGCCAGTCACTGGACAGCCCATCGTCTTGACGAGCAATAGCCCCGCGACTGATGTCACCTATGCGTCTGACCATTTCTGCAAATGGATCACACTGCTCTTTCTTCCACTGTCCTGCGGATATGCCCCGGAAGTTCATTGAGTTTGACAAAAGGCCATTGCAACGATACTCCGCGGGTCCTGCTTCTAGTCTACTACTCTTGACACATGGACGAAGGTTAAAAACCCACCTTTCATGCACATCCATTATTGCAAGTACACGGTAATCCGCGGAGACATTTCGCGCTACCCACACATACACGCTTTATCGGTCAGTCGTTGTGGCCAAGAGGTGGTTTCTTCAACATCTGGAGAAGCCAACTCGAAGCATAAACGCTCAATTGTATGCTTGGCGTGACGATTGACGTAAGCTGTACTGTCCGCGGTCGCACAAACTCTCTAGTAAAACCAGAGATCTTGACTATGGCATACTACCAGACGAGATGGGATTGCTTCTACGCCTTGTTACAACAACGGCTATGGGAGCTTGGTCTCTAGCCGATTTCAGACATGACTTGCTGAGAAACGAGTAAGGAGCATGCATGGACCTTGACTCATGGACTGTAACACCAACCACTGTGATATACGCCCAAGCTTGTTTGAACGTTACCAGAGTCTGTTCTCAGCTGGGCCTCGCTTGTGATACCGGGTGATGCCAGTGACATGCGCTCAGCCGCGGACACTTGCTATGCAAATGGTCGAAGTTATTGCATCATCGTCAGTTGATTCGTTAGACAGGGGAACCACACGCTCAACTACCTTCTTGGCAAAGGATGTTGTACTTCTTGACGTCCGCGGTATCAAGGCGATCGTCGTCAGATGCTGTCTCCGAGAGACAGTAAACCCGCGTCGAAGGCATTCAGAATTTGAGATTGCGGTAATAGATAAGCAAAACAGGAGTATCCCTGAATATATAAGAGCAATGCGTCTGCTGTCGATGTCTGGACACCAATTCCCATTACTCATTCATCACAACTTCAAGACACATTCGCTCACCTACTTCATTATCTATTACCCCAGAAACAACACTACAGATTAGAATGCGTTTCACACAGACCTTCTTTGCTGTTGCAGCTCTTGCTGCTGTCGGCTACGCTCAGGATAGCGACGTTTGCGATGATCAGAACGACAATGGTGTCACCTGCGTCAACGGTACCCCTGTCAGCAGCAATGGTATCGCAATCAACACCAACACCGTCACAAACACCAACACTGTCATTGCTTCCACCTCGACCAACCCTCGCCTCTCGGTCATCTCGTCCACCGATACCGACATCCTGATCTCGACCACCCGCAGCGTTGTTCTTGACACCACTTCCCTCCCCCACTCTCTTGACACTCGCACATCCACCTATCTGAACACGGTCGTCCAGACTTTGGACTCTGCGTACACCACCAACACGCTCAATACCAACACCGTCACTGCCACAACCAGAGTTGGAGGCAACGCTGCTACTACTACTACAGCTGCCACTAACACCATCACCACCGGTACTGCTGCTTCGAGCTCCACTGGCGCTGCCGCTGCTCTCCAGACTGGATTCGCTCCTTTTGGAGTTGCCATTGCCGCTCTTGGTTTCGCTGCTGCCCTTTAAGCGTGAGGTATTTGCATATTGACTGGAGAGAGCTCATCAGGAGGAAAAAAAGCCGCGAGGGAAATGCAGCGTGGGCCTAGAGGTTTCAGGACCAAGTGTCAGCTCTCAAAGTTGGACAGGATAGCTATTTGGGGTCGATTATGAATGGAGGAGATATTTGTAATAATGTATGTAGCTAAATCGGTTTTCCTTGATCTACCTTGAAGTAATACCTGAATCTTTGTCTCTGATGCTTTCTGTTGATTGGTGATCTGAAGTAGAGTGTAAACAATATAGCATTTGTGAACAAAACAGGTCATAGAAGCATGATCCGACGTTGGAGGAGACGTAGTTGCTTGACGTTGGCAACAGCTCGGATGGGTGCAGCCGAATGCGAGCGGATGTTGCCGTCGTCGACCAATGCAAACGATTCAATTGGCCGAGGCAGACGGTGGTATTAGATGAACGAGGAGACGAGGGGTTCTGTGCCTCGATGACAAAGTAATTACTAGCTGCTTCTTCAGTATCCCCTGACTCTGGCATCCTTCGCCTTCTTTCCTTTCGAAATATTGCTATTCATTATCGACAGCCGTCGCCAATTGTCCTATTGCCTTGACCCCACGAACTGGCCTCAGTCCGAAAGGCTCAGTGACGTCTACCGAGCCATCTCGGCCGCCGCAAAACATCTTTCTCCCTTGCAAGCAGTTCGCCCTCAGCAGCAGCAGCAGCAGCAGCAGACCCCAAACACACAGCACAATATGTCCTTCTCATCACTCGTATCCGACCTGACATACCGCGACCGCAATGGCGGCGGCGACGACAGGCGTTCGACCATGTCGCGACAGGTCTCGACCATGTCTCGTGCCCGATCTTACGCCAGCACCGCAGCCACAAGCGTCAGCATCACTGGAGACATCTCAAGTCAACTTCACGGTGGTTACAGCCATCCGCTGGCTCGCGCATGGCAGGCCGAGCGCCAGTTGACCAAGTCGATGCTCATCTACCCCCTGTTCATCACCGACAATCCAGACGAGGAGACTTTGATAGCCTCATTGCCTGGACAATACCGCCGTGGCCTCAACAAACTCGTACCCTTCCTCCGCCCTTTGATCGCAAAGGGCCTCAAGTCGGTCATCCTGTTCGGTGTGCCGCTCCACCCTGATGCAAAGGACTCCCTGGGCACTTCTGCCGACGACCCCACCGGCCCCGTCATCGCCTCGATCCGCTTGTTGCGCAAGGCTTTCCCTGCTCTCTTCATCACCGCGGATGTGTGTCTCTGCGAGTACACCAGCCACGGCCACTGTGGCATCTTGCGGGAGGACGGCAGTCTGAACAACGCTCTTTCGGTCGATCGCATATCGGATGTCGCCATGGCATATGCTGAAGCTGGTGCTCACTGCGTTGCTCCNTCAGATATGAACGATGGCCGTATCCGCGCCATCAAGCTCAAGCTTATCGAGGCTGGTATTGCACACAAGGTCGTTCTCATGTCATACTCTGCCAAGTTCAGTGGCTGTCTGTACGGTCCATTCCGTGAAGCTGCAGGCAGTGTACCGTCGTTCGGTGACAGAAGGTAAGACAACCAATTCCTGCACATCTGCAACTCGAGTACTGATCTTCTCTTCTTNAGATGCTACCAACTCCCCCCTGGCGGCCGCGGCCTCGCCCGCAGAGCAATCGTTCGCGACATCAACGAAGGTGCCGACATCATCATGGTCAAGCCCGCCTCTCAATACCTCGACATTATCAGTGACGCAAAAGAGATTGGCAAGGATTTGCCCGTCGCCGCATACCAGGTCAGCGGTGAATATGCCATGATTTGCGCTGCTGCCAAGGCTGGCGTGTTCGACCTCAAGACCATGGCCTTCGAGGCCACCGAGGGTATTCTTCGTGCTGGCGCGAGCATTGTCGTTTCATACTTTACTCCCGACTTTTTGGACTGGCTGGATAACTAGACTGTTGGTGTTTGACCGAGCAGGGCACTGGTTTGTCTTTGCTTGATACCACCTCCACCTCCCTCCGTCTTTCTTACTGCATACCCTGATCGATGGGTAGGAGTTGTTTTCTTTCGAGAACGGCGTTTTTCTGCTCCGAGGTTCTGCTTTACGACCTCGCTGCCTTTCCTTTCTGAGCGATCTTCTCTGCTTTTCCCCTGGCGTGTGTCAGACCCTTTTTGTTATGATACCAAGAAGATAACCAATGAATATCTCATCTCGACTCTAATCCTTAACCAAATCTTCTCCGACCAGCTTTATGTGATCACCACAGAGTCCTACATGTCCCTCAGGTGTCATGTTGTTTCATGTAAACACGGCAACAGCTGCGTCAGGTGCGACAGGGTCATCCCCATTGAATGAGGGCGACCCTGTCTTGGTAATGTACCATCCACTTTGAATGCCGATAACTTACTTCATGTTTAACATTATCATGTCATGTTTGCTGGGAATTTCATGAGATGAACAACGAGATTTATTATGCCATACCGCTTTACATAAAGACGATCGACATGTTCAAAGGTTGGGAAGTGGCTGTTGTGAGCGTCTCGACTCGTGCCGCTACCATTCGAGTTTCGCATCCAAGCGATTTGACAGAAGCTTCCAGGACATCATAATATGGTAGATTTCGATCGCACAAAGACACTTCCATCTCTTCCAGATCGTCAGTTGCGCTCGAAGCACGCATCTCATGCTTAACGATGAGGTTGAGATGGTGGTTGTGCGGACGAGGCAAGAGTCGAAGTCCGGGCAGTCTTGACGTCTCGCAGCCGCACTTTCCAACTTTTCTGAACGTCATTCCGTCCTTATGTGCTTGTTTGCTCTAACCCTCATAGGCTTATGCATACTGGACATTGCCAGCCTCAACATTCTCTTGCGAATCATGGAGCATCAGGATGTCGTTCATGCATAAGAACTTACCGATCCTGCGGAGCCCGATCGACCGCCATTCTCAGCCTCTCGCTACTTGCAGTAATCATGATCGTTGTCTCGGGTCTTGACATGGACCCAGGAACGACTCCCAGAGATCTCGTCCATCCAGCCGGAATCGATCTGCCTGCTTGGCTTTCCAAAGCGGTCGATGCTCCGCCCAGAAGTTTTCCTTCTTCACTCTCATCCTTGTAGACATCAACCTTAATCGACCACCCTGAAGAAGCAGCTTCCGCCTTCATCGAATTGTGCCAATCAGGAGTTTGACATGACATTTCGGTCTGTACCTTCGATGGCAATCAAGCGAAGATGGTCAAGCAAGAATCGCAGCTTTTGGTTCACTAAGGACACTTGCGCGTGGTCCCGTCCATGTCCTGTGTTGATTTCGTCAGGTGGTAGGTCCTGCATCATGGCAAATGATAGTACCTGTGGTATTTCGCGCCGGAGGTCAGCAAGTAAGTAGAGATGTTGAGTGGATGTGCCTGCCATCTTCCTGGCCGGGGTACCACTTACTTCTGCCTCACAATCTTTTCGAGACATCTACTGTTCAAAGATGGTGCGGCGTTTGTCCACCACTTCGACCTTCACGACTCAACGGGTAGAGAGTAACGACGGAGGTAAAAATGACAGAACTAAATCTACCAACTCTGCTACGGACGTTGTCATACCGTCTACTCTGTTGAACGCAATCACGTCTGGTCCATACATATCGCACCCAAACCAGTTCCAGAGTGAGGATCCTCGAGATACAACCAACAGCTTCGATGTGCGCCAAGTTGCGCAGCAACTGCACGAAGAAACGTCCCGTATCCTAGACCGCTCTGCCAGTATCTCTATCGCTGAACTAGCACGCAACACAACGTCCAAGACTGAACATGAGTTCCGCAAGACCAGCCTTGAACCGAACTTTGGTTCGACCTTGAAGAATCAGGGGTTGAGCCCACACCACAGAGACCCAGGCCGCCATGCCTTGTCCACTGTGACGGAAGGAAAAGTCACGGCGACTCAAAACCGAGCGACCACCGACGACTACTTTGGTAACTACAGCATTGGAGCACAAGGACCTCGACTCCATCGACGCACTTCATCAGACAGAAGCGTTTCAAGGAAGGCCCGCCTGAACGAACCGAGTCCAACCAGTCCAAGTCCACTGCGATTACAGAGCAGGAACCATTCACAAAGTAGAGACGAAATCGACATCCGGATTAGCACACAGAGGTCTCGACGATCTACGGCAGGTGCCTCTCGGAAAGAGAGTATCGTACAGCGCTCTGCTTCTGTTGTGCTCGAGACCGTCGAGAATGTGAAACAGGCCATACGAAGGAGAAGCATCTACGACGTCTACGAGAAGGCGAAAAAGCGTGGTGTCGAGTTGCAAAGGAGCAAGTGGGCCATGCGACTCTTCGAGTACACCTTTTATCTCATACTTGTCGCCTTTGTCTACTTCGTTCTGGTGGGTGTGCCCCTCTGGAAAGGCGCCGTCTACTGGCTGTATTGGGTGTTTGATCACAAGTTTGCTGTCGCTGGCACTTGGTATGTTATAGTCCTACCACAAAAGCTTACCTGACTGACAGATATAGGNTCTATCACCATTGGCATCGCGTTCCTCTACGCTTATACTCCACTCCTTGTCTTCTTCGAGAAAGACCTGCCTATGCCTGCTGACATTGACAACATCAATCCAAACCTAACGCCAGGTGTCCACAACACGGCTCTGATGATACCCTGTTACAAGAGTGCCAAGATTGTTGGCCCTACCTTAGAGGCAGCCTTGAAGATCTTCCCACCATCGCACATCTTCGTCATCGCCAATGGAAACAGTCCAACACCTCTTGACGATACCGAGGTCGTATGCCGTCCATACGGAGTCAACCACGTCTGGTCGCCAGTCGGCTCGAAGATTGTAGCCCAGTTTGTTGGATGCTATGCCGCTCGAGGATTCAAAAATGTCCTTCTTATTGATGACGACTGTGCTCTTCCTCCAAACTTCCCCATCGTTAGTGACAGGATGACACCAATGATCAAGTGTATAGGATACACAATCAAATCTGTGGGACCAGAGTCATCTCGAGGCACCTTATGTCAACAAGCTCAAGATTTGGAGTACAAGATCAGTGGCATTCAACGAGCATTGGCCGGATACGTTGGTAGTGCGACCTTTCCTCACGGAGCGATCTCTCTCTGGGATCGTGAGTTTCTGATCCAAACGTTCTACAAACACCCTGGCTTTAGCGTCTCCGAGGACTGGTTCTTTGGTCATGTGGCTAGGCAGCTTGGTTCCCGGATCACAATGTGCACCTCTGTGTTCATCGAGACGGAAACACCAAATGCCGTCTTCTTCAGCTCTGGAGGTGCCCGAGGAGGCTTTGGCGAGATGACCATTTTCAAGCAACGATTTCACCGCTGGAACTTCTTCTTTGTCAATGGCATGTACTACAACATGGCTTATATCCTGGGTTCCTGGAAACTCGGCTTCTGGGAGATAGGGGCCAAGCTGTTTGTGTTCCAAGAAGTGTATGAAACACTGTTGTATCTCTTGTCGCCATTCGTCCTCCCCATTTCAATCATAGTACGTCCGGCCTTTTTCGGATATCTGTTCGCAGGCACGTTTGTGCTGTATTTTCTCAACGCCATCATTTTCAATGAGCTTCATCTGAGATTGAAGAAGGAGAGAGTGGGATCTATCTGTGTCTACCTTTACTACATGCCTTACAAAGTCGTACTTACCTTTGTCAACGTAGGCAGCTGCTACTGGTCGCTATATAAGTACGCACAGTACTTCGCTCGACGCCATCCAAAGATTGTCGAGGACGAGAAAGCAGTTGATGTGGTTCTGAGAATGGAAGAACAGCACGACACTCTAGCCAACGAGGGTCGACGCATGACAATTACAGCAGTCGGTGCTCAAACTCAAGGATCAGTAGTCGAACGAACACCATCGGGACCCACCGAACGAAAGATGACAGTCACCACGCTGGGTCCAAAACTCGATATTCCCGATATCCACGATGTGCAGCCTATGTCGCCAGTGGTCGAGCAACCCGAACAATTTGCTCCAGCGATCAGACTCCAAGGCGAACGTGTCAGTTTCAGCTCTAGAAGAAGCAACAGCCCGGGCGTACAAATCGAACGATTGCCTAGCCATAACTCTGAAGGCATATCACCTGGCCAAAACCTTGCATCACCATTATCCCGTACCACTACAACAGAAAAGTTGGACTCAAGGTCTGTTGATCATCGAAGTCGACGTTCGGCTAGTACTCGCTCAGACCCTACTCGCCGCTCTAGTAGTTTGCCTCGCTCGCATATCTCTGCCGAGTTTGAGTCTCCTGGCTTTGAAGAGTTGATGGATAGACTGGCTATTATTGAGTCGAGGATCAATCCTCGGAATGTGTCTGCTGTGGAGGTATCTATAGCTGAAGAAGTTGTGCCCACTGCTGTGACAGCACTAGCTTTTCTTGATTATACCAATCAGGTTGAGATCAGTGCAGGAGATGAAGAAGAAGAAGAGGAAGAGTATGAGATGTATGATTTGGAGAAATTGGATTCGGGCAAGACTGATGAGTCGAAGAGTTTGGTATAATTGTGAGATAAGGCTTGAGGTGGGAGTACTGACAAGATGGTACATATACGGATAGTTCGATGGTTGTGCTTTGACTAATGCTAGAGTATAATACAAAATGCCACGATATCGATTTTCAATTCGCAAAGTCCATCAGGAAGCGAAATTTAGATCCGTGAAAAGACATTGCATTTTCGTAGTCCACAAGCAAGTCTTTTTTTGCTTTTTAGCAGGGCAATCACTCCATATAGCACACCGTTGTGCATTGATGTAACTAACAGATCGCGTGTCGTTGCGGTCGGGCCGTGCTAGCAGATGGCAGATGAGACGTTTCCAATCGCGGCTTCTCCGAGTCCGTCCGTATGAGATTCTGGTTCATGCGTTTTGAACACGACGCGGCGGGATGAATGAGGAACAGACAAAGGGTTATCGCAAAGGCGCTAAACAATACTAGCTGGCTAGGCTAAAACTCGGTTATATACATGATCATTGAATTCTTCTTGTTCCTTTACAGAATCCTGCAGGATCGTAATTTCGATATTATCTGCTCGCTGGTGAGAGCTGAAAGCCGTTGTTGTTTCTGCATAGCCGGTATACATCTCAGTCCAGCTGAGCCTTCACCCTTCTCTTTACCGTCCTTGGCAGTCGTCCGGTCTCAAAATATCAAGATAAAGAGACTCAGTAACTAATCTGAGTAGATAGTCTATGCCTTTTGCCTGTTGATGTTAGGAAGTAGGTAGAAGGCAGTCTTGTCAAGGGTTTGTCGCGTGGAAGGGAGCAAGATATGGTGATGCGCATGGAAATCCGAAGCGGTCCAAGATGGATGTGATACTCGGAGATGCCCGTTGGATGTCTTAAAACCCCAGCTCTTGCGATGAGATATTCAACGGACAAGCTGATGGTACATACGTTGGCCTAGAGCATCCACACTTGAGGGTCCTCTATTAACTAGATGCAGGAGGTCGTTTTCCTGGTAAGCTCATCTCGTGGATCTTGGCGTGTCGCAGTCAGGATATATCATGGCTCTGCCATCTTCCTCAAGAATCTGATTCTTTTCGGTTTACGGATCATCCCTCAGATGCGAAAGGAACTCCAATATTCAAGATGCGAATTCATTCTGGGTTGGCTGCGGCTTCCTTGTTCGCTGCTGCAACTGCCCTAATTTCCAATGGCACAACCGAAACCGTCACCGTCACTCGTACATCTTGGTCAACACTCCTTTCTTGCCCCTCTCCGACGACCGTCACTGTGTGTAATGCTCAGTGTCCAACATCGTCCGAATTCGCCAACAACGCCAACATCGTTTACCAGACAATATCGAGTTACCAAGCTGGACAGGTCGTCATCATTGCTGGTACTGCAACCACTCTCGCCGAGCCTACTGTTTTGACCGTTGAACAAACTATCAATAATCTTGTCCTCGTTCCGGGCACAGCAACCGAAAGTGACTTGACTGCCGCAGCGACAGTCACGAACATCGTCTATCCAACATCAATCACCGGCGTCAGTGGTCAAGTGATTACGTGCCAGACTGGTGTCACGACTCTCAGCCACGATGGTGTTGTTCTCACCAATTGCCCCTGCACGGTGCAGTCCACTGTCCTCGAGCTGACCGCAACTGGGTCTGGACCAATTCCTACTGCCATAGTATCTTCGAGTAACTATATTGTCAAGATCATCTATGTGTATGTCGTTGAGATCATCGTTGAGCAAGTTCCAACGACCATCACAACAACTGCAACCAGTGTCCTTGCCACAACCGCGGGAGAGACTGCAACGACTACAGGCAGCGCATTGCCTACAATCGTGTCTGTCGAAAGCGTTACTTTTCTGCTCGAGTACGACTCGACATACGATGGAGTTGCTGATACTGGACTACGCAAGCGTCAGGCATTCGGCTCGCCTTTGATCCCTGATGCTCTCAACAATTGCCTTGCCAGATGTGCTGAGCAAGTGGACTGCCGAGCTGCCTCTTTCGTGAGATCCACATGCACTTCTCTTCGGCAGTTTGATGCGCAAAGCCGAAGAGTTTCCCCCAACGAGATCTTTGCTATTGTCATCTACAGGCCGTCTGCGCCGGCAGGATCGAGTTCATCATCAAATGTTGTCTCACCATCAGGCTCAGCAACGTCGATTGGCCTCGAATCTTCCTCAAGCTCCAGGATCTCCTCAAGCTCCAGAACTTCCTCAAGCTCCGGAGTCTCGTCAAGCTCCGGAGTCTCGTCAAGCTCCGGAGTCTCGTCAAGCTCCAGGATCTCGTCAAGCTTCAGGATCTCGTCAAGCTCCAGAGTGTCCTCAAGCTCCAAAGTCTCCTCAAGCCTGCTAGAGAGTATGACCCCCAGCAGTTCGGACTTGTCGACAAGCTTGGGAACTAGCAGTTCAGCAGGAACATCCAGCTCAAGTACCAATCTCATCTCCAGATCGAGCAGCCGAATCAGCTCCAGTAGTGCGAGATATCCTATGTCCAACAGTTCAATCAGCTCGACAACTCTGAGTTCAAGCAGCAGCTCCAGCTCAGGGCTTCCTGTACCGATCACCAGTTCATCAGTCGTTTCTGTCCCTTTGGAATCGACTTCGAGTATTTCGCCGGAATCGACTTCGAGTGTTTCGTCGGGATCGAGTTCGAGTGTTGCGTCGGAATCGAGTTCGAGTGTTGCGTCGGAGTCGACTTCGAGTATGTCGTTCTCGTCTTCAGGTTTCGTGACTGGAATTTCGAATACGTCAACGAGCATAGTTCCCTCCTCTGCGACCTCATCGCCCATCGTATTCTCCTCCTCCTCATCCTTAACATCATCATCATCATCAACATCATCATCATCATCATCATTAACATCATCATCATCATCATCATCATCATCATCGGCAAGTTCTACATCACTTGCTTCATTGACTGGATGCGCAGTCGCAAGCGAACTCTTGGAGTATCCTCCTGCCATATCTTACTGTTCTTCATCATATCCTGCGACGACCTACACTAGCCTGTTCGATGCCACATTCATGGATACTATTACTAATATAGGAATTGCCTCTACTATGTACGGCAACGTCACTCTACCAGCCGAGACACTCGTACAAACCATTGAAGAAACAATCACCCAGACCAGTTTCTTCCCGGTAGAGGCGACAGAAACAGATACAACAACAATGTAAGCTATCCACCACCACGCCGACCAAGAGTCAACACACTAAAACGTAATGGCAGCACCACAACTGTATCCAGTACCCCTGCAGCTTTACAGAGAAGACGAACAAGTGCCGCACCTGCGGCCAGCATTTTCACGAGCCTCTTGTCTCGTCCGGCTTCAGACATTGCCCTTGTGTGCTCTTGCTTGCAGACCCCAGTGACAGACTCAATTACGAGAACGGTGACGGTCTTGAGCACAACAACTTCCACGCCAATCATTAGTGCCAACATGACCTTCACGCCTCCAATCATGACTCTGCAAATCACCGAGACGAACACCGAAATCACCGACGTGACCACGACCACAGCGACAACAACGAGTACTGAGGTAGTCACAGTATTGATCATCTCAGTGACTTCCAGCTACGCGAGTACATATACCACGGTCCAGGCCACGCCTACTACAGATGTCGAGACCATCACAACATGCACAGTAGGCACGGTATCTCCAGTTGGGAATTGTCAGAACACGGTCTATTCGGCCGCTGGCAAATACTACAGCGAACAATGCGACAGTCCAGTCGTCACTGGATCAGTCCGTCTCAACATTTTTGGGGTCACCAATGTCAACCAATGCCTGAGCTTCCTTAACGCCTTTCCGGCCTACTCCGGCAATCTAGCTGCCTACGTTCCTACGGCCACTCATTGCTATCTCGTGCAAACTACGGCTACACCTGCTACCACCCTTGGCCCTGGAATCCAAGCAGTTGCCGTGTATAGTACGAATCCGTGTGTGGCTACCGTTACAAGCACTGGGACCGGATACTCCACCGAAACGATCACTTCTCAGATGGTCACCGTGTTTGAATCCACCGTCACAAGCGCGGCTACGTCTGCTTGATCTGTGTTTTGTTTTTAGACGCGATACGTTGCTGAACCGAGGCCCGCCGAAGAAAGGAAACCTATTATGGCAGAGAAGACTTACTAGTTCAGATCAGTATCCTAGAAGGCAAACCATAGGAGCTAGACTAGGTCCTATTAGAAGCATAGTTGATAATAAACACACTATACCCTTTAATGCTAGATGTATCTTAGAACCTTATATCTCGAGTTCGACTCTCACCTAAAAGCGTTGGTTGGTACGCAACTGCTTTTTCCCAAAGTCGATGCTTGGGGAGGGGTTTTTGATTTGCTGTTTTTCTTTTACTCTTGGAGGGACTCTAGGTTTTTTGCTCGCGAGCTGGAAGAAGAGAAACTGATGGATGAATACAGCTATGATTGATCGTAGATGTCGTTACTTGCTTGAGTTTAAAAGTCCAAATATCTCCTTCTGCACTTGCGCCTCGCTTTGGAAACAAAAAGACCAAAAGACCAGCTTCTTGTCCCTTTCTTGCTACATGTGCCAAGATGAAGAAGATCGAAAACGCCTCGCCGGTAGACTTGCAAATATGTTGTTGCTTTCCATCAGATCCGGATCAAGAAAGCGTCGCCATCATCATGGCAATCTTCCTAGCCTGCCGTCTCTCCTTGTCTGCCGCTGTAGAAATACAAGTCAGTCAAGTGTTCGAGATTTGATTTGCGGTCCACGCAGGATGAGGAGACAAAAAGACACACCGATCACCGCGCAGACCTGACAAGCGCCATCCTACCTTTCCGATCCTTTTCCACGCGAATGACGTCTCTTTTGGGACTCCTGTCTCGCTCAACATATTCGACGATTTCTCGGTCGGGGCGACGTTCTCTGTACTCGACCATCTCGTAGCCACTTTGTTGCGGCTGGGCAAGAATGATTTGGCCATGATGGTGCTGAGCTTCGCGTTCGAGACGCAGAGCGCGGGCTTCGGCTTCCAGAGCGCGAACTTCGGCATGGACATCACGACTGTGTTCACGGCGGCGCTCGGGCAGTACGATAGTCATGGGTTGCTGTTGGGGCGGGGCAGGTCGAGCTGGCTCGTGAATGTAGATGGGAGCAGGAGGTGGTGCAGGAGCTTGCTCTCTGATATAGATGGGAGTTGGAGGAGGTGGCGGTGCAGGATCCCGTATGTAGATGGTTTGCGGCTGCGGTGGAGGGGCGGGCGATGGTTGACGGACTGTACGAGCTGGAGAGCTACGACGAGTACGGGCAGAGCGAGCTGGAGAAGGAGCGCGAACACTGGGAGGGTTGATCCATTCGGTCTTGAGGTGCTCGAAATGTTCCTCGGGTGCGGAGGGGTCGTCGTAGCGGTACGTCTTGGTTTCTGCTCTTGTCAGTCATTACGAAGATGAGTTGGTGAAGGCCTTCGACTTACTCGGCTCTTTGTACTGCTCGCTGATGCGGATCACCTCGTCAATGTGATCCTTGTCCAGAGCTCTCTGCACGATGATGAAGTCCTNCCTAATTCTCGTTAGCTCAGAAGGGATTATCAGATGTCGATAGAGTCTCACCTCCTCCTCAAAAGGATAGCCCAGATTGATGATGGCCTCCTTGCGTACCAGCCGCTTGGGCATGCGAGTCTTTCCCTTCTTGCCAATCTTTGGTGGGCTAGGGCTGCCGTGTCTGCTGTGTCGACTGACTTCGGTAAAACTGCTCTTGCTACTGCTGCTGCTGCTAGAGCTGCGCGCGGTTCTTCCACTGCGCTTGGTGGTCGAACTACGTGCATCGCTCCTTGCCCGGTCACGGTTGCCACGCCTACGGTGAACGCTCTTCTCTCGTATAATCTCCATATCGCGGTACGAGTCCTGAGGGGAGTAATCCCGACGTCTCACATCTTCATATTCCTCCTCGTACCAGCCACCAGGGGGCCCACGTGAGGGNNGGGAGCGACGACGGGGCAGAGGGATCGGAACGCCAGGAGGGATGCGGTACTCGTCTTGCTCGTGTCGGCGAAGCGGTCGGCGGTCGAATGTGTCGAGACTGCTCTGTCTTCTCTGTAGACCTGGTCTTGGGACATTTCTGGTCTCGCGGAACTCAAAGTCGCGGTCGATGATTGATTTCCTTCTGTAGGGAGCGAGCTGGAGATCGGCAAGCTCGCGAGGGTCTCTATCACCAAAGAGTTCACGGTCTGAGCGACGGAGTCTGGCAGCAGGGCCGTACGAGTCCTCGGCGAAGACGTCTCGTTCACGTCGTGGAGGCGGACCTCTGTCGATTCTCTCCTCTATGCGGATATCTTGGCGACCCGGACGGTCATGTTCGGTGAATCGAAAAGTCTCGCGTTCTTCGACAGGGGCAGGGGCTCTGCGTGAGTAGCGTTCGAAGCGGTCACGGTCCCATCGTTGGGCCTGGGGTTCGTCTCCGTAGGCGAGGTCGCTGCTGGAATGACGGCCGTACTGCGAGCGTGACATGACGAAGTGTGTCTCTGACCCTGACGGGTAGGATGTTTGGTAGAAACGGTTGTGACTTTGTGGGTAGCGCGGGGTGGCTGGGGTGTAAGCTTCGCTCCCTCCAGGAGAGAGTTGGACCTCTTCTCTTTGATCTTGTCGTGCTGTTTCTCGGTTTAGATGTTCAACTCTTTCTTGAAAGAAGACTTGCAGGAGAGAAAGAGATTGTCCAGAACAAGAAAGTACGCGACGAGGAAGGAGCGGTCCAAGCTGCACGTCGACGCCCAAAAACCAAGGCGCAGTCGCAGAACGTCATCCTCCCTGGATATCCAATGATTGAACAAGACCAACCTCCTTCAAGTCTCACGACCATCCAATCGCTCTTATGCCTTGCCGCGAACTTTTGCCTTGTTTCCTGGTCTACGGAACTCGCCTCCTCTTCCCGTCAACATGTCTTGCACACTTGCACGTCGCACGCCCGCTATAGGATGGTGCTACCCCTCGTTGACCATTGTTTCTATCTGGAATCTTTAGACCATATTCGTTGGGACTCGACATACTAGCACGTACGGCCACAGTCAGCTGAAAACTGGGCATCCCGTCCGCTCTGCCATACATAAGCAGGTGAACGGCAGATTAGTACTACGGTCGGTGACGACGTGGGAATCCTTGCTGCTGTACGTTTTGCTCTCTTGCGAATACTCGTCTTTTTGCTCCTGAGCATATCTGGACGACACTCCTCTCCAACAGAGAAGGACATACGCAACATGTCAATCACACATTTAGCCGTAAAACTACCCGCTCTTCCCTGGCTATATCTTCCCGCACAGGCATTTATGTCGTTCTGCCACCGTTTGCTCCGTGCATCGTCACTAGAGACCATCTCAGCATCATGCAGCAGTCTATGTCTTCTACCTGCGGGGTTGACGGCTCAAATGGCAGGCCAGGAAAGTCTGGTACTATAAGTATCAGTAAAAGGTATATGAAGCCAAGTAGACTTTTTCCCATCTCAGCCTTCCATTGTGTAGACCGCCACTACTGCTGCTATGCTCTCGAGGTCTCTCTTCATACTGACGGCATTGCTGCCATTCCTTGTCAGTTGCCAGACTCCTGTAGAGAACAACGCCTTAGGTACCCCAAACCTCGTTCATAATGGAAGCTTCACCGAAGGAACTCCTGGATGGTCGGTTCAACCATCTGGTTCTATTCGTAATGGCATGCTCTGCGTCATTGTACCGGCCAACACTGCTGCCAATGCGAGCTATATCCAGACCACACAGAACTTCACCCAGGTCAAGAACGACATCTACTATCTGAACTTTACCGCTTCGGCTACTCATGCTACCAACCTTTGGATACAGACAAATGGCTATGATCCTTCTGCTGGTGGTGCTCCAGTCGACCCCAATTTGAACACAACCCAAGTGCCTTTGACGACATCTATTGAGCCTTTCTCATTCACTTTCTCCCCAGCCAACCAGGAGAACAACTCTACGTTGACATTTTTCCTTGGTGGAAGCAATTCCACAAACGAGATTTGTCTCGGCGATGTTACCTTGCACCGCATCAACCGTCTACCGTACCTTCAAGACACTGGGAGATCGATCAAGATCAATCAACATGGTTATCTGCCAAATGGCCCAAAGCGTGCTACCCTCGTCTCGCAGAGCAACTCGTCTCTGACGTGGCATCTCCAGGACAATAGCGGTGGATCGGTCGTATCTGGGCAGACTGTCCCAATAGGCAATGACACGGCATCTGGCCTCAACGTCCATACTATTGATTTCACCAACTACACCACCAGAGGCGCTGGCTTCCGTCTAAAAGTTACTGCTGACGATAGCAGTTATCCTATTGTCATATCGGATCAACTATATTCAACACTCCGGCAAGACTCCATGCAGTTCTTCTACCAACAACGTAGCGGAATTGCCATCGATGCCGAACTCGTTGGATACCAATATGCTCGACCAGCTGGTCACATTAATGTTTTTCCTAACCAGGTAAGTTGGTAATATCACGTATAAGGACTGGAGCTGATCGAGNNTCAGGGCGATGTCGTGACACCTTGTCAGTATGAGTGGGAGTCGAATGTCACATACCTCGAACCATGGACATGCAACTATACACTTGATGCATCGCAGGGATGGTATGATGCTGGTGATCAAGGCAAGTATGTCGTCAACGGAGGAATCTCTACCGCTCAAATTTTGATGGCCTACGAGCGATCATTGCACACGACCAACAGCTCATCCAAACCGCTTGGCGACGGATCGCTGAGGATACCAGAACGTTCGAATGGTTATCCAGACTTTCTTGACGAAGCTCGCTGGGAAATGGAATTTATGCTCAAGATGCAGGTTCCTCAAAACTCACCACCACAGTTGTTCAACGGTTCATACATTGGTGAGTGATCATCGTCAGCCAATCTTACATCATCACTTACAAGTATTNNAGATACGTCAGGGCTCGTCCACCACAAACTGCACGACAATCAATGGACACCATTGCCAACACCTCCCAATCTCGATTCAAAGCGAAGAGAACTACACCGTCCGTCCACAGCTGCAACACTCAACATGGTAGCTACAGCAGCAATGAGCGCAAGACTCTGGGCTTCATTCGATGCTGCCTTTGCCAAGCGATGCTTGAGTGCTGCTCGCATAGGTTATGCCGCCGCCAAAGCCAACCCTGCGATCTACGCTCCAGGTACCGACTGGGATCTCGGAGGTGGCGCATACAGCGATGATGATGTGAGAGACGAATTCTACTGGGCAGCTGCTGAGATGTACATCACCACATCCGAAGCCCAGTTCGAGAAGGACGTCATGTCCAATTACTATTACACAGCTAACACATCGACCCTGTTCCCCGAGGGTGGTTTCGGATGGTCGTCTATGCAGTCAATTGCACAGATGGACCTCGCCGCTGTGCCAAACAACATCACTGGAAGGGATGCCATCATCGAGTCTGTAATGACAGGTGCTGATCGATATATGGCTATTCAGAAGACACAGCCTACAGATGTGTTCATAACCTCATACCCTTGGGGCAGTAACAGTAACCAGCTGAACTGCATTCAAGTCGTCGCAACCGCCTACGACATCTCGCGAAACAGCTCTTACCGCACCTCGGCCCTGTCAGGCATGGACTACATCTTCGGTCGCAATGCTCTCTCCCAGTCATACGTTCATGACTACGGCACGAAGACTTCGAGCAACATGCATTCTCGACTTTATGCGGCTGAGCTCAGTCGTCTTATCATACAAGATCCAATCGTGCCACCTCCACCCAAGGGTGCACTGGCCGGTGGTGCGAACGAGAGTCCTGCTGATCCGCCTGCTGATGATGTTTTGAAGGGTTGCGTAGGACAGTTGTGCTACGTAGATGATGTGAACAGTTATAGTACGAATGAGGTAGCCGTAAACTGGGGAAGTGCTTTGGCTTGGGTTGCTAGTTGGGCGGCTGATCAGTAGGCCAAATTCTTCGACGTTGTTTACTCAATCTAGATCGCCTCTGCACCAAGTCTCCAAGTCGAGTGTGAAAGAGGTGCTAAAACATGAAACTGGTTTCCGCTTCGAAAGTGCTGGGTCTACCAGTCAAAGATGTTGTATGGTTGAGGAGATGATGGCAATGAGTTGGTGACTGTTGGCAACTGAAGTCACCCTTGTCCTTCAAGCAGGGGTTCTAAGTGCCTACCTTATCATCCCTATCGCCCCTGGATCAGCGCATACGACAGGCTTGTAGATAGCTATATTAACAGGCAATAGAACTCACACACTCCTTACTCGCGCCTCAAGGCGAGAAAAAGTCGTCAAACAAGTATGTCTTTCACAATGGATGGTTGAGACAAAGTCGAGAAGACAGGGTCACAGAGGTCCGAGCTCAGCAGCAGCAAACAAGGGGAGTAGAGGACGGAGATAATTGTTCATCACATCTCACACCATACACAAGATGCAGTCAATCACAGCAAGGAGTCGACCAGTCCTAAGGAGCGCTCAGCTCTGTCTTCGCTACCGCTATGCGACCGACGCACCCTCATCGGCACCGCCACTCCTCCTTAAGCTCCGCTCCGACTTGAAGACAGCCATGAAGGCAAAAGACACCAACCGCCTCAACGTGCTACGCGGTCTGCTGGCCGAAGTCACCAATGCCGCAAAGACAGCTCAGCCCCTCGACTCGGACATGAAGTTGCTTGGCCTGTTGCGCAAGCGTTCGTCCGCGGCCACGCAAGCAGCCAAGGAATTTTCCAACGCTGGAAGAGAAGACTTGACAGAGAAGGAAAATGCAGCCATCAAGGTGTTGGAAGAGTATGCTGGCAATGTCGAGACTGTCGGCGAGGACTACATCAAGGAGGTTGTGCAGAGCACCATTGACAGCATCAAGGCCGAGGCTCAGGGTGCAAAGGTCGTCATGGGCGATGTGCTCAAGAAGCTGTTGGCTCCTGGTGGCGCTTTCGAGGGCAAGCCTGTCGAGAAGTCACAGGTCGCAAAGGCTGTCAGGCAATTCTTGGATGCAAAGTGATTGCGTTGCTCATTCAACACAGCCCATCATTGGTATGTCTACACATCTCGATGCTGTCCATGCTGATTGTGAAGCTTATCCTTCTCTTTCCAGCTCGCCGACATCCAGCTGAGCCACAGAGGAAGGAACGACCCCAAGTCCTTAAACCCGGATATGTTCAGATACCTACCCCAATTGTAAAAATAGTTTCCACGCACTTGCTGCACGCAACTGTCTCGCATCATCGCATGCCACATTCCTGGCCGCGGAGGAAGAGAGAATTCGTCTGTCCCGCGCCTTTTCCCTGTTTCGTCAAACACGCCTCTGATCCAACCATCAAGATTGGTTTCTGCAACAGTGCAACCCTGGCCCGCTCCTCGAGCGCACAGTGTGACAAGATACTTGTTCTTCTCAGCCGCTACATCATGTTCTTGACCCTGCAGGCGACGGCATACCACCCAACCTCGATGGATGTTCAGTCCTGGTCACTGGCTTTCACCAACTTCATGGTTCTCAACCAAGGTTGACTGTGTCGATGCATCCAGAGCAAACGATCTCCACTCTGTTACTTAATGGATATGTGCTATGACGAGCTCCCTCGAGCTGTCTTTTGGTACTCCGCTTTTTGCGCATTGGAGCTCCCATCGAGGATTAGCTTTGTGAGCTCCAGAAACACCCAATTGACGAATCGAATGTTTTTCCGAGAGCAGTGTTCACCGATGAGCAAGACGGCACACCAGGAACACAACGGCTCGCCGTGAACATCTGAGGACGGGTCGGTTGTGGTTGCGTTCGACGAGCTTTCTTTTGAATTGCATCCATAGCTTTCTATGAGGTCAGTCGTTCTCAAATGTACGCCGAGCTTTTACCTGTACCGACATCCCTCAAGGTTGTACCAGCAGAGTCAATTGCAGACCGATCCAATCACGACTCCTGACAAGTCCACTCGATGCAACTTACTTTGACAAAAGCCTTCCACATCATCGATGCTTCTCACAAGCTGCAGCAACTCGTCAAAAGTCACTCAAATCTCGTGTCTCCGATGCTCGTCTACACGTATCCCCGGTCCGCATCCTTCAGCCCCAGATTTTCAAGAGCTTTCCCCACGTTTTCTCGTTCCTATTCTGGTGGTTCCGAGCATCCGATCCGCGGACATGCTCCCCGTGCCTGGACAAGCGTCAGGTACGAGTATGGACCAAGCATGACGATCACCGTCAAGCCTGCAACCTCAAAAACTCGTCATCTGTCTTGCCATCTGTCTTGTCATCTGTTGGGCCAATCGTTCTCGAGCACCTAAAGATCCCCAATACAGCACCAGTTTTCCCATTCATGCGGTCTCAATTGACAGTCTCTACAAGCATCAATGTGAAGAACTGGGAAGGAAGGACCAGATGGAGGGTTTGCATATGAACGTGGGCCTTTGAAGTCATTCAGTACTTGCGATGTGCAAAGCATATCCTGCGCCCGCACAAGCATATTCAACATTTCATCCTTCTGGCTACCCTAATTGGCCAGGACCATCCCGCTCATTGAACGAAGCTTTCCCCAGATCTCTTTACTGGACCAAGCCACCATGCTTGACGCATGCTTGGTGTCATTGGCCAAACCAAATATCTCGTCTGCCAAAGTCACACACTTGCTAAGTGCTGATCGCAGATGACAAAAACACGACCGACGAGGAGAAGCTGCCTTCCCTCTGCCAAGAAGACTCTCTAGCTTTGGATATAAGAAGCCTGCTCTTCCTCGTCTCAATCGATTCTTCACCAACTACTATCATCACTTCTCTCGTTGAACATGAAGAACGTATACACAACATTGGGCTTCGCCCTTGGCGCCTCTGCCGCTACCCTCACCGCTCGCGACCAATGCTGCTTCTCTCTGACTGCCGCTGGTGGTAAGAGCGGCGCTGTGGGCTCTCTCGCTGACGGTCAAGCGCGTATCGGCCAAACAGCCGGACTTGCCACTGGACAGACAACCTACTGCATCAACAACGGTGGTCTCACTGACGGATCCGGGAAAGGATGCATATTAACCAGCCCCACCACGCAGTTCCAGTGCGATGTTGGCGCCGCACCCACTACTGGGTTTGCAGTCAGCTCGAGCGGTGACTTGACCTACAACGGCAACACTCAGTTCTATGCCTGCGCAACCGGAGACAACGGTGGTTACAACATCTACACTGCCACTTCCAGCGCCCAGACTGGTTGTGTTAAGATCACTCTTAACACTGGTGGAAAGTGCGCTGGCTCCAACGGATCAGGAAGTTCTTCGTCGAAGCCTGCATCGTCAGTTCCAGCTTCAAGCCCTGTTGCCAGCAAGCCTGCAAGCTCAGCCCCCAGTGCTCCCGCTTCGGCCCCCAGTGTTCCAGCATCGAAGCCTGCCTCTTCAGCTCCTAGCGCTCCTGTCTCGGCTCCCAGTGCTCCCGCTTCGGCTCCCAGTGCTCCCGCTTCGAAGCCTGTCTCACCCCCTGCTGGAAACACCGTGACCGTCTACCAGCCCACTACCGTTTATGTTACCAACTGTGCTGCTGCTTGCACCACTAACGGTGGCGGCATGCCAAGTGCCCCAGCATCCATGCACCCAGCATCCATGCCCCCAGCATCCATGCCCCCAGCATCCATGCCCCCAGCATCCATGCCCCCAGCATCCATGCCACCAGCATCCATGCCCGCCAGCTCTATGCCCGCCAAGTCTGTGCCTACCCCTAGCGGTACTCAGAGCGGAGGCAACGGAAACGGTGGCGCATGCCAGACCACCCTGACTGGTGCTTACCAGACNCCCCATGCCATCATCCCTGTCAACAAGGACCAGCCCAGCACCTCGTACGGTACCCAATACTTTGCCTACCTGAGCTCCTCGAACAGCACCATCTTCAACTTTGACGTCCCCGCCTCCTACTCTGGCAAGCAGTGCACCGTCATCTTCCTCCTCCCCAACAAGAAGGATCTCGTGACCTCTGACTTCACCATGACTGGCTCCGGTGGCATCAAGTTCGACCAGCTCACCTCTCCTGCTCCTCTGAGCGTCAGCTATGCATCCTGCCCTGCCGTCAAGTCGAACTTGAACACGATTAACAATGTCACCCCTGGAAACAGCTACGTTGTGTCCTCTGGTGCTTGTGCTGCTGGTCAGACTGTTTCCATCCTTGCCAGCTCTACTGGCGGTCTTGGTCTTTCCGTAAGTTTTTCTCAAGCTCTCATATATGTTTTTATACTAACAAATGGTCAAAAATTANNGCTCTTCCAAGATTGGAATCCTTCAGCTATCGGCCTTTTCATGACCTCCTGCTAAACGTGTGAAGTCTAGAAAGACCTCAAAGTCTGAAAATGCAACGACGAAAAAAGACATCTCACGAAATATCAACACAACAACCTCCTGGTGAGGAATGACGATTTCAGAACGACCCGAGCAAACAGTGCAGTACATGACTGTCGCTCCTCACCTTGCCTTTCATTTATATCATTTCCCTTTTTTTGCCCCCCTCCTTTCTAGAATCGTACCAGGCGACTGGTTTTTCACACTCCTTGAGCACGATATATAGCTCCCAGCTCTTGTAAATTGTAATTACAGAAATAAAACTGCTGTTTTTTTTTGATAATTCCACGACTTGAGGTGCCTAATGCATGTGGCAGATTGTAGAGAGTATGTTTGACTTGTTCCTCCCGTCCCCTTTCTGTCCGGTGTTGTTCTCCTTTGTGCTGCTTATGATACAATGTATAGATGCATGATAGTCTTGACTCAAAGCGATGCCTAAGGAGAGATACTATCCTAGAGCACTCTCTATGGTCGTTCATCTGAGTAAGTAAGCAACCATGTATTCCTACAGTATATCATAACATTAGGTATCCGCATGAAGAGAGGTTGTGACTGCCGTCTTGAGCAAAGAGAGGGTTTTGGAGTTGACTATACATTGTTCCTTCCACGAAAATAATAACCTGAATCTTTGTTGGTTTGCTCGATCTCTATCTCTCGATGTCTATCTGAACAGGCTAGAACAATACTCGCGGTCGTTGCTCCCTTTTCTGAACCCCAGCCTTTGCACTTTTTGTCTCCAAGACATTTTCCCAACACCAGGATTGTTGATCGAGGCTTTGTTCGGTTTACTAAGTTGCGTTTGTCACGTGGTGTTCATCATCTTGTTCACATGTACTTGCTTCTAAAAGTCATTCAGGTTGCTACTTGATGGCAAGAAATGGTGATGTAGTGTTTGGTATATTCTTTTCGAGACGTAAAGAGAGACTACATTGATAAAAAAAAATCTGACGTTCGATTTGAAAAGTACGAAATGCCATCTTCGCACAAACTGATTGATTTTGAAAAGCGCAAAGGAATGGCGGGCTGCGAGAGTTTGCACTTGTTGTCTAGAAAGCAAAAGGAGAGAATCGATAAGCAAGGAAGGGGAAAGGGACAATCGGTATTGTAGAAATGGCTGAGTAGTAAGCAGCGCGTCTGGAGACACACTGGATAGTGTGGTGATCGTTTCCAGCTTGTTGGATTTTTGGATTGCTTCGTGGTATCATTGTCAACATCTGACTCAGTGATATAAGAAATATGTGAGAGCCTCATGGTCGGAAAGATGAATTGTATGGAGCAGATTGTTGACGATCCGATTGAAACGATCGAGTTCTTCTTCAGTGAAGAAAGCCATGTTGTTTGCTTTCTTGCAATCGGTCAAGTCAACTACCGGTGCTGCAATTGCCATCATCTGTTCGGAAAAATCCACAAGTTCGCGAGCGTTGTAGTTGATCTCTTTGTAGACTGCGTAAACCGCGTTGAAAGCTGCAGAGAATTTCTTTTCATAATTCAGATCGTTCATCAAGCGGCCGACTGTTTCCACGGAGACACAAGTGATCTCCACGTCACTTAAAGCATCGGCTGGCGAAAGACTGAAGAAACGATGCTCAGTACGGTTAAACATAAGACAATCAAGCTGTGCTAGAAGATCTGTCATGTGATTTATCAGCTGATCGCGAGCTCTGCTCAGCTGGTTGAGTCGAGCGAGCTAGCAGATCATGTCAGACTATACTCTTCGAGAATGAGATGCATTACTGACGTATCTCTCTTCGACCTCCGCGAGTCTGTTCTTGTGACCAGTCACTGTGTTAGAGCTGGAGTCATGTTCACCAGCATCGTCTCCAGAAGTGAGCGACATTTCGTGACTGTCGGTTGCGGTGTTTTCATCATGGGAGTTAACTCCAACGACCTGATCGTCTGGAATGACGGCGGCGGCGTGCTCGTCTTGTGTGTTGGGTGTGGTAGACATGTTGAGAGCGATATGGCAGTGTTTGATGTGTCAACGATGTTCGTGTGATGATGAATACCAACCATGGAGGGGGCTGTTATTGAGATGAAGATACAGGAGAGATCGGACAAGCTTCTATTGATGGGCAAATGCGAAGCAGGAAAAGGAGTGACAGTGAAACGTGTTGGAAAGAGTGAGTGAGTATGGGAAGTTGCAACTGAGCCCGTATACAACCAACGATGGTTTGAGTTTATATAGCAAAGGGAAGGCACACTTGATAGTTGAGCGGAGATCTCGATTCTAAGTGTGAGTAAGTGATTGGAGCAATGGTCAAGAAGGAAATATCAGGGGAAAGCTTTCTATGAGACCCAGGTCTTTTTCTAGAGTCTTGAGCGTACTGTTCGTTCTTACCAGTATAATCTGACCCGTGTGAGAGCCATGGCTTTCAGTAGCCTTAAATTCTCGACAGCCTTGTCCAGGTCGAGCAGGCGCTCAATCTCCCTCGTTGTCAGAGCGGGCTCCAAGTCAATCCTCCTGAGTTTCTTACAGAGCTCTGCTGTCTCCTGCGCCAATTTTTCCAGCTCGCTATAGTATACTTCAATCTCCGAAATACTAGAGGTGAATGTCTTTCTGGTGTTTCTGAGAATGATAGAGTAGTTCGGGCCATCGCTACGTGTCCCAGATTATCAGTGTCTCGAATGACTGATGTTGATGCGCCAAGTCGTGGTATGAGATGCTCGACAGCATCTGCAAGGATGCTGTCACCCGCCTCGTACGATGTCAATCGTTGTATGGCCGACAGATATCTCATCTTCGCGTCCTGAGATCTAGAGTCGAGATGCAGAAGCTGACGAAGAAGTTCGGGCCCGGGATTCTCTTCGTCGATAATCGTTTGCCGCTCGACTGTCTTGTTCGTGTTTGCGGTAGAGTCGTCATGAGACGAGACCTAAAACATGTCAACTTTGCAAATCGAGAGGGATATTCGTCTTATGCCGCACATTTTGTGATACTGTAAGCGTGTTGGACACTCCATTGACACCGTCACGATCATCTGTCCGGTCGTGGGTGAGATCTGACAAAGAGTTATACGGGACAGTCGCCATGTCGATGGTGAGCCCGAGGATGGAGCAGCAGACTGACCAGAGGTCGATGGTTAAGGGTAATGTGGATGTGGTGAGAGAGGGTTGCTGGAATGGATGGAAGATCGTATGGAAGGTTGAATAGTGTCAAGATGGAATCCAGAAACGAGAACCAGGAATTGAAGTAAGAGAGGACTAGCTTGAGAGAGTTGATGTGATGAGTATTTTCGCCTCACTCATGAAAGCGAAAACTTGCGACAATCACTCTGAGTAGGTGATTGCTGATCTCGAGGACAAGAAAGCCGAAAGTTCCTCACAGAGTTCTTTGATCACGAAGTCAAAATTGTTTTGAGATCGCATGAGTCTGTCGCGACGTGCGATGTGTTGAAATTCTTCGACAGGATAATGGAGGACTCGAAGTTTTTCAAGCAAGACTTCGTTATCCTCAGCAAGCCTTTCGAGCTGTTCGAAGGTAGCTCTGACGCGTGTGACGCGAGAACCGAAGAACTCTTTCTGTTGACGCTTCTGCCTTGAAAGGTGGCTATCAAGATCGCGAAAAGTGAAATTCGAGACTTCCAGAATCTCTTCAGTAGCAAGTATTGTGCTTGAAACGTTAAAGTCGATACGATACAGATGGTCGTAGATATCCCTTGCGCGGCGCAGCTCGTACTTAAGCTGACCATATTCGAGCGACCGTTTCTGGAAGATTTCTTTCAGGCTCTTGGACTGCTCGAGCAACAAATGAAATGCTGGATCGAACTCGTTCTCATCTTCGGCATCCTACAAGAGAGTGACTAAGTCCGCGGGGCTTATGAGCGAATCAGATAGACTCACCTCGACAAATGGTTCAGGGGAAGGAGTTCGTAGAGTAGGATCCAGGGCAGCGACATAACAGACTGTGCGACCAGACCTTACTGACACATTGTCAGCGTCATGGGATTCATCAGCCATGGTGGCAATTGCTCGAGAAACAAGACCAAAAGAAGTGTGCATTCAGAAGGAAAAGATGGAACGGCAAAGAAAAGTCACAAGAGTGCAGCCACATGTGCCAAGGAAAGAACGACCGCTTCAGTTGGGAACATCCATCTAGTCTGCCACATTCACACATGAGCCAACGAGAGTCAGTGTTCTTTGTTGTTGGAGCTTCATTGAGTGTCGTGGATGTATTGTGATGACCTCGCACGTGGTAGAAGATGTTTGGCAATGTTTGTCTCCTTCGTCCACGATACCGTCCCGTTTCAATCTCCATTCATATCCAGCCCACATCTACGACACAAGACCGTGTGTATATGGAATTCGTTCCATGTAGATATTTCCGGCTGGACTAAAAACAGAAGATGGCCAGATAGTCATCGAGTTCGCGGCGAATGATCACAGCCGCCTTCAAGATCTAACAGTAGGCCATCAAACATTTCTGAAAGAACTCACAAGGGGCTGATATGAGAAAGTAGAGAACTCTAATCACAAAAGTGCGGATAGCAGTATTGCATTGTTGAGCTTGTGTCGTCTAGCGGTATTGATCCATCAGGCCAGATATTGCAACCGAACTTGGTTCTGACGACCGATAGAAATTTTGACAGTAGAGTATGCTGCTCTCCCCAATAGGGACACCGCTCCGGAAAGTGCCTGCAGAGATTATGGATTGTCGCGCAAGAGGAAATGGTGAACTATGGGATAATTGGACAGGGGGTCTAGTCGTCAGTCCAGAAGCAGATGCACCAGCCCACTCGCAGAACGCCTCATGCTAAAGAGGGATATAATTCGATGGTTATTCGTAAGATGAAGTGGGTTACGACTGTCTTAGAACTGTTGATGGAACGAGGGGGGTGCACCGTCTTGGCGTGCTGAGTCATCAAGTATACCAACCTCACCTGCCAGCTCGACATCAACTTTCGCTCCTTCTCTTTCTCCGTCTTGTCCACACAGAGGCCATGTGGTGGACCAACCCATCGAATTCACTGGCCGTTAGATTCCTTCCTTCCTGGTTCCTTCAACACCTTCATGAGAGAAAGACTTTCCTACCAGCCCTTCTTCATGTGGTGGGTGTGAATAGTACGAAGGCAACCCATCATCGTTTTTTCCAAGTTCAGTATAGCGTTCTTGACCTGGCTGGAACCCAGCTCGACAGTTCTTGGCTCCAACTGCTCCAACCCATTGCTCCAAAGCTTCGACCACTCCTCATTCTGCTCCTTCAAACGTTCGAGACCATTGATGGTGGTTCTGCCGACCCTACTGAAGGTCATGTGAAGGTCGTTGCCGAGCTGAAGACGAGGCCGAATGACATCGAAGAGCATGGCTGGGGTTGCATCGAGCAACTTGTCAGGACTGGTGGCAGGTGGCTCGCGCACGTTGGAGATCTTGTAGATGAGGTGAGGAAGCATTGCGTTGTGAGTGTTGAGGCTTTGCTGAGTGATCTTGCGGATAATCTGGTTGAAAGCTGCAAGAGAGTCTGCAGCGGGCCTGTTGGCAAGGCTTGCGAAGTGGCGATAGCCGGCACCCTGGAAAATGTCCTGCTTGATGACATGTGAGTATATTGTTATCATCTGCTTGTCTATACTGCTTACCTCGTTGTTACCACCGATGTAAAACGTGGCAAGCTCGACGGCACGAGACTCTTTAGGCTCGGGTCTGTGAATCTCCTTTGAAGCAGCATCAGTAACCTTGTAAGAAGATGCAGTGCCCAAAAATATTCTTACCATGAACTTGCAAAGCTCCTTCAAAAGTTCATCATACATGGCGATAGCTTCTTCAATGGGCTCGATGATGAGACCATCCGCATTTGGGTCAATGTTCTTAGCCATGGCGGTCTGAGTTGCTGGGTGTGCCGTGGAACGAACAAGAGTTAAGCTTATGAGTAAAAGGATGAGTCTAGCAAGGCGCGTTAGCAAACAAATCCTTCTCCAAATGATGATTAACGAACGCGTTAGAGACTTCGGACCAGTAACAAAGTGTGTTTGTTTGCCAACACCTTCGGCGCCCTCTAATGTGCATGAGTAGGCATCAAAGCGTGCGATAATTTTTGAAAGCGAGAAGTACACTTGCTAGCCGTGCCTTGCAGTTCTAGCATCTGCGAGCACTTATTTTCGGAAAGGGCAAAGTCTTCCACATGTCACTTGTAACATGTGTTTCGGAACGGTTAAAGACGGCGCACGACACTGTGCCTACCGATTTGCAGGTCATCTTGCAGGAGGAAACAGCTAGATTAGAGAATGACACGCATCCCAAACATCACAGTAAGGTTAAGGCAGATGATTCCGTGTCCCTGACCTGCTTAGCTAGTGGCTCGTGAGCACATGCCGTATGCGATAGACAAAATTAAGAGCCATCAACACAACTAGCATCTGCAACAGACAGTAAAGTGCAGTGAAACTGTGCGCTAAATCAGACTATTTGATCCTTGAGAACCGCCGCTCCTCTAATCTACTTAGCCGGAAGAACACACTCGGTGTGTTTGGATGAGCGGTATAGCCAGTACTGTACGCAGCCGGGAATATTAGGTGTGATAAATTGCATTTTTGCTGTTTGTGGGTTCGATCCTGTTCGTGATGTCTCTTAAATGGGTTTCTTTTGGCTACCAGACCTCGAGCATGGCACACTGACCCCGGAATCCCATTCGAATTTCCTTGTTTCTCTACCTCTGCCACATCATAGAGTTCGAACATTCTCGGATTCGACATGCACCTACTCGTACTGCGACATCACGTTGTGATAGCCCCACCGACTATTTATCAGGAATCAGGCTCCAAGATCTGGTCATGCTCAGTATTTCTGAAAGTCTGGCCAATACGACATTTGACACTCTGTCAAATGTGGCATGATGGAATACACTGCATGAAGCAGACACGCTATGCAAAGGCAGGAACCAATGGCGGTTTACAGAGTAGAGTGTATTTAGATATGACTTCTCTTGTGCCAATGCACTTGCTCGTTTCATGCAGCCATTGTGCTCTCTCAAATCTCTGGAAGCTAGCAGCTGATGGCATTGGCCAGGTCTTCTTGCAGTATTTCCTTCCATGATCTCGATTTCAGCCTTGGTTGAGTAGATTCAGCATCGTCAAGCAGTGCTTGCAAGCTTCTCTCGCCATTGAATCGGCGTCCCGGGCCGCGGTCGCCATCACGATTCCTCTAGGTGTCTCGTCGACCAGTTTCAAGACTTCCGAGGAGGTCTCTTCGATCTCTTTCAGAAGCGAAAAGTCAAGTCGTAGAATACCGATTATGCTGTAACAAGCATCTGTAGCTTGCTTCTCGGCGTCAACCATCATTCTGATTGAGTCATTCCAGCATCAGTAGTAGAGTCCAGATTAATCACCATGGGGTCTTGCATGTGAGCTACAGCTCGGTGGTTGTTTGCATTGTCACTAGCGATGTAATAAGTTGTCAAGAGGCCGACGATGTGATCCATTCTAGCCCAAACTCGGTCGCCACGCTTTTTCAAAAGACCCTTCAGGTAAGCGAATGAGTTCTCCAGGTCACTTTCGATTTTGGTCTAACAGGACAATGAGTCAGAAGGCTCGTAGCACTCTCCAGATATGTAGCCTCACCTATTCTAATTTAATTGCTGCACCGCCAGTTTGGAGGGATGGGGATGCCATGATTCCGACGTTGTCTCGACGGCTCTAACCTTGGAGACGGGGTTTGGTGTCGACTATGCGCAGCGATGTTTAGGAATCTAGAAAGAGAGATTAGAGAAGGGAGTCAGCAGCGGAAGAAAGAGATTTGGGACGTTGAGAATAAACTGGAAGTATGGACGAACAGATCTCTAGTCCTTGAGTCTGATAAGCCTCGTGTTGTTAAAGCCCCAGATAGGTTCAATACCTCAGTGGTAGAGACTTGTATTGGTGGGGTGCAAGAGTTATTCCTTACGACGAGAGTAATATAGGGCGAAGAGGTATGAAAGAAGTGAGTCGAGAAACAAGCGACCAGGCGAGCCGAGAGGGAGAATGCCAATATGGATCCTGGAGTGCTAGGTATCAACAATGTCTAATGCTTAGGGAGAGTAAGTGAGACGGGAAGCGTTCGGAGTTAGATAACCCTGCTTCGATGAGGAGTGAGGCTATCGTAAGTTGTGTCGTGCCCATAAGATACAGACTGGTTGTGGTCAAGACTGTTTCAGATAATACTTCAAAACATACGGTAGAGAAAGAGAAAGGGTAATTGATTGGTCGATTAAGTTTCGAAAGACATGAAGTGAAAGAGTTTGCGACCTTTGCAAACGAAATTATTTCACGACGTACGATGTAGCGGCGGCCTCACGAAAGCGAGTTCTGCAGCGAACAAAAATGAACCGCCGGGCTCGAGGTCGACATGTCATCACTTCACATCGTTCATTGTTGCAACAACCATTCAGAATTCGTTTGCCCGCAGAACACAATCCGTAATGCTGTCAGTTCCCAGCGGACACTCAACTACAGCACCCATGTCAGTTTGCATCTCTTTGGCGACATCTCCGATCTCTATATCGCAGTGGTAGTGTCTTCTGTTCGACGTCTTTAATGCAGCTCATCTCTCTATATGTTAATTGGATGTTCAGTCCGTCTACAGACCATGAGCGGCTCTAATGACGTTACAAGTGTCCTCAACGTACTCGTGACTTTTCTTCAGGCCGCGCTCAGGATGGTTGTAATGCCCGAAAGCATGAGGCATACCAGCATGACACTTCATCGTGACCTTATTGCCATGCTTCTGCATCTTCTCGCCATACTGGTGGGAATCGTCGCGACTGAGATCGAACTCGGCTGTGACGATGTGTGTTCGTGGTAGCGATTGAAAATTAGGCGCTAGCATCGGAGAAGCCATCCAATCACCCATGACAGCCTTGCGGAAGCCAGGTCGATCGGGGATCCAGTAGTCCATGAACCAGTCCATCCTCGATCGAGGGCCCCAAGGGTTGTCAGAGAACAAGGCGATGCTTGGATACAGCTGAGCAACATCCGATCGTTCAGCTGCATTACCAATAGCCCAGCGAAGGTCAGTGGAGGGTACCACCAACAAAGCAAGTTTTAGATCAATACCCTCATCGCGTGCCACGTGAGACATGACAGCAGACATATGGCCGCCAGCCGACAGACCACCAATCGACACACTGTCAGGGTCGATGTTGAACTTTGCTGCATTTTCTCGGAACTAAGAAACAAATCAGCAGGCATTTGATCGACCAAAATGAATTCCGTACGAATAATACAGTCTCCCAGCAATCATAAATTGCCGTCGGGAAGACATGTTCTGGAGCCATGCGATAGTCGATGTCGATGACCTTGATGCCAACCTTGTTACAAACGCTTCTGCACCAAGCAGCCTCGGACTTCAAGCCTCCGAGGACCCAACCACCTGCTACGTGTCAGCGTGTGATCGTCTTACAGCGATCTAACGAGATGAACTCACCACCATGCATATTGAAATGAACAGGGAAAGGTCCTAGTCCTTCAGGCGTATACACGCGAACAGTCACCTCACCTTGGGGGTGTGTCACTGGGACTTGAACATCATCCACCCGATGCACATCGGGACCTACTATATTGTGAGAGGCAGGACATTGACGACATCTTGTGAGACTGACCTGGCCAAGTTGCATAAGTAAAACTATACGCCGCTGGGTCGGTTCTATACTCCTCGATAGAAACTTGGTCTGCTCTCTTCTGGTTTCGGCCATGATCGTTCCACAGCTTGACCCATTCCGGATCCAGACCATCGTACAGGATCTCTGAGATGGCAGGCGAAGCTCCATTTAGTTCGTCTGTCGCTTGACGAGGAGATATGGTGGTGGTAGTCGATGTTGACATAGTGTGCAGACAGATGCTTTGCGATGATATCGTCGAGACTACCTATGTTCAGCGCGTGAAACAGCTATAAGGTTCATCTTGTGAATCAACACCCCCTCCTTGAGCACGCCCGATGTTGGCCTATCGTCTATCGTGGGTCGAAACGTGATATGCAGCATGATTGGCGGCATCTCTCGGTGAAGGAGGTCGGCAGAGATGTAATTATCTGATGCTCGTCGTTGGTTCGTCGGCATCAGCGTCGGGGAAGTGCGGGGAAAGAAGTCCTATCAACACCAATCAGCGTAATCTTCGGCGAAAGTTTGTGGCGATAAGCGATAAGAAGGCGGAACGCAAAGCTAAACATGAGTCAGTGCTGGGTGACATTCGAGCTCCTCATGAAAACCGGCAGTGCTGCCTTGGTTCCTTGTCAAGGAAACCCGCAAAGGCGCAAGATAAGATGTAGCTATTGCTGTTATCTTGAGCGCCACACGGCCAACTCGCAGATCCCTCTTACTCTCAAGATGCTGGATTTCTTCTGATCAAAATGGGTTACTGTACCACTGTTCGTTGTTGCGACAAGCACCAGGAAACCACTACTTGATTGAACAGAAGCTTGAATCCCGATGACTTCCACCAAGGACAATCATCAAATGGCGACAGCACAAGCCTCTGATGATCTCTCTGTCTTCGACGAGACTACTCCAGAGCACGCAAATCTTCGGCGTGTACCTGGCCGCATACCATGGTTCCTGTTCATCATCTGTGTTGTTGAGGTAAGCCGCTCTCGCTAACTTCAAAACAACTTTGTGCATCGACGATACTAACATGGGATTCCTCCAGTTNNTGGAGAGCGCTTCGTCTACCTTGGGATATCTGGACCACTCCAGAACTACATTCAGCGACCTTATCGACCTGGCTCGGGTATGCCCGGAGCACTAGGCAGAGGTCAATCAGTTGGTGTCGCTTTAGGAGACTTTTTCAAGTTTTGGTCGTACTTCTGCGTCTTTGGTGGAGCCATTGTAGCCGATCAGTACCTTGGCAAATTTCGCACGATTCTTGCGGCTTCACCCATCTACATATCTGGACTGATCATACTGGTCGTCACATCTGCTCCATTCGCCATCACGGCAAATGCATCGATGGGTGGCCTTGTCACTGCGATGGTCCTGATTGGGATCGGCACAGGAGGACTCAAAGCCTGCATCGCTCCTCTTTGTGGGGAACAGACCACCAATGAAGAAAAGCATCTCAAGATCTTGAAGTCAGGCGAGGTTGTAGTAGTTGATCCTGCTCTGACTACCGCTCGAGTCTTCATGTGGTACTACTGGGCTGCCAACATTGGCGGCTTATCGACATTGATGACAGTCGCCATTGAAAAGGAATCGTCATTCTGGTTGGCCTATCTGTTGCCCCTACTGTGAGCCTACATTTTTGCGTTATAAAGACAACTTTGGCCCACTGACATTGTAACAGGNGTGTTTTTGATCGTGTTAGCGGTCTTCGTGGCTTTTAGCCGAAAAATCAACAAAACTGGGCCGAGCGGGTCACCAGTCGTCGATGCATTCAAGACCGTCATGATTGGTATGAAAGAAGGTGGCTTGGACAAGGCCAAACCCTCTGCTTTGGAAGCAGTTGGACATCTTGGGCGACACAAGATTGCCAGCGAATCCAGATACACCGATCTGTATGTGAGCCAGATCAAGAGTGGACTCGGTGCATGCAAGGTGAGAGATTTTACGGCCGTCGGCCGTAGCTACCATTTACTGACAATACGCAGCTANTTCTTACTGCTACCCTTCTACTTCCTCTGCTGGACACAGATTTTCAACAATCTGATCTCGCAAGCTGGTTCCATGAAGCTGGGTAGTACACCGAACGATATGATGCAGAATCTCGAGACTATATTCACCCTCACCTTGATCCCTACTTTAGATTGTAAGTTTCGAAGGTTGTGTCTTGGAATCTGACTAACGCTTCGTTTAGTGATCGTTTATCCAGTGCTTCGCAAGTTTGGCATCCAGTTCCCTCCCATGAGACGTATTTTCGTTGGGTTCATGTGCTCGTCCCTGGCCATGTTGTGGGCATGCATTCTGCAGTACTACATTTACAAGAGCCCGCCCAACAGCATCGATGTCTGGATTCAGGCGCCTGCATATGTGTTCGGAGCACTGTCCGAGATCTTCGTTATCATCACAGGACTCGAAGTGGCATTCCTGAAAGCACCTGCTAATCTGCGCGTTCTTGTATCTTCCATTTTCTGGATGGCTATTGCTGCAGGAGCTGCACTTGGAATCGCACTCTCACCTGTGTCAAAAGATCCTCACATGGTCTGGACATACGCAGGCTTGTCCAGTGGAGTGTTCCTTGCAGGCTGTGCTGTACTTGTCTGCTTCAGGCATTCTATCAGAGGTGAAGTGCCTGTGGTCGTCGGTGTCGAAGGACAAGATCTTTCCAATACAACAGCGGAGCTGGCGGGCAAGGATGGCACGGACGCTCTAGCAGCGAAGGCATGAGTTGCTGGAAAGCAGGAAGAAGTGGTGTATTCAATAACACAAGATGCTTGTTCAAGTTGACTGATGAATATGGATATTGATTCAGTTTCTTAACTTTATTGGATATGTTCCTTATCGAGTGTGTTCAACTAAGCTTGTTAAACTGCTCTAGCTCTTTCCCGGTTTTCTTGTTGATGTGGAGCTTTTTCCAAACATGGGGCAAATCAGATAGAATTTCTAGCGATAGTTTGCTCTACACAAACTGCTCCAATCTGTGAAAGCCCAATTGACTATCCTTTGTGCGGTCTTAAAGCCTCATTGAGCTGCATATATGTATTTGCACAGATACAAGCAATGTTAAATGGCATGAACTCTGGGAAGTCGCGAAGTCGAGGCTTCGTGTTGTCCTTCCGCGTAGAATTGGCGGGCCGTCGACGCCCCACCAAATCTCACTGTCATCCCAAACATGGCAACCTGCAACTAACACCATCAAATGCGTGTGCGAGACTCTATGAAATACCATGAACACAACTGGTCGAAAGTACATGAGCAAGCGACAGCGTGCTTGTGATTTTGCCGCACTCGGAAATCTGCATGCCAGATAGATAATGCACTTCCGTGCAGATTGTGCGCGTCGCGCGGACGGAACTGTACGTTCCAAGACGAAGGCCCGTCACGGAAGAGAGCGACAGCGCAACCAGAGACGACACAGTTGAGCGACAACACGCCCCCCCAAGCGAATCCAGTGGACTACCAGGCAGCGTCCGGAAAGGTTAGGCAGAATCACTTCGACGCACTTGAAGACATGACGGACGCCTTACCTTCAGACATCCTTGAGATGCTCGGACACAACCTGATGGATGGTGCCGACACGAGTGTCCTTCTCGACGACTGGAATCTGCTTACACCTGAGGTCAACTCAGCCCCTCAGAGCGAAGAGAGAACGTTTGTTGATGCCAATGCGACACTTACACCTCAGATCATCGGCGCAAGTGGGGATCTTGAGCCCTGTCTACTGGAAAGTTACCGGTTCGACGAGACGCAAAAATTCTGTTTCCAAAAGCTCACCATCCAGTCTGCACAACAAAACAGTGATCCTGTGCAGTTCTTGCTCTCGGATCCCGTCTTGTACGAATCTAGCAAGGCAGAGACGCGACTAGTCGATGTCAGCATGAAACAACTACAGCAACGACTGGAAGCTATTGTGTCAGTCAGCCAGGGAGTTATGCTTGTGAGATTATTTGAAGAATATATCTCGCCTATGTTTCCGATATTCTCAGCTAGTCAACCACCACATCCTTCATCCTCTGCACCATACCTGCTAGCGGCTCTGTACAGTTGCGTGCAGCAGTTTGTCAAATTCGATGGCGATCTTGCAGTTGAACTTGCGTACAAGGGATTCTCCTCTGCCGAGCTGGTGAAGATCGCATGGACTGCGCTCAATTCCGAACTGCATACACCAACAACACATGTTCTGCAGACCCTTCTGCTCCTTCTTATCAGGCCATCTGCCACGACAAATGTGACTGAAGCCCCATTCCGCTGGACAGTCCTTGGAAACCTTGTGACCTGTGGGCAAACTTTGGGCTTACAGTACGATGCAGGACAATGGTCGGGTACTTTGGCTCAGAAAGCGCAGCGTCAGCGTCTGTCTTTTCTTATCTATGCAGCAGATAAGTGGATGGCCTGTAGCCTCGGTCGCCCACCTCTGATCCGCTCAGATAACTGGATGATCTGTTCCATTCCAGACGAGAGCTTTCTGGACTCTGGTTTAGATGAAGTACAGCAGCAGTCCATAAAGCATTTCTCAGATCTTACAGACACACTGACACGAGTTTTGCAATCCATGTAGTAAGTTCAAAATAGCTTGCCGTAAGATCAATGTTCTAACCTTGCAGTTCTATCCGTGGGTTAAATTCTGCAGATTACAAAAGTACACTAAACACTGCTCGTCCGTTCTTAGGAGAGCTTTCGGGATGGCGCGAGCGCCTGAAGGCAGCCACAGGTAGCTCGGACACGGAGGCGGAGGTACGTCTGAACGCTCGCATACCAACAGAACTCGGCTACCATTACACTACTCTCAACGTTTTCCGCGCAATAATACGACAATTGTGCTCACATAGAAGAAGTGGCGCAATTTTGGACAGTCACTTTCTCGATGCCGAACGTAACGCACGCATCGGCCTCAGGTCTTGCACATCAGGGTTTCTGGGATTCATCAAGGGCCTTCCCCAAGACATGGTCCGTACATTCTGGCCACACTGGGCTAATCTCGCCGTCTCCTCGTTGTGCCACGTCATCCTCCTCATGGTAGTGACAAGTAAATCCTTGGAAGAAGCCTCTTCATGGTCAGATGATCTGAGAAAAGCAAGAACCGAGCTCAGAGTCAAGGCGAGTTTGCACCCGCTCTTCCACCTCGCATCCACTCGAATCGATTCCATATTTTGGAAGGATATCAACAAGGTCATTCACCTCGAGCCTTTCATGAAACAGGCACTCAGATTACCCACCCAGCAGCCTTGACACTATTCAACTGTGAGATACTATATTTCCAGTTATCAAAAATTGTCTTCAAGGCCATCCGTTCATTGCGCTCGAGGAGCAGAATCAGATCCCTCTACAATTCGTCATGTTGCAGCACCTTCCTCTGTTGGGTGCGCACCTCGTGAGGGTAATAAGCGTCTCCGAGACCGCCCCAGCTTGCAGGAAGATCTTTACGTGCACTATGCACCTCCACCGAAGGCAGTTCTTCGCGCAGCTTCTCACTGACAGCATCGACCTCGTCCATGACGCGCAAAAGGTTGCGACCCATCAAATCCTTGACCTCTCCGTCTGTCCAATTCCTTCGAAGCATCTCAGCAACCTGTCTCGGTGTCAGCACTAATCAGGAGATTGCAGAAATGTACGGCGCATACAANNGATTTGGGTAGCTGCTCGCATCCTCGAGTCCAATTACTGATGAGTACATTCCGTCGAAGTCAGAACCAATGCCAACATGCTTTTTCCCCACGTTTCTTGCGATATGTTCGATATGGTCTGCGACACGAGAAGTATTCGCAGAGTCGACTGGTCCAATGAAGGGAGGGTAGAATACTGAATGAACAATACCCGGACGTCTGCCCGGACCGTCTCCGATCTTGCTAAGAATAGCATCAGGGATGTTCCTTGGGTGGTCCCAAACTGTTCTGGATCCGGAGTGAGTCCATACGACCGGTGCTTTGGAAAGGGCAATGGCTTGCATTGCCGTCTCATCCGAGGTGTGGGAAAGATCGACCATGATACCCAAACGATTCAGCTCCTTGATGAGCTCTCTTCCAAGGTTAGTCAAGCCATTGCCCGGATGTACAACCTTCATAGGACCACCAGCGCCATTTGATGAGGCGAAAGCAGAGTGGCAGATATGAGTAAGAGTCATGTACCGAGCTCCTGCCTGAGCCAAGATACGTACAGTACTTAGTGAATTGCCCAGGAAGTGTGTACCTTCTACACCGATCAATGTCGCAATTTTGCCTTGCTCATGAGCGCGTCGAATGTCTGCGGACGAGCGGGCAAACTGCAAATGGTCGGATTGTTGGCTAACCATATTCTGGATCAGATCAAGAATCTCGAGGGCATCGCGGAGCGCATTAGGATCATCTACCACATCGTCCGAGGTTGGACATGGTGTCCAGACTGAAAAGAAACCTGCTCCGAGGGAGCCATCCAGCATCCTTGGAATGTCAACGTGACCAGGATACCGTTTGCCGATCTTCGGAATCTCTTCCATGGGACGACGAGCTGATCTGGCGTCAGTAAAGATTCTGTCATCTTCGCGGTACGTTTCAACTGACAAAGNAGATCTCATAATTTGTGGCAGATCGATATGCGTGTCAATCAAAGGACTCTGGCGCATCAATTCTCGTGCTCTTTTGAGCAGTTCCACGTTGCCATCATCGCTAGCCAAGCCCGCTGCAGCAACGGCGAGAAGTCCTAAAATCGTTTTGAACATCACCATGTTGGATTTTCTAGACAAGAAGGTGTAACGATGAGGTTGTAGAACAACTATATGCTTCAGTCTAGAGTAAGTCGGACAAGCCATTCTGCCGGAGTCGGCTTGCTGATGACCAAATTAGTCAAGAATGCGGAGACGCCCCGCCAGAAAGCCGACCATACGGAGCGAATGCCGTACTCCACAGATAGCCTAGATAGGCCCTTAGTCCAGCACCGCCGCCCGAGGATCTTATCAGAATGCCGACCGGGCCTTCTGTGCCGTCGTTAACATGCAGTCGAGATACCGCAGGTACCGCCGTGACATCTGTGATCCTTCCGGCTCAGTTATCCTCGAGACTTCATAACATGACCTCAACGTTGTCCAAGCAGAGGATACAGAGTGTATTGGACAGTTGGGGAGCCAAAGGATGCTGTGTGGGCTTTGTCCAGCAACAACTCGAAGGATCTTGGGTGAACGTGACAAAGTCTGCTGGCATACGCAACAAGCAAGGTGATGTGGTGGAAGAGACAGTAAGTAACTCCATGGACCAGATTACGCAAGATTGCAGAGACAATTTCGAACTAAAGACTAGACACGATTCATGATTGCTTCGAACACGAAACTTTTTACTTCTTTGGCGATTGGCATTGCTCTGGATGAGTGCGGGTTTCCATTGGGCGTGGACACCAGGATCAAAGATGTCGTGCCTGAGTACGAACTGATGGATGCTGAAGCGACTGAAACTGCTACCTTCGCAGATGCTTTGAGCCATTGCATTGGGCTACCTCGCCATGACCACTACATTAACAACACGATTGCAACACTTGATGACCTGGTAAGTACACCGTATCCGCCAATGTGCTGGTAGACTGCTGATTATGTTCTAGCTAAAAGTTGTTCGATATATGAAACCGTCCTGTGCGCTCCGGGAGACCAGTCAATACCACAACCCAGTCAGTTGGATTCAACTCATTCGAATTCTTGGCAACTAACACTTCCAGCACTTTGATCTCATCGCGCTCATCTTGGAGAGATTGACTGGCACACCATTTACAACCTATGTCAAAGAGAAGATACTGGACCCTGCCGGCTTGAGATTAACAACCGTCTCAGCAGACTTGTTTGCATCGAGCTCTGAACGCTCAGATGGCTTTGTACAAATGTTCGAGACCTCCCAACAGACAGGCGAGACCCGTACAATACCACTGGGACTTCGCGACTCGTCCGCCGCTTGTCTGGGTGCGGGCCGCATGTCTAGCAACATTGTTGACATGTCATTGTGGATGAAAATTCTCCTTTCAGAAGGAAAGGCCCCGGAAGATGGGCGGCAAATTCTCCCTGCCAGTCTGTTGAAACGGTGTACGAAAGGCACAGTCCGTTTCACGAGTACGCGCGTGAGGCGGCAGAGCTTGGTCCCGCGTTCTATGGCCTAGGTCTCTACGAACAGGACTACCACGGTTGTGGACTGATTGAACACGTGGGTGCTCTCCCAGGGTGGATGAGTCGTCTGTGCCTGATACCCAGTCTCAAAGCAGGCATCTTCGTGGCGGTAAACACTTCGCCATGGGGTGAGATGGTGTGCGACGAGATCAAGTTTGCAGTAATCGACGAGATCCTTGGCGTGCAACCTGTTGACTGGCATTCGCGGTTCACGAAAGAAAAAGAAGACAGTCTGGAACAGCAAGATCTCACGTTCAGCAAATCCATGTCCTACACCTTACCGGAGGCAATGCATCTCAGCAAACCTGTGCAAGCAGTTCTACTCGGCGTGTATCGTTGTCCAGGGTTTCCTACGTTCTGCATTCGCGAGGAAAATATACTTGATCATGTCCCTGAACTTGTTCAACTGCCTTGGCTTCCATTCACCTGGGGAGAAATGCAGCCTTTCTTCTGTATCAAGGAACAACATATCGGGCTTTTTTTGGCGTTACACATTGCGCGAAGACGACGCTGAGGCAACAAGATTTATCTTCGGCCTACCAATGACATTTGAACTGGACTTTTCCGAAGAAAGAGTCAGAGGTATCGGGTTCCGCCAAGTATGGGGCGCTGGCCGTGGGGTCGAATCGCCATACGGAGAGACTGTCAAGGAAAGGGCGGAGATGTATTTTGACAAGATTGCATATTAGTCTATGTCATTACAATTTATCACGATCGTTCCTTCCTTCATGATTGCAAACGCGAATTTTTGGAATCAACCCTCTGCTGTTCCTGCATCCCGACGGACCAGAACACCTGATAGTTCTGGATTTCGGGCCTGCACTGCATCCGACTTCCATCGCCGTTTCACTAAGGTATTCAACTCGCCGTCCAAACAATCGAGGCCACCCCGCACGCGAGCCAGCGTCGGTCGCGGAACTGCTCGATCGGGCAAAGGCAGATTTCGGCATTCGAATTGATTGGACGGCGACCAAAGAGCCGCCAGTTAGAGTTTCTAGACACGCGGGATCTACAACCATAGCCCGGTTTCGAGCCTCGATATAAAGCGATTAACAATGAACCATGAACATCATATCGAGACGCATCGCAATTCTACAACAACATGGGCACTTTTGCCATGGACGACATCAAAGCAGCCGATGTACTTGAGAGAAAGGACTCAGAGGGCACTCCAGGAGAATGCGAAGATGTCTTTATCATCTCGCCAGAAGATGAGCGAGCTATCGTTCGCAGGATTGATCTTTGTTTGCTCCCATTCATGGTCAGTGCTTCAGAGTGCATTGTCGCCAACACGGTATGCTGACTAGTAAATAGATGGTTACACAGATGCTACGAAACGTCGATGCCACTTCATTGAGCTACGCGGCCATCTGGGGCCTGACAAAAGATTTACATCTGGATACAAACCAATTCACCTGGATTGCTTCAATGGTCTTCTTTGGCTATCTCATCTTTGAGTGGTCTATGGGACTCGTAGCACAGCATTGGCATACCGGCAAGGTTGTTGGCACTGTGGTCATTCTCTGGGGTCTCACAATGATGGCCACCGCTCTGTGCACCAACTTTGGCGGACTCGCTGCTCAACGATTCTTCCTTGGTGCTCTGCAAAGTATCCTAACCCCTGCTTGGGTGCTCTTGACATCCATCTTCTACCTTAGAGAGGAGCAGGCCTTCAGAGTTGTGTTTTGGTGGAGCATGAATGGCGTTTCTCTGGGCGTTGGCGGCATCCTCTCGTTCGCTTGTGGTTACATCAAGGTCGATCATTTGCCATCCTGGAAGTGGAGTAGGCCATAATACGACACACTCGTATGACTACGCTGACAGGTAATTNNTGCAGTCTACATCATCGAAGGCGCCGTCACGATCGTCTGGGGATGTGCAGTCTGGTACTGGGTGCCAACCAGCCCCCAAACAGCTGTCTGGCTCACCCCAGAACAAAGGGAAATGGCCGTCAAACGACTTGCAACAAATAAGACAGGCACCAAGAATTCACAAATCAAAAAGTATCAGATTATTGAGGCACTGGACCCCAGAAAAGATCCTCAGGGCTGGCTCATCTTCTGGCTCATCTTCTTTAACGAGTTCGTCAATGGAGGCTTTGGAGTCTTCTTCGCTATCAATCTCAGTGCATTGGGCTACAGTGATCTCAACTCATCGCTCCTGGGTTTGGCAATCGGCGCTTCTCAGGTTTTCTGGATGGTCGGCGCTGCTTCCTTTACCCTCAAGTACCCCAATGTTCGCATCTACATGGCTTTGTCAGCCTTGATACCAGCGTTTATCGGATTCTTGCTGCAAATCGCGCTGCTGGACGGTACGCATGTCGTGGCTAAAACGATTGGTATATGTTTGTCACTAGGATACTGCGCTACATGTGCGTTGTCCTTCCAGCTGCCTGCACAAAACGCCGGAGGCTTTACGAAGAGGACAACCCTGACTAGTCTTGCTTTCCTCGGATACTCGTTGGGAAACATCATTGGTCCACACGTGTTCTATGATGGGCAGACGCCTCGATTCTTGACTGGATATATCATCGATCTCTGCTGCTTTGCCATTCAAGCAGTATTACTTCTGGTGCTTCTCTGGTGGTATAAGAGAGAGGTGAGGATATCCAAAGTGATTNNCAGACGATCATACAGGTTAACAAGGACTTCACAGAATCGCAAACGAGACGAACTTTACGGTCCTCCCAGATATGAAGCCGGCGATGATGTGACCGATCTCACGGACCGGGAGAACATGCAATTCAGATGTAAGCTCAGCTTTCCAAGGCGCTCACGTGTCCATTGTGCTAACATTCCAGACACATATTGATGCATTTCAGAACAAGCTCCCGAGCAAAGCTAAAGGAAATCTTCCAGATACAGTCCATGTTACTTCTATCTTGCACCTCGATAGCCTCTGGTATCATGTTTCTTCTGCCCGAGGAATCCTCTGGCAAACTGTGTTCATGCAAAGCAATGCATTGTAAATTTTTTGTGTGTGACTATCGATCGACGCACTGGAGATGTGTCGTCGTTCTTTCTCTAGAGTACAGTAGATGTGGTCTCTTCCCATGTTCGGGAACCTTAGTACGTAATGCCATCCTCTTGTCCACGTGTCCCAGAATAATTTTTGATATGCCTGTCTGATAATGCTTTGTAGCCAGCTCGTCTCAGGAATGCCTCAGCAGAAGAACAAGACAGCTTCCGAAGGAAGAATGCTCATCTCAGGATCTGTACCAAGTCGAGCACTGCCTGACCTTTTCCGACCATTTCACATCCCAAATCTCTGATGCAACTGCGGCCAGTGGCGATCGAAATCTTCACTCTGGCCCACTTCTGCTCCTACTCTGCTTGCATGACGAAATGCTCCTCGCGGAAAGCCATGAGTGCCTCCACGAAGTCGTAGTAGACATGAAGTTTCTTGTGCATCTCGTACAGCTCCCACATCCCATGTCCAGCCTTTTTATCGTGCTTGAGAGCCTGGTTTAGTGATTCGACTTGTTCGTCGGTGAGTTGGTTGAGATCGTCGGTGGCGGGAACTTTCTTCAGCTTGCTGGCATAGAGCAACCAGTGAGACATAATGGAAGCAATTAGGGGCCTCTTTGCGAAGCAAGCACCCTAGCCTCGGCAAGCATCCTCTGATGTTCGTCGTGCATCTTGTGGTACTGTTCCCCGAGAGCTGCCTTCTCATCACGAGAACTGCTCTATGAGTTGTCAATGAAGGAGGCAAGCACATGGCGACTTGTGGATCGAACCTCAGGACTCTTGAAGTGAGCACGACATGTCGCCTCTGGATCCTGGTCTGCTCCTTCCTTCTTGTTGGTCTGGTTGGTATGGACGTTGATCGCAGCAGGATGTCCCGACATGATCGTGATGTTCATGGTAAGGCCCCTGTGGAACACGCTGTCGAGATCTACAAGAGGGGGCGAATGGGGAATAGCGACGACGTCTATGGTTGGCTGAGGTGGATATTGATGTGCTGAAGTGAGATGAGGATAGAGGAGGAGGCCTGGAAGAAGATAAGCAGAGAAGGATGAGACAGCTTGCAACATTGCTAAGACGTACGAGTGATGATGAATTAGAGGTGAAGATCCTGCTAACTAGATAAACAAGGCAGAAGCATTCGATTTGTGACCACATGACAGGAGAATCATGGTGGACTGAGTAACCGAGTATAACGAGATTGCAGAACTGATTTATGAGAAAAATGTGCGTAGAAGCGCAAGTGAGGAGAAAGATGTAAGAATATAAAGCCGACCAGTAGTCACCAGATTTGGATCTGCTGGCGTGTCGTAAATATGCAACAACTCGGAAGGTGCGAATGGGAAGAAAATCAACCCCCAAAATCAAGGAGCAAATCTCGCGAATCCCTCATGCAAAGGCTCGGCGGAGAATAGCCATCGCAATGCACAACATCCCTTTCTTTCGGACGTCGGCCACTGAGAGTAGTTAGGAGGCAGTATCTCTTTGGGAGATGCTCATAACGACAAACTATTGTGTATGTTCGTAGCAGTTCCCCTAGGGCAGCTACGGCTAACGCCTCAGGAAAGCTCGTCCAACCATCCAAGCCAGCCTTCTCTCACGCCGAGACAAGATTCCTCCATGTCTGCGATTCTGCCTCTTGTTTCCTCCATCTCGTCGTAGAACCCGTCAGACGCAACACCAGTCTCGATGGTAGTGGCCAGCGAATGTTTGATCTCATCCTCAATCTCTTGCATCTCTCCAAGCAGGGTGAAGTACTTCTTCTGTGCCGCGTAGAAGGCTCCCAGCGACTTGATCCTTTCGATGTCGAACTGCAACACGGTGGAGGCCATGATTATTTTCCCGTCGTTGGAGTGGTTGATGCTGCCGTCAGAACGGGCAAGGATACGAGACGTGCCGGCGCCAAAGGCGAGCTTGTACTGCATGATCTGGAGATGGTAATCGTTGCATTCGTAGAGATGTCGTTTGGCTTCGCAAGAGATTTTGGTGAGATCCTCGTGGTTAAACTTGTTCTTGGTCTTGAGATCGTTGACTTGCTGAATGATCACTTCATGACAGCTGTCTTTGGGAACCTTCGAGGCGGAGTCGATGGCCTCGGCGATGGAGGGCTTTTGGTCGAGGGGTGCTGCATCATCTCCAGGGGCAGTCAAGGTGGAGACGACAGTTTCTTGTATCGCGACGGTCTCAGCTCCAGATTCGTTACCCGCGAAGATGTCTCCAGAGACAGTCAAATTGGCAAGATCTATGGTACCTTCATCTTCAGTGGCTGGATCTTGAGGAGGATTGCTCTCGACCGACGCGTTGGGCATCATGATGGTCGACAACTCAGAAGATCTGCGGGTACGGTGCGAAAATATGTCTAAGGAGAGGAGGAATGTTGACTTGAGGGGTTGGTCTTTGATGTTAGATAAGGGTGAAAGTGTGCGAACGGTGAAGACTGAATAGCTGAATTGAACGATGGGCTCGTCAAAGGCCCCTCTGACCACCTTTCCGGATACAGTGAGCGCGCTGATAGTGAATGTGAATGCGAAGTGATCAGCCAAGTTGCTTGATGATAGCAGCAAGTTTCTTGATGAGCGTCTCCCAATCAGTCTTTGGCTTGTCAAGTCCATTCAGGATGTCGGTGACAATGCCCAACTTTTCATAATCCGTGTGGACCTCCTTCAACTGCTCAACAACCGTCTGAGTCTCTTCCAAGATTCTGCAAATGTTTTTGTAGTTCTTCTTCATGTTGGCTTGGACCTGAACAGCATAGATATCATGACGGATGATGAGTTTACCACCGTCGAGTTGGCCTTTGGCTTTGGGAGAAGAGATGTCGATAGGTTGTTTGATGTCTGCGAACTCTTGCATCAGACGTTCGCGCATGTCGGTGAGTCTGACCCATGACTCCATGTTGTTTCTCAACTTTGTTTCCTCCTGTCTCAATTCATCTTTTTTCTCGGTGACAAGGGTCTGGAGACGAGCAATCTTGCGTGGCTTGCTTACCATCAGTAAATGCAACTGAGTCTCATACATGCAGAACTTACATCCATGCTCGCGCCCTTGATGGAAAAGTGCTTGTTAACTATCACTGTGTTCCTCTAAAGTGTAGAAGTCAGCTATGCGGTAGCAAGGAGAAATCTGGAGCGTTGTGTACCCGGCTTTCAACGCGACAGCTTTCGCGATGCAAAAAAAAGGTAGAAGATGCTTGCCGACTGTGATCAAAGCATCAGGGAAGCAGCAATGACAAAGCTAGTGAGGGAAAAAGACTTGAGCCTCAGGCACCCAGGTCCCGGCGCTGCAGTTTTAGTCGTGCGGAATCGTTAAGAAGTTGACGGAAACGATTCACGAGAACAGATGGTCGCGTGGAAGAGCAAGATAGTAGCCAACAATGACGAGATTCTAGAGCATAAGTGGTCCGAAAAGGAGAGTAACTGCTTTCCAGATGCTATCCCCTGCAAATCAGAATACGATTTTATTGAAATAGGATCTGGATAGAGAATGTCAAGCGATAATGTCGCATGTAATCACGGATGTTTGATCAGATGTTCGGATCGCATACTTGTTGTGTCTATAATACAGACTTCAACTTTGTTTAGAGAGACCTAGTCCTTCAGGAGATTTCTTTATGCTATAGCTAGTTATGACGTGCGTATCAAGGGATACTCTTTACGCTTGACATATCTTCTACTGAGGGATTGTCCGTCTCCTGCCTGTTTACACTAAACAAGTCATGAGGCATACATAGAGACTATCGCAAGTACATATGCTTAGACAAAGAAACCTTGCGTACAAGCTTGAGTTTGCTCAAACTCAGCTAATCATACAAAGGATATGAAAAGTGCCTTCGGATCTCATAGCTATGTGTAGGATTGTTTGCTAGTCTGGAAGCACTCGGTCCTCCGCAAATCAACTTCCAGAAACATGTTCCAACTTATGTATTGTAGAGGTGCATTTCTATCGAACACTTATCTGGCAACAGACCGGCGGGCAAGAGCGTTACCGAGGTGCCAAATGTTATGGTTTCTCCTGTAGTCTTGTGGTATCGTTGAATGTGGAAGGCTAACCGTCAATGCACTCAATATACATCTCTCTGAGGGGCGCATTAGACACAAGGTTTGTCATGTTTCAGCGCCGCGGGAGTGGAGAGAAGAAGATCTCTAAGATCGATGCGCGAAGACCTTCTAAAGTAAGCAACAAGCAGAGATCGAAGAGAAAAGATCTTGCAAACTGGCTCTGGCTCAGGCTCAGAAAATTCAAGGTAGTGAACAGGTTTGATCAGTGAGGTGTTTCAGAAGCCAGGGCGGAAAGTGGACCAAGAGATCTGTAGCGTGTTGTTGCCGATGCAGAGGATGGAAAGAAAGAAGAAGAGTGTGGAGGTGTGATGGACTTAAATAGTGCTGGAAAGCGCGTTACATTGATCGAAGTGGAAGAGCAATGTATGTTGGAAATGAAGAAGAGTTATGTTGAACAAGGGAAGAAAGAAGATTCCAAGGCAGCAACAAATGTGCGCCTGGATCTTGAGATAGTGAAGCAAGAACGAACCATTTTCCTTCCATCTCCTCCCCGCTCGGCATTCATTGCTTGAACTCCCAAGATCCTAGCTTATGAACCGTCATTCAGCATATCAATGTAAAGGTTTATGAAGTTAAGTCGAGATCTTGATGTGTATCTTGACACTTCTTCAAACCGCTTCTTGTCTTTGCGAGACAGTTTGTCCAACTCAGGGCCGTAGACAGCTCTGATCTCCTTCTCCAGCGCCATCAGTTCGTTGAGCCCGGACATATGAGTCCTGTGTTGGGCGAAGAGTGCCGTCTCGTGTTTAAGGAACTCGTTCTGCAGAGTGACTAGTTGGCAGTAGTCATTGAGCGTAGAAAGGTGATCCAAGTCCATGACGTGAGGATCCAATTTCGTGGCCTGTTGGAAGCTGGAAAAGTCTGACCAGGCTTTCACCGCAGCCCAGTAGTTGGTCTGACGCGTTGGCCTATGGTGTCTGATTTCTTGCTTCTTTTCATAGTAGGCTCTCATGACGATTTCAATGGTATTGCTGATGATGACCTTGTGATGTAAGGTTAGTAGGAAGTAACATCCATCGAAAAGCGAGAGGATAGCAGTACCCGTTCAGACGACAATTCTGTAACCTCAGCATCAGGACTCTCAGTCGAGTCTTGTGCGTGCTCTTCCATTGGAAGTGTCCCAACAACGAAAGCTGCTAGAGGTCAATCCTGAGATGCAAAGGTAGAGAGGACCGGGAGTTGGTGTGCAGAAGATGGAAGGATAGAGCTTTATACTAGTTGCGTCCATGAGTGAGAGGTCCACGAGCGCCGTGATACAAACTGAGACAAGGCAATTGCAAAGCTTGAAACTTCCCAGAACGCCAGTGAAATAAATCGTGAGTGAATCCTCCTTCTCGACGTGTCTTAGTGCAGCGCTTACAACCGAAGTCCGGTAAGCTGCAGCCAGGAATGTCTCTTACATTTCACAAGCACATTCGAGGTCCATGTCGACATCTCTGTGAATTCGTGCTTGTCGTCATCAGACAGTCTCTCTAGCTCTGTGCAGTGATTGGCCCTGATTTCGTTCTCCATGGCGGACATTTCAGAAAGTCTGGCAAGTAAGACTCTTTCTTTAGCATGGAGATCTGCTTCACGTCTGAAAGCCTCGTTTTGCAACCACAAGAACCGATAGTGTTTGTCGAGTGTCTCCAAGCTGCCCAGATCTACGACGTGCAAGCTGAAGTTTTCGGTTTTCTGGTATTCATCTGTTGCTCTCCAAGCCAACATCATCGCGTGACAGGCAGCTCTACCAGCTGGTCCCATGTCTTCCACCTCTTCAGCTTTGTTAGCGTACGCCAGAAACAGAGCTTTGAAAGTGTCGCTGATTGGTTCTTCCTGTGCAGCCGTGTCAGTCTGGTTTAGTGACTACAAAAATAGGACTAGTACCTTAGCAGGAGTCTGTTCTTGCATGTCAGTCATCTTGGTATCAGTGGTGACTTGCTCCGAGTGTCGTGGGTGCTCATTCGTCGTCTCAGCGTCGACAGCGATCTGATCCGAGTCTTACGGGTGATCGTCCATTGCGATATCGTTGACGAAGACAAGCCTGAGTTGTGGTGCAGATGGGATGAGGTATTCGGTAGGTAAGAGCGAAGCTGAGGATTATGGAAAATAAGGTTGCGTTGTGATGGAAGGCTGATGAATGAAAGGCCAACGAGCAGTCAAGTGCTGACTGGACGATAGAGTGTTGTGATAAGTGACAGCAGCTCGAGTGAACTCCTCAGATATTCAACGCATTCCTTCGTCCTTTTTTCGAGTGATCAGTGTGTGTTGCTGTCAGAATGCACAATGCACTTGATAACATAACGCAGTGTCCGCTGAGAGGCGATAAAGTTATTAGCTCTCGTTGGCTACACTACTGGTCTGGAAATTTTCGTGCCTTTTGATAGTCCAACAATTGGTCTATACCATGGTAGGGGAGTAAGAGCCATCGAGGCGTACATGAGCAGACGCAATCCATCATTCCATGGAGATGCATAGTCACTGTCGAAGATCTTGTCTAGACACGATCAGGAGCTCGTGTATGCAGCTCCTCCAGCAGCCAAAACAGCACGACATCCCTCAAGTATGACATTTCTAGCCCAATGCAAATCCTCCACCTCTGCCTCAAACCTCTTGACCTCCCCCACCTCAGCATTGTCCATCAACTCCGCAGCAAACTTGCTCTTGATGGCCTCTTCAAGCGTGATCATCTCTTCCCAAACCCCCATCAATCTGCGTGTGAGGCGATAGAGCTCCGGAAAATGCTTCGATGCAATCTTCTCCAAGCGAAACCATTCAGAACAGTCGTCGAGAGAGTCCAATTCGTCGAGGTTGATGACCTGCAGGTTGAGGTTGGTTGTGTGTTCGTGTTGTTTGACGGCTAGGCGATTTGCTTGTGAGATTCTGGCCAATGCGTCTCGTTGGTCTGAGATGTCGCTGGCTTTGTCCCAGAGGTCGTGGAATCGTTTGAGCTCATTGGCTAGAGCTTGACTGAGCGTTGGATGCTGTGAGATCGAGTTAGTGAGAAGCTACTCTATCGTTTCTGTCAAGAGAGCTACCTTGGGAGCGACGGCATCATCTCCGTCACAAGAAGGTGTAGATCCTTGCACTACATCTGCGGGCACATGGTCGGCCATTGTGCCTGTTTGATGTGCTTTCGCCCGGATCAGAGAGGGTGGATGTGTGTGCAAAGGAAAACAACAGATGGAAAGAAGCGTTGGGCAGAGGAGCATCCACGCAAGAAATGAGGACCAATAAAGCAATGCAAACGGACCTGTGGCTCAGTGAGAACTTTCAATTTTTGTCCTCGTGATAAACAAATTCAAGAAGGAGCGAATCATCAGGAAGGCAGGTGCAAAAACAACTTGAACATGGAAAGAACAGACATGAAATTTTTCTACCAGAATATACGCTGTAGTGATCTGGGGATCAAAAGAAAAACAAAGAACAGAGTATATCTCCCCAACCCTTTGTACTCCACCAACGCCAGACACATGAATATTTGGAACCATGATGAATGCAAGAAAAGCTCCGAAGAAACCCCATCTACCTGCTTCTGGTGCTGCCGTTACCACGCTTACCGGCAGTGAGCCACTTGGCCAGCGAGGCGGTTGTGTGACGGTCACCCTCTCCCTGTCTGGCGTTGCGGTTCATCTTCTGTTGACCCAGCTTGTGCAGACGCTCGGCCTTGGTGCGGGCAACCTCGTTGGTGACACCGTCCTCGCGTCTGTTCATGCGACTGACACTACGAGTGCGAGACATGGCGCGGGAGATGCTGTTGCGGTGCTTGGCGGGTGCGTCGCCGCCGTCGACATCCATCATGTCGGAGTCTTCGACAGCCTCTGTACGGCCGCGAGGACGAGATTGCGAACGAGCGCGAGCACGCTCGGAAATGGATGTGGAGTCGTGGCCGAGAGCCTCGAGGCCTCTCTCCATCTTTTCGAGCTGGACGGCCTTCTTGCTGCGGGGGATGACGGCGCGGTTCTTGAGCGACTTGCGCATCTTGGCTTCGTTGCGGATGAGTTGGCGCTTCTCGCGGATGAGCTCGGCCTTGTAGCGAATGTCTGCGTCGTCGGCCTCCTCGACCTCGTCCTCGGATTTGTCGTAGTAGCCCTCTGCCTCGAGACGGGCTTCCTCCTCTTCCAAAGCGGCGAGCTTGGTCTCAATCTCGGGGTCGACAAAGTCGTAGACATTCTTTCCGTCGAGGAATTCGGGCATCTTGTCCTCGCGCCAGTCGGGGTTCTCGAGCATCCATTTCTCCTTGAGGTTGATGTTGAAGACACCGGCACCACCGTTCTCCTCCTCGATGTCGCGCATGAGGGTGATACGGTTGGGGTCGGCCTTGTCGTACTTGACTCTGGTCTTGACAAGGTCAGGAACGAAGGTCTCGCGGACAACACCACCCATGGGCTGGGCAACGTGAATACGGCGGAGAACGTCGTTGAGACGGCCAGTGACTTCACCAGAGGCGTTGGTACCAGCCTTGAGCTTCTGGGCGTTGCGCTCGGCAAGGAGACGGTCGCAAGCGGCGTTGCGGACGTTCATGAGGCCTTCGGTGGTTGTGCAAGAGAGCTGGAGCATCTCAACGTTGTCGGACTTGCAGAGGTCGGCAAGAGCTTGCTGAGTCTCGGGATCGAGGTCCTCGGGGCGCATGGCGTCGATCTTGTTGATGACAACGAAAACGAGCTTGTTGGCGAAAAGAGGCTTGATGGACTGGAAAAGCTGCATCTGAGCCTGGACTGAGTAGCCACACTGCTCGGACAAGTCCATGAAGTAGAGGATGGCAGAGCGCAAGTGGGCAATAGCAGTGATCGACTGCATTTCGATTGTGTTCATCTCTTCCAGAGGGTGGTCCAGGATACCGGGAGTGTCGATGGCCTGGAAACGGAGCATCTTGTAGTCGAAGTGACCGACGAACAGACTCTTTGTGGTAAAAGCGTAAGGCTGGACATCGACGTCGGCGCGGGAGATGTTCTTGAGGAAACTCGACTTTCCGACGTTGGGGTAACCGCAGATGAGGAGAGTGCGGGTGTTGGGGTCGATGGCGGGAAGACGACCCAAGTGCTGGCGAACCTGCTCGAGGTAGAGAAGCGGGTCCTTCAGGCGCTTGCAGATGGTGGCCATGCGACCGAGGGCGGCGCGCTTGAGCTGCTTGCACTGGAAGAGCGACTGACCGTACTTGACGAGACGGACATAGTCGCGGGCGACGGTTTCGATCAAGTGCTTTGCGGTGGACAGCTGACCGAGGGCGATGCGGAAGTGGTCAGCATCGTAGAGGGTGTTGAGCAGATCCTTGTGGAAAGGGTGGATGTCGGCGAGACGAGGGAATCCGTCGAGGACGGCTTGGATCTTTTCGGCAAACGTTTCACAGGTGAACTTGATCTTGCGCATGTAGAATGCNNTGCGAGTCTTGTTAGTTTCTTGTTCTTGTCGTCTCTTGCTCTCCTTTTGCATGTCCATCTGTTCCTGCTTCTCTTCCGATGCTCTTGCGTGGTCGCTCGTTCCGTCCCACCAGAATTCTCGTCCCTCGTACGACAAAAAGTGGCACACACCTCTGATTCTCGAAATCTTGAAACCCGCTCTGATCTGAGTGGGCAGTCTCCTCTGGGTTCTGCTCAGGACAATGTCCAGGAACTCCTGCGACGTCGGCACGGGGGCGATATCCTTCCACGTCGTCTTCATCTTTGCGGTGTGTGTGGTGGTGGTTTGGGTTCTTGTTGCGAGAACTGACCGAAATGCTCGCTGCGACTCGTTCGTCCGAAAAATCTCGCCTCCAGACTTTCAGACAAAGTTCTGCCGGCAGGGCGGTCTGCGGAAGGCACTTTTGGTTCGCCGACCTCCGTGATGGAGAATGCCAAGGCTGTTCTTCGATTGACCTCACTTGCTGCCGTCTTTCGATCTGGCACTCTTTATCCTGCTCTCAAATCTCCTGCTGTCGTCTTGTCCCTTCTCTTATTCATCTTTTGCTCTCTGCCTTACTTATCTGGTTTGTCCTATCTGTCTGCCCTCATGGCTTTCACCTCGGCTTGGCCGCCAATCGAAGCTTCGGCGTCCGTGCACCGCAAAATTTCTACCCCTTGCAACATTCTATGTCTCCTTTTGCATCACGCCTATATCAAGCCTCTTTAGCTCAGTTGGTAGAGCGCGGCACTAGTAATGCCGAGGTCACCGGTTCGACTCCGTTAGGAGGCAGTAGCTTGTTCTTTTGTTGATAGAACATCGATGAACGTCTCCTTTTCGATGCACTTTTTTTCTTTTTTTGGACCCTGGAATTTTTTGGATTCAGTAGGGGCAACCCTGGCGACCAGCTGAGGTACACCTTCTTTAGCAGACCACTGTGACAATGTATCACTGGCTTAACAGCATCTACTTGCTTCTATGCAAGGAATACTTGTTGATCAGTGTTGAGTGTAAGTCAGCTGCGATGTGTGCGATTGAACCCCATTATGTGTTGGTTCCAGGATTTCTGCCCTTGAAGCACAAATATTCCACAGCTCTGTATGCGCATCATGATGCGGATGCCCGCCTTTCACTCCCAACATATTGACGGGTTGACGATACAATCATGGACACAAAATGACTAGTCACGAAGACTTTCAAGGGAGATTAATGATCATAACATCGCTCTTTCCAAGAAAAGCTTGCAGATTACCACCGAACTTCTGGTATGGAGGGTAACAATCTCTAGATTGCGTTGTAATGAAACCCAATCGCTCATAAGAATGAAACAAACATATCTCCGAAGTCAACCAGTCTACAGGGCGAGAGCTTCCCTACTCTTGTGTCACTTTTGGCCAGAAGTTCTCCTCGGCCCACAAGACTTGGTCCCATATCTGCTCACACTTGATCCACTCCGTACTGCCTTCATCGACATTCTCAGCAAGCTCATCCAGCAGCTCGCCGATGCCCACGACAAACTCCTCAAACTCGTCACAAGTCCAGTTGGGTATGAGTGTGGTGTGCAGCACATGTGTCTTCTTGTCCTCGGGCACTTGATTCTTGAAGCTCAAAGCATATTTCCAGGCGGTGAGGTAACATATTTCCGTGGCCCACAGAGCTGTCATGCCGACAAGGATGCTCTGATTTGGAGCACCTGCACCAGCAAACATGTCCTGATATGCTCTCGTCTCTTTTGTTGCCGTCTCCCCTCCTTCTGTCCAGTCAAAATGCTCTCTGAGAACATCTTCGAACATGCCTAGCTCCCTGCGGACGTTGGTGAGAGCATTGATGAAGCAGTCGGCGACGCGCCATTCGAGTGTCTTCTCACGAAAGGAAGTAGAAGGAATGGAGGCTTTGGACAGCATGTTGCCCATGAAGGGAATGTACGAGAAGATGTAAAGGCGGTCTTGGGTGAGCCAGGCTAACAGCGCTGAAGTGGGAAGCTTCGAGGTGCCAGCGAGACGGAGCCATGGGTGGTTGGTCGCGGAGGTGAAGGCATCGGGACTGTGAGCTAGGAGATGGTCGGTGAGCTTCCTGGGAGCCATGATTGCGACAAGCTGAATACTGTTTGAAGGTTATGTATACGGGTCAAGACACGAGGTAGTGCTGTTTCTCAACAAGTCTTTTGATCGGACTGACGTTGGCCCGATAGCGGCAGAGTCTTATAGCTTTAAGGATGCAGGTCTGATGTGGAGCGAGACTGCACACATGTGTGTGTTTTTCTGTCAGACCATATGGACTTACTCTCTCAGCCCAGTGCGACGAGACATCGTCTGGATGTCCTGTGCAACATGTCTCAATGTCAGCAGAAACGTGTCGCTGAAGAAGAGACAGGCAGATGTGACGCGAAAGGACGATGAGGTGCGCCAAGAATCACGTGCAAATCAACGAGGGGACGGTTCGACGAGAGTGGACAGCAAGCTTTCCAGGGGTTTGCATGCCCACTCCAAGCTTCTGAATCAATGCAGGAATATTCAGAAATCATCAGACACCATGCAAGAGATGTCTGGCCGAGCAGAAATCCCACACTAAATCAGAAAGTTCGAAAGCGCATAACATAAATAAACAATGGCCGAACATCCTCGGTCAAGTCCTGGTCCAGGACAACAAAGAGATCAGAGTCCATCCCTGTCGCGAAACCTCGACCGACTATCCCTGGTCAGATCAAATTCTCCAGCGGACCGCAGAAGCACATCACGAATTTCTTCGAGTCCCATGACATCAAATTATCGCTCCACGACTCCAGGCGCTCACGACTCACCATCAGCTCTGCGTAGAGCTTCCAGTTCAATGAGCCAAGCAGGAACTCCCACCCAGGCGCAAATCGTCAATGTCCTCTTTGCGCAGCATGACCAATCAAACTTCCCCTGCCAGCTCTCCTCGTCGTGGCGATCGTTCTTCTTCCACTATCGGATCTTCTTCNNTTCATATGCACTCATCGAAGAACCTGCGCCACTGACAGCTGCCCAAGTCGCATCAGCTTATTTCGCCCAGGAGCTGGCCCTACACGAATCCGGGTTCACAACTGCGCAGGTCGCAGTCATTCTTCATGATGCATGTTACGGACACAGATTCTCACGGCCAAAGACTTCCAAAGGCATGCTCAGCATGATTGTCGAGAGACCAGAGCGTGTTCTGGCTGCTGTTCTTGGACTGTCCGCTGCCTATGTTCGTCTTGGATCGAGACATTCAGGAGGTCAACATGCCCCTCATCCAGACAAACAACCTGATCCTCGCATCCCTTTCAAAATCAGGAAGACTTCGCGTGCAGTGCCACTGACTTCGCCATTTGTTTCTGCTGTGCATGGAACCGAGTGGATGAAGGAGCTCGAGGCCATGTGCAATGTCGCAGGAGAGAGACTGGAACAGCACATGAAAGAATTGGCCAGACCCGAGGTTCCTGGCTCAACAGCTGAAAAGCAACCTTTCCACGAGGGCGACTTGTATCTTTGTTCGGAATCACTGAATGCTCTACAAGGTGCCATTGGTGGTGTTTGTGATGCTGTTGACACAGTTTTCTCTAGCATCCCGACATCACCAAGACGTGCTTTCGTCGCTATTCGTCCACCAGGTCATCATTGTTCTTCGGATTTTCCTTCTGGTTTCTGTTGGATCAACAACGTTCATATTGGTATTGAATATGCTGCGCAAACTTATGGCCTCACACACGCCGTGATCTTGGATATCGATCTTCATCATGGTGATGGATCGCAGGACATTACTTGGGACAGAAATGCGAAGAGTGCAAGAATGAACAAGAATGCTTCTTTCACGAAAAAGACTGCAATCGGTTACTACAGCATGCACGACATCAATTCGTACCCGTGTGAGGACGGCGACAAGGAGAAAGTTACCAACGCCAGTCTTTGCATTGACAACATTCACAATCAGTCCATCTGGAACGTTCACCTGGAAGCTTGGAAAACTTTGGACGAATTTTGGGCTCTCTACGAAACAAAGTACTCGATCCTGTTGGAGAAAGCCCGAACTTTTCTGAAAAGACATTCGCAAATGATCAAGAATTCACACAAGCAAGCACCGCCCAAAGCTGCCATCTTCATCTCAGCTGGATTTGATGCCAGTCAGTGGGAAGGTGCTGGTATGCAGCGCCATGCGGTCAACGTGCCTACCGAATTCTATGCTCGCTTTGCAAGAGACGTGGTCAAGCTAGCTGAAGAAGAGGGAACGGGTGTCAACGGCCGTGTCATTTCTGTGCTGGAAGGAGGATACAGTGATCGAGCTCTCTGTAGTGGTGTGCTCAGTCATATTTCTGGACTTTGTCAAGATCCGAGTGCAACGACTACTAATGGATCACATGCAGCCCATGCTGATGATGATATTGCAAGTGCGATGCAGAGCATGAACATCTCCAGCCCAGCCAACGGTCACCAAAAATCTGAGTACGATCCCAATTGGTGGGATGTCAAGAACTTGCAAGCCTTAGAGACACACGTCACACCTCCTCCGCCACCGCCTATCATGAGAACCCAACGTACAGCCATGCCTACATACGCCACGCCCACTCAATCGTTTACTGGAAAGGTGGTCGACCCACTCAAATTTCAAAGATCGATTTCTGGAACAATGCGACCAATGTCTCCCAGACCTTCTGGGCCGAGAGAGCCGCCAGAAGTCAATTGGATTGTTGCCGTGCATGAGCTCAGCAAACTTATCGTTCCTTCGGACCGCCAAACGAGAAGCCATGCGCCGGAAGACCTTGCTCCAGTCAGAATAAAGAAGGACAGACTTTCTGCACCAGTCATTGTACCAGCAGAACCGATGGCTGGAGGAAGACAACTCCGTACCAGAAAGCCAAAAGGTGCTGGCACTGTCAGCCCACCCACCGAAGCAGACATGTCGATCAAGCCTCTTCCAGTCGATCTTGCTAGGCGCCAGACGATATCGGAATTGCCAACATCACACGACGTTCAGCCTGTCGCTGAAAAGATTCAGCAACCTAAGCGAACGACAAGAAGGACCAGCAACATGTTCGACCTGAAAGCAGAGATTGCCGATGCACCACCACCCGTACCCGTTATGCCTGCACATCTACCACCACCTAGTCCCAAGAAGGTGCGTGGGAAAGCATTGAAATCGGTACCAGTCGAGGAGCAGCCAGTTGTCAAGCAAGAACCTTTGGTGAAGCAAGAACCAGAACCGTTTTTCAAGCTGGAGAATCGCATGGCACGCCCGGAGCCCAAACGTTTCCCATCAGAGCCGTCTGTGCCGACTGCATTGCCTCTGACCATCGATTTCACGAAGCCAATCAACCATATTCAGCCTATGAGACCAGTCGGGATTAAGAGGATCCACCTGAAAGTGGGAACACGCGAAGAGCACGATCGTAAGATGAGGGAGACCGAGGAGAAAGCCAAGGCAGAGACCAGACCACCGCCCAACATGCATGAGGCGTCATTGCCTCAACCAGCAGTTGAGCAGGTTACCCCAGCGATGCATCCGACCGAAGCGCCGAGAGTAGAGTCAAATGCTAACCCAGCATTGATGGATCAATATGCTTCGCGCAGACAGCCAGCCTCGGCCTCGAAGACTGTACCTTCCGAGTTGACGCACAGAGATTCGCCGCTATATCTTGACCTGGAGGAGAGCGCAGTTCAGCAGAGTGCTGGTGCTTCTGCCGTGCCTAGTCAACCGCAAGCTATTGACCATCACCAGATGACATTGCTTGATAATGGATCAGGTCCACCACACGCGGCCAGCTCATCCATCCAAGCAGATGTCCCTCAATCGCAGGTTTACACGCACCAGCCTGTACCACAACAGCAGCCAAAGCTACCTTCACAACACAACCATCCTTTCTTCAACCCCTCGTACGCGCACTCTCAGAACAATCTACCAACCTTCTCAAGCACAGGAGCAATTCCCTTCGCGCCTCCTCAAGCCAGACCCAGTGGACCTAATCCGGTGTCTGGTCACGGGAACGGAGTGTCGAGATCGATGCTTGACGGATTTCCCACTTTGAGCAAGGTCATCACACCTGATGATGTCGACATGATGGATCTGGACAGCCCGGAGAAGAGGAGAGATGGACGTGATCAAAAGATCATACCTGAAACGCCACAGCACTAGGTGTGCGTGTGGAAGAGAAAAATGTAGATGGTAGTCAGAACATTGTAGAGTCTCTTTTCTTATGATACCCCTCGAGAATGAATGACAATTTCGTGCAGATGAGAATGCACAATACTTTTTCGAAACAGCTTGCAGTCCACTGCGAGCTAGTAACTCCTCTGACTCTCTCTGGACAGAAGTCAGGTCCACGAACAGATTCTATATGTTGATAGCTTGGATCTGGAGAGCAGTGACGAAGGAGGGGCAGATGTCCCGATTGGGAAAGACGTCGGCCGGAAACGCGAAATGTTCGCGTCCAAGATTCCGTCATGACCGAGGCAGCTACCACAACGTCTATACTGCCGTCGCAAGACACCGCCGCCACCAGATAATCACTTACAACACGTCCCACCCCGAGCGCATACATCCATTGCACGACAGTCACTTTTTCAATGCCGCCGAAACGCGCTGCAAAGACGGCAGCCAAGGTCGCGCCTGCCAAAGTTCCAGCAACCAGAGCCACTCGATCACGCGCGCAAAAGACAACTCCGCCTGTGGAAGAAGAGCCAGAAGTCAGTAGTGCTGCGCGCAGTACCAGGTCACGTAGATCTGCTGCCTCCGGGCAAGACGCACCCGCCCAAGACAAGGAACAAAGGGAGGAAGCAGCCGCGACACGCGATGCGAAACCACAACCACGCACGAAACCGCGTCCTACGACGCTTGGTCGCCGCCCCCGAGAACCGTCAAGAAGCCAGCACCCAGTCAAGCGAATCAGGGTGTCCTGGACAAGTTGAAGGCGCGCATGGAAGAGGACCGCAGGGTCATAAAAGCTGGACTCGTACCACAATCTGCGCCAGAGATCCAATCGCATGAGGCCGAGCGCGTAGTCCGTGAGGCTACCAACAACGTTGAAGATGCTGCACTGGTGCCTGCCCGCGCTGCTCCACGATCACCGTCTCCAGTCAGACAAACAGCAGTCCCTGGAACAGCAGTCAAGGCGCCTGCTAGTGTCGTGCGTCCGCAATCTGCTGTGAAGATGCAGAGCACACCTGGCGCAGAATCTTCCGTTCTGGCCTTGCAGAACTTCAGACGCCGCGCCCGTCAGCCTAGTTTGCTGCAGATGGTACAGAATCCTGAACTTGCTGGTACTCCGATTGACGACACGACCGATTTTACTCTGGGTAGCTTGGGCGATGAGGACGACTTTGCACCAGATGACGAGGGTACGCCTCTGCAAATCTCGAAAGGCCGACCGATCGAAGTCGAGACAGAGCCGGAAGAAGACGAGCCTGAGGAGGAAGTTGTGCAAGAGCAGGAAAAGGCCAAGACACCAGAGCCTACATTGCCCAATTCTGACGATGAGTTCTATGGTGCGACGCCAGTCAAGACAACACAACGGCAGACCCGCAAACGCAAATCGGATGCCATCGAAGAGTCCGAAGTTCAGATCGCCCGCTCGTCTCCCTCACTACCCTCACCTTCTCGCTCCATCGCCGAACGAGAAGAACACGAGCCCATTCCTGCAACAGCGCCCGAGGACGACGTCGACGACGTCGACGACGATGATGACGAAGAACCAGCAACAACCGAGTCACAACAACGCAGACTACTCAGCGACACATACGCAGACCCTCTGAGTAGCTCACCACCACCCGAACCCATCAGTCCTTCCTCTCCCGCTCAACCTCGTCAAGTCCCTGCCCTTTCTCCCACGGCAATCCGCAAATCCGCCCGAGCAGGTGGCCAGCAAACCAAGAAGGTCAAGCCCTTGACAACAGCAACATTGCGAGCCATGCTACCCAAACGTCGTGCTCAACGGAAAGACGAATTCGACTTTACCTCCTCCTCAGCACACGAAGCTTCTTCCTCGGCCTTCGAAGACGAAAAGCGCAAAAGGCAAGAACAAAAAAAGCCTGCTGTGGCCAAGAAAGCTGCACCCGTAAAGCCAAAGAAGACGACCGCTGCAGCGACAAAAAGGACATCACGAACTTACGCCCGCAGCAATAAAGAGAATGATCCTGTACACATCTCTTCTGGTTCTTCAAGTCTGTCTGAGCTCAACAGCGATGAAGTCGAAGCAGACGAAACTGCAGACACGAGCATTGATACCATCAAAGGCTCCAAATCTGACGAGAAACTATCGGACGAGTTGAGGAAGGCGAGGGAGAAGTTTGCAGAGGTCGATGATTGGGAAATGGAGTTTGAGAGTGCGAGTTTAGGGGCTGGTGGGGGAAGTAGTCCATGGCGGTGATCAACTTCTGTTACTGGCCACTACGTTCGACTGGTTTGCTTCTGGGTCGAGGTTTTGCGAGGTTTTGCGAGGTGTTTTTGGTGGGATCTCGAGCAATCATGTTCTGAGCAAGGGAGGTTGGGATCGGGGTGTAAGAGTAGTTTGATTCGCTTCAGGCTGCCTCTTTTTGGGTAGAATTGTTATTATTGAGTTGATTCTGCTTCTATGATCTTGCTTTGTGATCGTGTCTGCCATTGGCTTTGCAAATCCATCAGGGTGACGAAAAAGGAAGGAGTGGGTTACGGCCCCCCCACTTTTTGGGCAGACGTCGCTTTCCTTTTGCTGTTTGTAGACTATTTCTCTTTCTTCTCTTTCAATAACCATCGTCTCGCTCTGGTTGGTATCTGAAGACGAGAGATTCATCTGAGTTTGGGACAAAACCCAGCAAGATGGACATCGAAAGACATACATCTCCATCAGTGAGATGCATGTACTTCGGCCTGCCTCTGTCGTTGGAGAAAACGATATAGTAGGTATCAGGCAAGTAGAAAGATATAAGATGGTTTCTTTACTTTCCATTCTCTCCATCTTTAGTTGCATCAAGGGGAGCAATATCGAACCGATTGATTGAGACATGTGCACCTCCTTAACGAATCGATCGAGAATACATTCGATCCCAAACTGTTTCACAGTCTCATCACAATCTGGAACAGGGACCAGTCCGTCTCGAATCGCAAAATATTGTACCTGGAAAAGGACGGTAACCTCTCAAGTTTGAACTCCGAACCAGCAACTCTTGCGCCCTTTGTTCTTGTTCGTCAAGTTGGTGACCGATGGGAAGGCTTTGGCTTTTTTGACGACGAGACTGGTCCAGTCATCGCTCCTGGTCCCAAGACCTTTGCTCTTTCGACATCCCTTGGTTCTGGAAAGACATCTCTCTCCGCTACAGCCATCACCAGTGCATCGTTTACTCTGAAATCGTCGACTCGCATCGAGAGTCCCTCGGTACAGATCCAATATACCCAGGCTCCCAAGCCTGTTGCTTCCACTACCCTCGCGGCCCCGAAAACTTGGTCCAACCTCGCCGCTGCATTCGACGTGCCGGCATACCCGTCTCCACTTCTCAGCCTCAAGCTTCCGTACCCATCTTGAACGCGAAAGCCAAAGTTCCTGCACAGGAAGAATGTAGCAGAGTTGCTAACTCTGCATCTGATTTCAACAGCGACTTTAATCTCCCCATTGGAGGCAGACACATCTCAACACCAGGAACCAGTACGTTAACACATTTTGACTATCATAGGATCATGACTGATACATCTTANGACTTCGAGAGTGCTGCATACGCGTTAGCCATTGGCTTGGCTACCAACCCTTTCACGCCGCGGCCTCTAGACTGGTTGGACTTGAGCTCTGAGAAGGTGTTCTATGACCAGATCAAGCCGATGTGTAATCTTGAGATGCTCGATCAAAGGAGAGAGCAAGATATCAAATTCGACCACGAGCGTCCCTTGGAACTAAAACAGCTCATTCGTGTCATTATGACTTGGAATGTGGGGTCACCACTAGAAATGAGCGTATCAATCACTCAGGCTGACTGTAAGAAGTGTACGATCTCTTGCACGGACCATGAGAACGCAAGACCTGTTTGCATACGCCATACTGGCTCGCGCTGGGAGGTTCTTACTTGGTTCCGGGAGGCTGTTTCAGCTCCGAGCTGTGTGCAAGCATCAACCATCATGCCCCCTATGACTCAGATCGACGTTGAGCCTGTGATCGATGCTGACGAGCTCAACGACGTCCACAACATAAGAGCCACTTCCCGCGCACATCCCTGGAACGACAAATCCATCGAGATCATTGCCAGATACCTCAGGGGGGCTGCGAGAAACACTGCTTTCCGAATCAATGAGTTCTATCGTTGGACCACGGTGGTTGATCACTCTGAGCACGAAGAGGTGAGACTAATGTTGGGTCGCGTTTACTCCGACCTCTCAACAGTGGAAAATGTCCTGAACGAGATCTCGGTCTACGTCAAACGCAACACCACCTTCAGAGAATCCGAACTTCTCGAGGAGTCGCAGGAGGAATCTCTCAAGCAGGAGGATGAGAACATCAAGCAGAAGGAAACCGAACATGCTGCGCAGAGAAAGCGCAAGGAGGCCGAGGTGAGAGTTGCTGCATACGCTGCCCAAGAGCGTGACGACTCTTGCAGTGATTCCGACTGAAAGATGCAGAAGAATGCAAGATCGAGACCAAGGCAGAGTTAGTTGGACCAAGTTGATTTCACCACGAGCGCTGCAGTCATCAAGGAAATCTGTTCGGTGAGAATGATCAACCAAGGGCAGGCAGAAGGTGGAGCCTGTATTCTTGGAAGCAAACAGGGGAGGCATGAAACCCTGTAGCTATGGCAAGACAACATGCGAGCCTTTCCATGAAAGACCAAATACTCATACCGATTGACCTTTCTCTCAGTCTATGTTTTCTGGAAGTATGCGTGAACGTCTGACCTGATCTTATCAAGATGATGAGCTCTGACGACAAGATGCACTTAGTTGTGAGCGGTCAGAGTTCTGGAGCACTAACACAGATAGTCTGGGAATCTGGAGTTTACGCTCTGGCTATGGCTTTGGCCACCAACTTGAACGACATCCGACCTCTTGACTGGTCGCTTGCCACTCTTGAGAAAGGCTACTACGATGCTCTGAAAGCTGTTCACGTTGACCACATTCCCCACAGCGACGAAGAAGAAGACAAGGTTTTATCGACCACTCAACTTGCAGAGATCATCGAATTCTGGCATGTGAGATACACAGACGTCTATGACCTTTTCGTTGACGACAACGACTACATATACCTGGTAGGCAATGGAAGAAGACACGCGAAGAAAATCCTCTGCCGCTTTCGCAAAGGCCGATGGGAGGCCTGCTGCCACTTCGAAGAAGCAACGGGCGGCCTCACTATCACTCCTGGTCGCATCTTGTTCTCTCAGCAGTCTGTCCAGCAGCAGATCCCCACCGACAAAAAACCCAAGCAGGCCGAGGACCGGGTCATGAATACAGCTGCCGGACCACTCGACCAAGTTGCCTTTGAATCCACCGCCTCCTCTCCAGATTTGGACTCTACAAACGACAAACTCATGAACACTATTGAGAAGCTTGGCTCTTCCGTCGAAAAGCTCGCTCTTGCAGTTGAAGAAGGTACCAGATCTGAAAAGGACCTCTGCACTGCTATGGACAAGCTTTCTGCTTCGTTGGACAACGCCGCACAGGTTCAGGCTGGAAGTTCATTCGTCACCAACGACCTGAGATTGGAAACGAGTACTGGAGATCATTCCACTGTCTACGACTCTGATGAGTCCGAGACTTACAAAATTGTTGGTCGTTCAGTCTCTCCTGGAGCACCCAGCGGTAACAGAGCGGCCGATCAATCCTAGACAAGGCAGACAAATATGACTGCAAGCACTGGCTCATGTCTTTTGGACAGAATTGTGGGTAGAATCTTGAATCCACAGTGTCTTGCGCTGTCGACTGAGGAAGATCGTCCCAAAACATCTTACTAAGTCGTTCGAATGTCTGCTGATATGGGGAACAACCCAGTCCGGCGATAGATACGGGTCATACCAGGAAGCAACCTTGGCAGAAGCAAGATCGAGAAGAACATCGGTATATCAGTTTGGATCGACGCATATGTAACCCCAAAAATGTAAATCATTCGTCACTAATGAGTGTTCATCATCGTTATGGTAAGTGTGTACGTCGTGGCCCTCTCCGTGCACTAAACATGTTCGCGGTGATGTGTAGCACGGTTCATTGATTATCAACGTGCTGGCAGACACCGACATGGGTCTAGCAGCAACAACCATCGAAAGGGAAGGAGAAAGCAGCAAACATATTCTAATGTCGAAGATCCTGCAACAAAGACATTGACAGACTGTCATGCTCCACTCGATTCAATGGGCCCTGCTGGGGTAGTTTGCACACCCAGCATTCACCAGTCGCGGGTATCGCGCAAATGAAAGCGGTGAGAACTCCAACCAACCATTCATTTACCCATCGGGGGCATGGTGGAGTAGCTGCTGGACCTACACCCATGGGTTCGCGGGACGATGGGCCGCCTCTTGACGTCCGGGTAGTACAGAGGGTGGTTCCTGCCTATTCCTGCCAGTTTTTGGACTTCACCTTACCCCTGAGTTTGGCATATTGGATTCTCATATCGGAGCGAGGTCCTTGGTCCTACAATGAGGGAATATATAACGATAGAGGTGCTCTTCTTTCTTCTCTTTATTTTCTACAATAGCAACTTGGGCTCTTCGGAATTGCTCCGCCACTGTTTTGAGTTTTTGATTCGTTCCTGACCATTCGGATATCCTTCCACTCCATCCATACCCAGCTTATCTCTGAGAAGAGTATATCTAGGATGTTGTGGAGCTCTCAGAGCTGACTCTTGGTGTAGATCAATCCTATCCACCATGACCTGGCTTGGCAGGTTTTCTGCTCGCGTTGCTTCGACGATGAAGACGCATGTAAGTCGTTTGGCCTGAGGCTTCTCACAAAGTACTGAAAATCTTCTGATTCAGTCTTCCTCTTTGAATGAATCACCTCGTGTCGCCACCCTCCAGGCTGTCAAACAGACTCTCCTTGAGCAACAAGCGAATCGCAAGCGAGACTCCCTCATACAGGAGCTCGCACAAGTCCATCGTACTCAGCAGAACCCTACAAGTACGAGCTCGAAGATAGGCTTCGGTGCCGCTATGATGGTGGGAGCTACAATTCTTCTTACGCCGATGAAGGAAGCGACTCCAGCCAGAGTTATCATGACTGGAGTTGAGCACCACCTTCAACGCCGAAGAGGCCAGACAGGCTTCCTTGTATCCATGGTCTGGATGAAGGAGAAGTACAGATGGATTGTGACACATCTGCTGGCGATGATCGTGGCCATAGCCACGTACTGGAAAGTTACAATGTCTTCCTGAGTTTGACAGGAGATCTCTTGGGTGGCTGGATTGAGGGATTCCTTGATGGTTAGAAACGTCTGACCATATCTCATTCGATCTTGCCTTCCGTTGTTGTTTCTGCATACCAATATCAGGTCCAACTATGCAGATATTCCAACCCTTCCACTTGCTTTGCAGTGACCTTGCAGCACGAAGATAGGGATCTCAAGCTATGCTGCGATGGAGAGTGATATCATATCCGGTACAGGGCCCACTCTTCACAGCTAGTAGGGCGAAATCTCTCGGTAGCTAATAGATGGTTCGATCGGAGAGGCTCATGAGAACCTCCCACTCGTGAAGGGTCGAATCAGTGACATTCAAACAGCGGCAGTCAACCAGCAGCGATTATCGGTGCTCGCACGAATCACGTGCTATAGTAGCCCATAATTTCCAGCCAGCAGCCCTTCTGTTTTGGTATACTATCAGCTAGCTAGCTACGATGTAGCGAATCATGCTGCCGCACTTATAGGACGGCTGCATCTTCCCTGACATAGCTTTTGGCCCCTATTATGGATGTAGCTGCAGCTCATCGATACATTCCAAATCCATCATCACTGGTTCTGCAGCTTTGTATAGTGTGCGTCATAGTCAGCTAAGCAGCCAGCAATGACATGGTAATGCAAAGCTATTCCTGCGCTTAAGCGTCAAATCATTGTATCGTATTGGATTAGTGAGCGGAAACAACCTGCAGTTGGAAGGAGGTTGACGAAGCACTGCGATGTTTGCTTGAAAATGTGCAAAGACTCTGTTTTAGCAACTGCATACCATTATGCACGGCCTCTTGAGAGCCTTGTGGGATCGATAGTGGTGGTGGTTCGTTGATTGCACTTAGGAGTGCTATCATGGCTGCTTGGCTGTGTATTCGTACGGGGTATATAGCATTGTTCGCCGAAGAACGCTGTCGCTTTGGATCTCCCATGATCCAACCGTTAGAAAAGGTTCACCTACACTCTTCTTCAATCTTGACTCTCGACAACAACCGCCAACATGTCTTTAGCTACTGTGCTTTTCGGTGACCTTACTCCAGTTGGCCTCCATTCAGGAGAAGTACAGACCACGATCTTCCAAAGAGACCTTGTGCTGACGCATGAACAGAATTTCAAAATCTATCCCACGCCCATGTCTGCCATAACCGCTAGATACTCTGTCGCGGTTCCGTACGCGCCCCACCAAGCCTCTGAGCTGGAAGAAGGCTCCACCATCAGTGGTTTCGAGCTGGAGGCTCATGAACTACAAGATCAATTTCCTTCTTCTCCAAGACAAAACACACCCTCATTCAGTGGAGCATCTCAATGCAGTAATGTCAATGATGAACAGCTCTCCTCCACTGAGATACAGCGCTATCTGGAAGCAATGGAGAGCCGTATCGAGCAACTGATGGAAGAAAACGAGATTCTCGCCGAAGANACTAAGAAACATTGAGAACAAGAGAAAGCAGAAGAAGCAAAAGAAAAGACAGGGAAAGCAAGCAAANNGATGCAGACGGATGCTTCCAGAGAGTTGCTGAGAGCTACGACGTCTGTGCTTACTCCTTTGCCCGAGGGTTCGCCTGCAAGGTTCGGTTTGATGGCTTTTGAGGCGTTCTTCCTGAGGGAAAGAGTGGTTGTGTCTTGAAGACTCTGCAAGTCGATGTGGTGATGAGCTTGCAAATGAGCAAGAGATGTCGATATTCTACAGGCTTCGTTCAAAAGCACTGATGCTGTCCAAGAAAGGGGTTGGACAAAGAAACAACGAGCAAATGATTGCCTAAGCAAACAATCATAGCTGCACTCCAATCAAACACACAGTCCGGCGATAGCAGATGTTTACCTGGCTGATTGGAGTTCTGAGACATATCCCATTGTAATGTGCGACATACTGTCTTGCTTTCTGCAACAGCTTCTATGAGTCTTCCTTTTCTTTTTGAAGATCTGATGTCTCCCCTAATCTGTGTGAGACATGATAAAATAAAACTTGACGTGTTGTAGCCTTCTGCGTCTGTCTCGAAAGTTTCGCTTTCCGAGCCCCCGACAACAATTTCATTGACCAACTCATTTCTTCCAGCCTCTGGCCTTTGATACAAAGGGCCTGATAATTTATATGTCCACCTTTTCTTCCAGCTCCAATAACACCCTTATCGCAACGATGACCACCGTTCCCGAGTCTCCCATCTCACCCCCGTTCGAACACCAGGCCACCTCCAATGGTGTGGGCTTTTACCTGGCACCATCCCTTATTCGAGCAATGCAACATATGCCAGGCTCATTCCCAGACTTCCTGCCCTCACCCGATCATCCTCAAGCGAGCTCCTACAACACAGCCGAAGTCCCTAAAATCGACCATGCTACCAGCAAGCCATCCCACGTCGAGCGTGTCGGGATAAATCCTCCCGACAGCGCCTCTTGTTCGATGAGTCTCCTACAGGCGTCGAACTATCATTGTGTACCCTTCCGCAAGGTCGTTCAAGAGCGTGACAACGAAATGATCAAGCATAGTTCCAATGAGCACCAGGAAGGGCATGAAGCTGATGCAGAGGACCTCGTTAGCGATATCTACCAAGCTGGCACGACTGTATCAGGCATCGAGATGACGAGGAACACCTTGGCAGTTGAAGATCCACAACTCAAGCAAAACGATCATGAGTCGGGAGAAATCCAGAAGCCGAACACACGTCTACGCACAAGACTTCGTGAAGCCGAAGCCGCCCTCGCCATAGTTGGAGAAAATCTGGACAAGAAGGACATCCAGACCACAGAATGTGACACTGATGCTTCTTCCAACGCTCTCTGAGCTTGTCAAGCTTTTGCATGATAGCTTGAGATGTGAGCATGTTACAGAGCGTGGATGCTAGAATTTCCTTGTCATCGTGGTGGAGGTGACATCGTGGTGGAGGTGAGAATACTATCTTAAGGCTGTTCATCCATAGACCAGACTGAGAGTCACTGTTCGCGCCCCTTTGGGCTGTCGTCTCGCTCACATGCCTGGCGATCACATCATTTGCACAAACACAAAACTTTACAAGTGCGATTTCTCAAAGTACTTTTTGTTTAGATGAATAGCTGAAGCAATTGAATGGCATGATACAGCGTTCCGACACTGAAGTTCTCTCAAAACGTAGGGTTTGCGAAAAGAATTGGTCTTTGATAGGGGTCGAACACACAACCAACAACATTGACATCACGTATTGAACAATCGTAACAGAAGTATCACACTCTACGCGTTACCCTTCACTCTTCGGCATCAAAACAAACAACCACTCCTCTCTAGCACATCTCTACCAAAAGTCATAGAGCAAAAGAGCAAAAAGAAGCAAGGAATACTAGGCCGGCACCCGGAGGCCTTGCCCGACTGCCTGGGATCTTCGATGAAAGTATCGTTCGCTTGTGAGCACCGGGTTAGGGCTGCTCTGCGAAGTCATTACTCCCCACGGCACTAATCGACTCCCTTAGGTCGACCGGCGTAATAAATGTAATTTATCATACCTACGTATTCGCTTGACTATCACGCATTCTCGAGTGACTTTGATCCCAACCGGCTTTATTATGTAGCCTTGATCTACTATCTTCACTTCTTGAGAGTTCTTCACGAGATTGATCGATGTCACCTCAATGCTTCTGCATATGTGCTTGGGCCCTTCCACCATGTTTCTCTCGGAAATAAGTTCGTACTTATTTTCAATCTATCAGTGTCACAGAATCAGACTTCACGGACTGGAGTGCAGTCGGTTGGCATAGAGATGATCAGCTTTCAAGAGCGTCAGCTTTCCCAGCGCTTTGGAGATCTTAATGCCAGACAAGCAACTCATTTGCACGGCACTCGCCTCCAGAGATTGAACTGTCTCTTTTCTAGAGTCTTCCATCCGACACATCGAGAACAGCTACTCTTGGAAGCGATAAACATAGGTTTGAATCACGATATTGCTCTCAAGGAGGTGTTCGAGCAGATTTCGTATCAGAGCCTTCCTGATATGCTTGCTTGTTGTTCTTGAGAGTGCCCTCCCAGGCTTTGAAGATGAAAATTCTTATAGACAAGGGGTGGGAGACACGTTTGCAGCCGTGATCAAGAGGAGGCGCGGTCAAGGCCGCAGCAAAAACCACATCGGCAAGCCTGATCCTCGCAAGGATGGCGGAGCTGGCGGTGGTGATGCCGGTGGTGGTGCTGCCTCTGGCACTGCCATCAGTGGTTGATCTGCCTAGTGTTTCATATCGCTTGAATGAGCATCGATCTCTTCGCGACAGCTGAATGAGCTCTGATCTCTTCGCATGGCTTGAATGAGCTTTGATCTCTTCGCTCTAAGACAGGAGTAAACCTAGTATAAAAAATCCCATTGACTCACTGGCCTTGTGCTGGTGGTTGAAGGGGTACTACACAGTCCGTGTTTCGAGGATGATCCACAAGTCAGTCGGAGATGCCAGGTTTTTTTGCGGAAGGGGTGTTATGGTAGGTAGTCAGTATTTCTATTCCATTCTTCATACTTACTCGTCACTCTGTCTGCTTTTCTCATTGAAAAAGTTCAACCCAGCCTCCTTCCTCAGCGTACCATACATAGCCGCACAATCCAACACTTCTCCATGCTCCTCTCTCGCAGCCTTCATGTTCTTGTTCGCCACCTCCGTCGCCGGCAACTTGACTCCCTTGTCCTTTGCAATGGCAACAGCATAATCGGCATCTTTGATCGAAAGCGAGACGCCAAAGCCAGGGCGCTTGTCGAGGGCTGGTGCGTAGTTGCCGCTTGTCATGCGTCCGGAGTAGCCGCCAGCGACGGGGCCAAAGCCTTCGATGATGAGCTCTTCCATGGGGCCGCAGCCGATGCCGGTTTGTTCGGCGAATACTTGGGCTTCGGATACTGCTTCCATGAGGTTTACTGTGATGATGTTGCTGTGGTTCTTCGTCAGTATCTGTCTACATCATGACTTGAAAGCATGGAACTCACCNNCGGCAATCTTCAGCATAGAAGCACTCTGAGACTCTTCCTTGCACACGATGACTTTTCTGGCGATCACGTCCTGGAAGTATGGTTTCACGGTTTCCACAGCTGAGGAAGGTCCGCCGATTGCGACAACCAGTTTTCCAGGTGCGGCGATTGCCGGACCGCCGAACATGGGTGCTGCCAGAAAAGTCGCCTTGTGCTTCTTGATCTCTTCGGTGACGGCTTTTGTGGTATCCGGGTGTACGGTAGAGCAGTCGACAAAGATCTTGCCAGAGAGGTTCTTGGTGTCGTAGGCTTGTTGCAGAAGACTCTTGAGTGTGTCGTCATTGTTGACCTAATTCCCATCAGTCCATTCGTTCCAGAAGATTTTCGAGGAGTTTCAGAAAGATACCATAGTAAACACGACATCGCTCTTCTCCACCAACTCGCCGAAACTCGACGCCGGAGACGCGCCAAGACTTTTCAAGTTGTCGCCAGAGGCCATTGTGCGGTTGTTGAAGATGAGCGATTGATCATTCTTGGCCAGATACTTTTGCAAGTTCTCTGCCATTGGTTTGCCCATAGATCCCAGGCCATNACTATTTCTCACCAACGTCAGCCAACAATTCCGTTCGTCCTCGGTAATGCGCCCAGCAAAACTCACCCAGCCGACTTGCAAATTCTTGGCAGCCATTGTTCTAGCGGAAGCACTGTAAAACCGTTTTGTGAGACTTGTTAACATTGTGAATGGAGGAGAAAGAGATATGATGGTCTTTATAAGGAAGGTCAGAATATCAATGACATGCTGTCACTGGAGCTACGGGACGATGCCGGAGTGTCGGCTCGCCGGTTTGCAAATCTCTTGGGACGGGAAACTGCATCGCTCAACGGAAAGATAGCGAAACATGATAAGTGAAAGTGCTGTGACTCGATGCTTTCGAGCCATGTCTTCTTGTTCTTCTTGCACCTCACACTGGGCACTTCGATGCTGTGATATTGGTGTATGCGAGGGTTGTGGTTGACAGCTGTCATGTAGGAATGCTGACTGGACTTGAACTTTATCTCAACGTCATCTGCTTCAAACGACACGCGCTGGCAGCTAGTCGATGTGACGGAACAAAAGCCCAGCTGAGGATCACGACAAACATAAACAATTCACGGTCAGAATGGGTACGGTAAGACAAGAATGGATCAAGAAGAGAGACTGAGATTGTGTGTGTTTGAAGAACTGTACGCCATTTGTCAAGATGCGACAGCGTCAATAGACCAAGCCAGGAGCCGACGCGTCAGGACTGGCTGGATATCCAAGAAAGCTCCAATCTTCAGATACCATAGCGGGATTTGTTGAGAGCAGCAAGCTTTGCGAAAACCAGATTGAGCTCGTCGTCCCCGTGAGCAACACTGCTTGCGCTCGCATTGTCTGTGGCAGTGCTGAGCCGACCCCCTATGTCTGTCGGCAGTGGTCGTGGAATGCGGTGGTCAGGTTCTCCAACTTACTGCCTGAATCATGGCTGTCCTGCTTGGATGTGGTTGCGCGAGTCTGGACGCCGGAGCTGCCAGGACTGTCATCGGAGTCGCTGTCGGCTACACGAGCGAAGACGACGCTCTGACTGTTGGAAGAGATGTCCTTGGGGAGTTCAACGCCGCCATCAGAGTCAGGGTACTGGCCAGGCATGGCAGCGGAAGGTGGTGCAGGCTCGTCTGTAGGGTCGAAGATTTTGGCGTTGCGAACGGGCTGGCTGCCATTGTGCTGAGCGTGAGCGACCTCGGAGAATTGTGAGGATTCGTCTGCTCCGCTGGTGGAGACAGCGCAAGGCTTGTCGGCCGGGGTCTGCAGGGAGGCAGCTTGGTCTGTGGTGCTGCGCTGAGCAGTGTCTTCGTTGCCGACGGCGCTGCGCTTCGACTCGGCGACGGCAGTCTTCTTGATGGCGCGGTGGGGACCTGCAGGACGGGGGCCTTTCTTTGCGCTGACCTCGGGCAGCGGCTTGGAACCACGCTGTGTCTATGCATGAATGTAAGCGCAAGGCGATTGGGTGAGCTGCTGGAGAGAACTTACGAAAATTTCGTCCACAATGAAAGGAAAACCGTCCTCGGGACCGCGGCGGCACTTGTGAACGATCTTGTCGTCCTTCTTCTCGCCAGGCGACAATCCAGGCGACATGTTGGAAGCNNAGCGACAGACTCCATGGTTGAGCGTTGCGAAGGCGAGAATGGCGAGCGATTGAAAGAGCGTCAGACGCGAGCTGACGCGCTCGGTCTGAGGTGTTGACATCCTTCAAGAAGCCGGCACTAACTGCTATGACGCGCCATGTTGGTGTATACTCATGTGACAACACGTGCTTGATCGTGCCTGATTGTCTGTCCAACACGGACACGTTTGGGGAAGTGAATCGCAGGTAGAAGGGACTTTACAGCAGAGAGTGTGTGACCCCCCTTGCAGAGTTTTGATACTTTGGGAAAGTGCTGGTAACAACTCTGATTTCTTTGTCATGCCGCTCGAGCTCTGTTGACCCAGCAAACAATCTCTTTCTTGTCATTTTGACCGCACGAGCTCCAAGCAAACATTGTCTCCTGGAGGAACAAAATCCTGGATGAGCACAAACGAATAATGTCCTTCTCTGTAGTAGACTGATGGCGTGGTATGTCCTCACTGCAGAACCACCTAGCAGCCGCCATGCCATCTCTAGAGGATACACAAGGTAGTGTTATGTTGAGGCAGAATGCACTTTTTCCCATCGAACCGGTGGAATGGCGCAGTGGTAGTAGCTCGTGTCTCCCACACATGCGGTCGGAGTCCACTGGTTCGATTCTCCGCCGGGTCATTTGTAAATCCCCCAATTATGCCAGAGGTCCCAGTAATCCTCACCCGACAACAATAACGACGAAAGCTTGCTTTTCTCTTCCCCTCCTAGCTTTCGGCGGCTAGTGAGGGTTTCTGTTTTGTCAAAGTCCGGAGAAGAGATGGTGCTTTTGTTTGATTAATCTTTTACTGAAGCTCCTCTGTTTTGACAGCTACCATATAGTACCTTGGGATAGCACGCAAGCTAGAGTGAGGTTCACAAAACACACAGCCACAAGATCACGAGATAAAGAGAAACATTGGGGAAAAAAAGAAAAACAAGATTTATTGATTAATCAGTTAAAGATACCAGCCATCTCTCACCAGAAACCCCAAAGACAAACTTCTATAGCACCCAACTTTTTCTCGCATCGCATAATACTTACCACACCTTCTACTGTCTCAGACGGCAAGAAGTGCAATAAAAGCAACGATAAAGAGGATTCCACTGAAGAAACTGATAGCATCTCTTGCAAACATACGTATTAGTAGGAGCAGAGGAGAGAACAGGCAGGCCTGAAGCGGTGGAGTTGATGTGGTTGCACATGTTTCTGTGGTTGAGGAGCGTGTTCGGTGACTTGGTTTTGGTGAAAGTTGCGATGGATGGGAGCTCGTATTGGTAGTTGTTCGGGCTGTTTTTATATCGTCGGAAGGTTTGAGCAACCAGCGGGACTGCTTTGTGAGCGGGACAATCGACTTGTTCAGCGAACAAGGAAGGCACGACACAAATCGACGCGATGAAAGAAAATGAGAAACTCGAAAAGAGGAGGAACAAAGCGACTCGAACGGAATGTATGCTCTATGGACTGACTAACAAAGGAAACAACGAAAAGATCTAATATGCGACAAAGGAAAAGAAATGCTATGCCAACGTCGACGAATTGTCACGCCGGCCATACCCCCAACCCATCTCCTATCGATGGTATCTTCTAATTTCGCGAACGTAGATGTCGATTTAGGCAGGTCTACCTCATCTACTACCGTACTTGAAGGTTGTCCTCGCAACCATCCAGTTGCAGAACGCCAAGTGTCGGACACCTTGCCGACGATGCGGTTCACAAAGTCGATCATGGGACCGATGACCGCGATTCGGCTGGGCACTGTGCCTGTCGCGAATGTATCGCTGCTGTAGGTGTAGTCTATTTGAAGCCCTCCGGTGATGACGGCTTGTTTGAACGAGTACTGCTTGTTTTTGGCGTCTGGTGGAATATATCATCAGTACTGCGCTCAAAAATCTTAAAAGTGGAAGAAATCGAACTTACTCGGCTGACATTGATACCCAACCGTAGCGTTAGCACCTTTGTCGGTGATGTTGTAGTATTTAAAAGTGAAGGCATTGGGATTGGCTTCATAGAACAAGACCTGGAAATGATAATACTGCTTTACGACGTTGTAGTACGTCGTATAATATTCCACAGTAAGCGTCCTTGATCCATTTGACCCATCGACTTGATAGTAGATGCCTTGTGCAGTACCTGCAGAGATGTAGAGATCGGCCCAGAAAGGCAGTACCGCATAGCCAGCTGGACCGATGGAACTGTATTGAGGCAGTGCGGCATTTGTGTATCTCGGGCCTATCAAAGTGATACCTAGGTAGCCGTTCACGCTGACGGTCAAATTGGTCGAGGATTTACCGCAGATACTGACGGCAAAAGGCATGGTGCGCCATGTGATGTCGTCGTCGTGGGCCACTGATGAATTGTAGATTGTGGTTGGGGATGATAGTATCACGGTAGGGGCCGCCGTTGTCGACTAAATCTCATGTCAGTAGAGTTGATACCTTTTCGCATGTTTCCATCGAGACTTACCACTGGAGTTGTAGTCCGAGAACCGGCAGTCTAAGAGCGAGTGTCAGTACGTTCGATCCATCAATCATCTGTGATCGAAAAAGATCACTTACCGCTGCTTGTGCTGACGCTGTTGTAGGGGCCACACTGGTTATGGAAGACTATTGCTTAACATGAGCATTAGACCGAGCCGCAGATTAGCAAAGCTTCAACTTACTGGCGTTATCGTGACTGTTTGCGCTGGGGCAGTATACGCTGTGGTGACCGTTTGGGCTGGAGGTGTGTAGGTGGTGGTGACCGTCTGTGCCGGAGGTGTGTATGTCGAAGTCCTGTGAGCATAGATGTTAGCAACGCAATCATCATTTTCATAAAACTGGGTCTCGATAGTTCTCTTTCTTGGGGTGGTTTTGGTCTGCTCGCAGGATAAACTACGACGAGAAAGCTGAACTGCAAAAGAGAAGCTTGAGCTCATCTAAACTGGTTCGCGAGGATGGGAATATGCTTACACTGTCTGAGTCGATGTCACTGGAACAGGAGTAGCGGCGTATACCGTAGATGTAGTCGTCACTGGAACAGGGGTTGCTGCATAAACTGTAGATGTAGTCGTTTGTGTGGCGGTTCTGTAGCGAAACCCTAGTCAGCCATCTTTTCTCTCTATTGATGATAGGAATACCTAGCAGCAGGAGGTTCTGGAAGAGATTGGACGAGGCCGCTTGCTGATCACGTTGATACTACTTACACGGTCGATGTCACAGGCACGGGCGTTGCAGCATATACCGTACTAGCTGGTTGCGTTGTTGTAGTCGTCCTATCGAAGTCCACTCATTAGTTCCATATGGTTTTGATGATTCGGATAGCAGGATATAACTCTGTATTCGCTGCATCCTTTTTCTAGAGGCTTTTGGAATGCACTTACACGGTTGAGGTGACTGGAACCGGAGTCGCTGTTTGCGTCGTAGTGACCGGTGCAGGGGTAGCTGGATATACAGTAGATGTCGTGGTCCTGCCAAATCAGATTAGCATATGCGAATTTACCCCTGACTCTGAATCCCTTTCTCATGCGATAAGAAAGGAGTCTTGGAGTAGAGATCGAATTTCCTTCTACTCAGGTCCAGA